TTGTTTCTTCCTTCACAATATGACGGATAGCATTCTGCCAAGCTTCGGGCGTTACTAGCTGTATGGAAGTCTCAAGTAAAACCTTAACGTCTGGTAATTTGAAGGTTGTGTTATGGCGCGCAATATAACCCTTCACTTGAGCCCAGATGAGCTCTATTGGGTTCAGTTCACAGTGATAGGGCGGTAACCGCAGCACAGTGACACCACATTGACGGGCCATCTCATCAGTCACGTAACTAATGTTCGCAGGTTTGTGCTGTTTAATTGTTTCATACAATTCCGCTTTCACACATGAATCGTCAAACGGGATTCCTTTTTCGCGCAACCATTGCTGCATTTCACTTTTTCGAGATCCCATAGTCGGTACACGTTCGGCTCGACGACTATGGTAGGAAGCATTATCCATGACGATCACAGAGTTGAACTCAACTCGCTGAAGCACCCCTTGAAACCAGCTCTCGAAGCAGCTGGCATTCATTTCGCCATGGTAATCACCTCCTTTCTTAGAGACGAAAATCAAGTCACCCTCTTCTAAAAAGCCACTATCGCTACCAATATGAGTTACTGAGTTACGATCAATCTTTGACCTTTCCCTGACGGTCCACGAAGACCTGTTGACAAACCTTCAATGCTTGCTTGTCGGTTACTCACTACGTTTTTGTCTATCCAGGTTTTTTTTAACTGTATGACCTGCATTTACCCATGTCTCGTCCAAATAATAGATTTTTCTGCTTTGTCGCCTATATTCAATCATTTCGCGTAGGTATTTCCGACACCAGGCGACTATTTCAGGTCTCTCTATCAATACTGCCTTCCGATTACGCGTTTCGTAACGAAAATTAATTTCGTGCAGGGATTTCCTCATTACCTCGACGCTCATTTGGGGTATAATTTCATTTTCCTTGATCGCTGCATGTACAGCCTTGAGGGTTGGTATCTCATTCCTGAAGAAGAATGAATGTACGGTTCGCCTTAACGCAATTTTGCTATCGTCATCCAATTTAACGGCCTTTCGTCCCTTCAAATTAAAGTTTGGATCAGTAGTAGCTCCAGTTTTCTTCTTTTCATGCACCACCTTGCGAATGGTCCACTCTGGAACGCCTGTCATACTTTCACAACGCGCGAGTGCATCTCCCTGCGACACAGTTCTGTTCAGATAATTGAACACGTTGAGCACGATTTCTTTCGCGTCCCTCTTCAGTGCTTTACGAAGCCGTGTACTTGTTCCCTGGCTTTCAGTACTTCCACTCGTGCCATTTGTACTCTCCATGGTTAAGTATAACCAAAACAGTAACCACAGAAACCACAACAATAACAATCACACAACAATTCTTATAAAAACACACAATATGCGATCGCTCAACGAAACACGTTCCAATGCGTTGCCGACGCCTATGAGTCTGCCGGTCTAGGCGCGTCTTTGATTTCATTGGTTCTACCGGCGGAGAACAATCAGCCATTATTTCCATCTCTGTCTGTGCTGTTGACCACCGCAAAGCCACAGAAACGACATATGTCGTACGCTATACGGCTGTACTGGAAGGAAGCCGGGATCGAGTTCTGATCACGTGTTGATCACGCGTATGAGTCATTACAGTTTTAAATAGTTGTAGTATAGTTGTGTGTTAGTGTTGACATCCGTTTAAAAACAACATTACAAAATTTAGCTTAGCGGCGTTTTCTGCTGTCCTTGGTAACATCTGCTGACAAGTTTTGCCGCGGGTAAACTGGAAAAAAATGTTGACAGGTACTGTAATACAATTTTTCCATCTAGAAACCATTTGTAATTCAAAATTCCGCGTTTGTGATTGGTAGAAAATAAGATAAGGGAACTAGTCGTCATGAAAACAGCAGGATACGTTTCAGATGCTACATTAACACAAAGTGGTACCACGGCTTGACTTGTGTTTGAATGTTTATGGTGGCTATGTTGAAAAAATGTTCATATTTTAGTTTGTGATACAATTTGCATTCATAAATAAAATTTCTCTGACTGGATTACAAAAAGGTTCTTACTTAAAACATGACACTCGGATAAACCGTTACTTCAATGCTATTTTTTAGGTTAATAACTGTGACATGTTGGCGAATTTCGAATATACAAATGAAGCCAGAACTGTGGAATGACTTGATTTTTCTTCAGCTGATACAATTAGTCTTAGCAGTGAGGTTTTCTAGGGTTTTCCTCGTGCAACTGCAAATGCAGTCACTAAGAAACCATATTCCTCTACTAAATAGTAGAAAAAATGAAAAGCATACCTTCTCTCATTAATGATCACGTTAAGTCTGGATTTTCCTTCATAGAAAAAGACGAGTTACAATTGCCTCAGTGTGTGATATGTATGAAAGTTTTAAGCAATGATAGCATGAGACCCAATCGCCTTGAAAGATATTTGAAGCAACAACATCCTACGCTGGTTTTGAAGACGAAAGAGTATTTTCTTCTAAAGCAGAATCAGTCAAGCGGATGGGACTGGATAAATTGGGAAGTTATCACACAGGTGTATCGCAGCATCTCAATGCTTCATTTAAAATAGCTTTTAAGATAGCAAAGCAAAAGGAACCTCACACTATCGGTGAAGAATTAATAAAACCATGTGTCCTAAAAGCCACGCAGATAATTTTAGGAGAAGATTAAGTCTATTTCTCTTTAGAATTTCACAGTCAAGCATAGAATCGATGACATTGCAGCAGACATAGTCACAAATAATTAGCAAAGTAAAATTATCGCCATTAGTTGCGATGAATCCACCGACATAAGTGCTAATAACTTAAACATTTTTATTTTTCAAAATGCTCCTCAAACAATGAAAGAGTTGTCTGAGGACATTCAGCGAAAGTGGAAAAACGTATCCCGAGAATTTATTAATAACCTTTTGAAAAGTATGATTCGAAGATGTCAGCCTGTGGCCCTACAATGTTCTAAAAATATTGTTTAAAATAGCTGTTGCTGTTTTATAAAAAGTTCGTTTTTTTATAAATAAATAATTTAGGTATTCAACTGATCTTCAAATGTTTGTTCTCTAAAATGTTACATTTTGTTAATCAATAAATTCTTTGATGTTTAAAAATTTATTACCTTTTAGAAAACATATCCAATGAAAATGCATAAACCAATGCTGAATGGGAAAGATACAAAATTCCGGATAAAAGATGAACAGCAGTGTTGGCCAGGATCATAGCATTTTGAAAAATAAAAATTTTTAAGTTCTTACTTCTTAACAAACCAAAAAATTCTTTTGGTGTTACGCCACTGAAATGCACCCTAAATTAAGAGTAGTAACTTGGATTTGTCCATTAACCTGTTTAATTGCATAGTAAACTATATAAATTCGGTTTAAATTACATACTGCCAAAGTAGCAAACTTTTACCCCAAAGTAGTCCCTTTTTTAGGGATAAATGTAACATTTTTTTAAAGATTCGATAATTTAAGTTATAGCCAAAATTCGACAAATTTGAGAAATTAATTTTTTAGTATAGTCCAAAGATCAAAAATATGCATAGAAAAATATCCAAGATCCAAAATTCAGAATATGACATAGCCCCAAACTTTGCTGAAAAACCCGACTTTTTCTGCTCACCCTGTATAAGTGAATAAATAAAAAAAATAATTATACGTGATCTCAAAGAGTTGGTCGAGAACCTCCCGATTACCGGAACTAGATATCTTTTTCCGTTCCGTAAATATCGAGATTTGAATTTGGGTAATATGGGGTTGTCCAAAACGGATGCAGAAAAGTAAACGCATATTAAAACAAGAAAGATTGATATTCAAATCAAGTTGGGTACTTTATTTTGAAGGTTCATTTATGCCATTTATGTATGAAAAATAATATCGCTCAAATGTTCACCACGACTGGATTTACAGACGTCCACGCGATGGTCGAAATTTCAATGACATTTTGCAACATGGTCGGTTCTATGGCATTTATCTCGGCAATGATGTTGTTTTTGAGTTCTTGGAGGGTGGCTGGTTTGTTGTCGTAGACTTTGCTTTTCAAATATTCCCATAAAAAGAAGTCCAAGGGAGTCAAATCGCTCGATCTTGGTGGCCATGGCACATTTCCTCTGCGCGAAATCACGCGATCACCGAAGAAGGACTGCAATCGATGGATATTGACGTTGGTTGTGTGGCATGTTGCACCGTCTTGTTGGAAATAAACATCGTCCATATCCATTACTTCAAGTTGCGGCAAAAAATAGTCCTCTATCGTCACGTGATATCGCTCAGAATTGACGGTAAAGTAAGGTCCGATGATGCCTTTTGACCACAATGCACACCACACAGTCACTTTTTGAGGATGCATCGGCTGCTCTTGATACTCACGGGGATTTTTGTTCGCCCAGATGCGGCAGTTTTGCATGTTTACCGTCCCATTCAAAGTGAAATGCGCTTCGTCGCTGAACATGATTTTTGATTAAAAATTGGCATCAATTTGGCGGTGTTCAAGGAGCTAATCTTAGAACGTTCGGCGCGAAAAATGGTCGGCCCGACGCAGCTCTTGCGTCAATTGGATCTTGTAGGCGTGTACATTCAAATCCTTGTGGAGAATGCGGAGCAAACTGGTTCTCGAAATGCCCAATTCTTGGGATCGACGCGTTGTTGATTGTTTCGGATCATCTCTCACACTCTCCTTCACAACAGCAATATTTTCCTTGGCCGGCCAAAGCCTGGCAGATTTGCCACAGAACCTGTTGCCTAGAATTTACGCACCAGACGACCGATGGTTGTTTCGTTTGGGCGGTTGTTGCGACCGAAATGTTCACGAAGCGCGCGAAACGTGTTTTTTATTTTTGTACCATTTTTGTAGTGCTCTTGAATAACTTTAATGCGGTCTTCAATCGAATACGACTCCATAGCGATCAATGGTAAACATTCAACTAACAAAATGACATGTCGGTGACAGAAAACAAAGATGCGTCTATGTCAAATTGACGTTTACTTTCCTGCATCCCTATTGGACAACCCTAATCGACAAGGAATTTTTAAGTATCTTACCAGTGATGTTTAGAGCACATTTAGTCATCGTAGAATACAAAGCGTCAGATCTAAGGGCTTGGACAACAAGAACCTTTTGGAATTCTGAAAGTGAACAGTGCTTAGGGAATTCAAGTTCATTTTCATACATGAAATTGTTCCAAGTGTTGCTTTCCTCTAAGTTCATTTTTTTATATAGGTCAGGAAGAGCAACCTGAAAGAAGTAATATATTACCGTTCGATGGCGAAACAAACTAAACGTGTTTTCCTTTATTCCTAATTGCGAAACTGCAAGTACGTAAGCTCTTTCTGTGGATAAAAACATTTCAAAAAGATTCATTTGTACAGGGTGTTTGGTGCATCGTTTGCCAAATTGAAATGGCGCGACAGAGGAGGTCTTTTTCTATCACCCCAGGTCCCTCAAACAGTTTTTAGCCCAACGGAATTAATTATGTGGATTTTTAATTTTTTTTTAGTAAAAATTCCAAAATGTACACCGAGTCCGGTTTTGACGTTTCTTGCTGCACACAGACGTGGACGATCCGGACTTTTTGACAGGTATTCTGTGGACAGATGAGTTCAAATTCATCAAGAAAGAGATACAAAATATGCACAATCTACACCATTGGGCTTCAAAAGATCAGAACAAAATTTGTGAAACAGAAAAAATAATAAATGATTTATGTTTGATCTTACACGGTAACTTTTTTGTGACTTGTGGCATACCGTTAGAATCGGGATAAACTAGAGTAGTTTTTAAAAGAATCCTAAGAACGTGAACGCTTTTAGTTTTTTTTTACAGAAATTCAAAATTAAGGCTTACATTTTTTTGTTCTTCTTTGTAACCCTTTGTGAGTTTCTAAATAAAAAACTACATGCTGCTGGCAAGGAGTGTTGATTTTGCAAGATTAGTACAACATCACCCATTAAGATAAATTAACCATTAGGTGGACATACTCTTTATTTTGTTTTATTTCACTTTGTGTATTACATTTTTGAGTTTTTACAAAAAAAAAAATAATAATTAATTTCGTTGGGCTAAAAACTGTTTGAGGGACCTGGGGTGAAAAAGACCTCCTCTGTCCGTCATTTCAATCTCTCAAACGATGCACCAAACACCCTGTACTTTTAGATAAACCAGTGTCACTACCTGTAAGTTTGCCACTGCAATTTCGCTTTGTTTTGGTAGCCAAGTGGGTAGGTTATCATTCTTTGTGGTGTTCACATTGCCCAAAAATAAGTTCCATTCACTCAGAGGTATTTCCTTTGGATACAATTTGTGAGCAATATAGAGCAACATTTTCAACCGGTCATACTTGAATATACCCCTGGAGATGTAGGAGTATACGGTTGATAGTAAATGTTTTTCTTGGAGAGCTGTGGTCTTGTGTAGATCCTATAATAGTTTAATTGTGCTTCGGTAATTATGAAGAGAAGATGCATATACCGTGATTTTAGTAGCTATACAGGATGTTCGAAAAATAGACGGAGATATTTTAAAAAACATGAAAAAAAGGTTTTTTAAACATGGGTTCGTGCAGACTTTCCAAGATACAGGGTAATAAATAAAAAAAAAATGTATTAACATCTTGAAAAATATTTATTCGATTCAGCTTAAAATTATTAGGTCCAGTGACATCCCGGGGGGCACCTTGGCGAATATTATTGGCAAAAAATGTACTCCATTGCCTTTTTTGTAACTTTAATATTTGTTGTTTGATTAAGCATCTAAAAATGCAACTTTTTGTCTTTTTATTTGTTCGTATCTCACATCATTTTTGAGAAAGGAATAAAAACCGTTTTATTGCATGTCACTGGACAAAATTGGTTTATTTTTGCTAATAAATAATAGTTTAAAACAACTAAAAAAACACGCTTTTATAGCTAACCGAACTGAAAAAATAGAAAATAATTTTCAATTACAAAAAGTTTATACTGCAGTAGTAGATTTTTGAGCATGCAATCGTAATTATTGATCTCAAAATAAAATTATAATTAAATTTAAGTTATTAACAGAATAATTCAATTGAGAGCGGTTTTGTTGTTGTTGTTGTTGTTGAAGATTTATTTAGCATTAATGCTACAATGTCAATTTTGTATAATGATTCGGTTACATATTTTTCTTCAATCCATTTTCTGTAATTTTACATTCTCGTCTTTAAAAAATAAAAATTAAACTTACGTCACTATGTATTTTGATTATTCATAAAGGGATTTTTTTTATTTCACCTTAAAGATTTTTAAATTCGAACTCTGTTTAATATCATTATTCAATTTATTAAATTCAAATACCCCCTTTTGAAATATAGATTTACTAGTTATGCTACTATTACAATTTTTGCAGATGAAAATCTGTACTGTCTCTAGTTTCGTAGTTATGATAATGACTATTTAATTTTGTGAAGTTCTCTAAATGTGGTGGTAATAAATGATTTTTTAATTTGAATATGAAAACGAGAACTAAACAATATATGAAATTTATCACATCCAACCACTGCAATTCTTCTCACATAGACTTAATCCTAGGATATTAGTTTTCTTTTAAAATGATTGTCATAGCTTTATTTTGTAGAATTTGTAATTTTGAAAATATGTTTTCATTTGCTGTAAACAAGATGGTTGAACAATATAAAAAATGGGGAATAATTATAGTGTTATACACAATTTTTTTGGAATACATGCTAAAATTATGGGAAACTCTATAGAAGTAATTTATCTTCTTCGATATTTTTGAAATAATGTATTCATAATGTTCGTGAAACAGTAGCTTACTATCCACATATATACCAAGATATTTAATTGACTCGACAATTTCTTCATCAGTAATCATGAGTCACCTAAATGTTTCCCTATTGACATACATTTTGTTTTATTAGTGTTTAATTTAACTTTATTGACATTTAACCAATTCATAATTTTTTCAATATCACTATTTAACAGTTCTAAAGCAGTGTCCAAATGCTTATGTGCTATATATATATATATATATATATATATATATATATATATGGGTTATCCAATAGGGACGCAGGAAAGTAAACGTCAATTTGACATAGACGCCATCTTTGTTTTCTGTCACCGACATGTCATTTTGTTAGTTGAATGTTTACCATTGATCGCTATGGAGTCGTATTCGATTGAAGACTGCATTAAAGTTATTCAAGAGCACTACAAAAATGGTGCAAAAATAAAAAACACGTTTCGCGCGCTTTGTGAACATTTCGGTCGGAACAACCGCCCAAACGAAACAACCATCGGTCGTCTGGTGCGTAAATTCGAGGCAACAGGTTCTGTGGCAAATCTGCCAGGCTCTGGCCGGCCAAGGAGCGTTCGCACACCGGAAAATATTGCCGTTGTGAAGGAGAGTGTGAGAGACGATCCGAAACAATCAGCAACGCGTCAATCCCAAGAATTTCGAGAACCAGTTTGCTCCGCATTCTCCACAAGGATTTGAATGTACACGGCCTCAAGATCCAATTGACGCAAGAGCTGCGTCGGGAAGACCACTTTTCGCGCCGAACGTTCGCAGATTGGCTCCTTGAACACCGCCAAATTGATGCCAATTTTTCATCAAAAATCATGTTCAGCGACGAAGCGCATTTCACTTTGAATGGGACGGTAAACAAGCAAAACTGCCGCATCTGGGCGAACGAAAATCCCCGTGAGTATCAAGAGCAGCCGATGCATACTCAAAAAGTGACTGTGTGGTGTGCATTGTGGTCAAAAGGCATCATCGGACCTTACTTTTTCGAAAATGCGGCCGGGGATGCCGTTACCGTCAATTCTGAGCGATATCACGTGATGATAGAGGACTATTTTTGCCGCAACTTGAAGGAATGGATATGGACGATATTTATTTCCAACAAGACGGTGCAACATGCCACACAACCAACGTCAATATCCATCCATTGCAGTCCTTCTTCGGTGATCGCGTGATTTCGCGCAGACGAAATGTGCCATGTCCACCAAGATCGTGCGATTTGACTCCCTTGAACTTCTTTTTATGGGGATATTTGAAAAGCAACCAGCCACCCTCCAAGAACTCAAAAACAACATCATTGCCGAGATAAATGCCATAGAACCGACCATGTTGCAAAATGTCATTGAAAATTTCGACCATCGCGTGGACGTCTGTAAATCCAGTCGTGGTGAACATTTGAGCGATATTATTTTTCATACATAAATCTTTCTTGTTTTAATATGCGTTTACTTTCCTGCGTCCGTTTTGGACAACGCCATATAATGTATATATAATATATATAATATATATATAATATATATATAATATATAATATATATATATAAAGTGTATCGTCCGCAAATATTTGAATTTTGCAGTGTTCTAAATTGACACAGATATCATTTATATAAATAATAAATAGTAACGGCCCAAATTTAGTCCTCTGTGGCACCCCTACTGATATATTTTGAACAGTTGACATAATATTTTTGACTTCTATTTACTAAATAATTTTGTAAAATGTGTAATACTGATCCCTTAAAGGCACAGTGTCGCAATTTCATTAAGCAGCCTTCTCATACTGGCAATCTTAGAAATCCTAGTAATCTAGAAAGAGCTAAAACCGCCTTAGCAGCTCTTAGCTTATTTTCAGCAATGTAGTCAAAGATCATAAGCTAATGATTTATTCGAATACGGAATAGGAATAGGAAGATTGAGCAAATTTGATGTCATGAATCTCTTGAAGACTGGAGATCCTCTCTACATTCCAATAAGCCAAGAACCCGTATTAAAGACTGATGAGGCATTAGGCAGCAGCGGTGGGCGCAGTAGTAGACTCTTCAGTCTCCTGATAAGTCGCCGTGCGCTGTGCGGGTTCGAATCCCGTCCCAGGAGAAATTTTTCTCTTGCTATGGATGTTGTGATTGTCCGTAGGTGGTAGACGGTCTCTGACTGTCGAACGCGGAGGTAACACCCGGTGGACATTCCCAATATTTGTTGTGTACTTTATGTCATGGTACCTATTGGAAAAGTTGCCATAATACTTTATCCTACAATTTTTTTACATTTTTTTTCCGAAGCACTTGTGGTTTCTTAAGCAAACATTAATAAACCAATTTTGTCCTGTGACAGTTTTTGTTTTTTTTTCTCGAAAACGAAGTGAGACAAACGAAAAAAAATACAAAAGGCAATGAAGTTGTATTTTTAGGTGCTTAATCAAACAACAAATATAAAAGATACAAAAAAGGAAGTGTCGTACATTTTTTTGCCAATAATATTCGGTAACGTGTCCCCCGGGACGCCACTAGACCAAATAATTTCAATCTATTGATACAAAAAATAATATCGTCAAATTTCAACAAAATCGAGTAAATATTTTTTTAAATATCAATAAATAAACTTTTTTTTTAATTTATCACTTTGTGTCTGGACAACTCTGCATTTCCGGACCTATGCTTATAGACACTTTTTTCATATTTTCTAACAAGGAATCCCCCTATAAAATATCTCCGTCAACTTTTCGACTACCCTGTACAGTGTTACTGACAGATTGATATAAGTTGTTGCCAAAATTAACACCCAGATTTTTATTTTTTTCATACTCGAGCAGTATTCCAAACAAGCCTAAATATAGAAGTATCGCAACTCTATAATGCAGTTAAAGAAACAAGCTTCTTTGTACTGGCTAAATACGAGGAGGTACCCAAAAATAACCGGAATAGCATTCCAGTGGGCGGAGCTTGTTTAGTACACATTTCTGCCCCTAGAGGAGTACAGCGCAACTCACTACCAGTTTTCGATCTGGCTTGTTTCATCGCTTTGTAGTCATTATTTTTGCTAGAGCTGTTTCGTGCTTGTTTCGTTTTTTACAAGATTCAGTGAGCAACGTGCAGCTGTGAAATGTTGCTTCCTAATTGGTAAAAATGCTGCTGAAACTGTTTTAATGTTAAAAATAGCTTACAAGGCTGATGCTATGGGAAAAACTCAAGTGTACGAGTGGTTTGCTCGATTTAAAAATGGCGACATGTCGACTGATGACAAACCCTCGTTCTGGACGTTCATCAACTGTAAAAGGCTACGCCGCTTTGAGGAGGTCAAGGAAAAAATGAGGGAGGAGCTGTCAGGCATTTCTGAGGAAGACTTCAAAAAATGTTTCGAGCAGTGTAAGCCCCGGCGAGACAAGTGTATTAGTTGTAGTGGACAGTCTTTGGAAGGTGATAAGGTTATTTTGTTAGAAAGTTGAAAATAAATAGCTTTTAAAAAATAATTCCGGTTTTTTGGGGTACCCCCTCGTACATATCCGAGTATAATAAAACATAGCTGGTGAAAGCTTGTGAAAGTAGGCTTTTCCTGATAGGAATAAAAAGGTGGTCATCCCATCCAGATCCCAATATGTGAGACAAGCCTCTGGCGAGGTCATCTATTAGGGTCAGAAAGAAGGGCATTGGAAAAAATTAAAAATTCAGTACTATACTACAACTATTTAAAACTGTAATGACTCATACGCGTGATAACCACGTGATCAGAGCTCGATCCCGGCTTCCTTCCAGTACAGCCGTATAGCGTACGACAAATGTCGTTTCTGTGGCTTTGCGGTGGTCAACAGCACAGACAGAGATGGCAATAATGCCTGATTGTTCTCCGCCGGTAGAACCAATGAAATCAAAGACGCGCCTCGACCGGCAGACTCATAGGCGTCGGCAACGCATTGGAACGTGTTTCGTTGAGCGATCGCATATTGTGTGTTTTTATAAGAATTGTTGTGTGATTGTTATTGTTGTGGTTTCTGTGGTTACTGTTTTGGTTATACTTAACCATGGAGAGTACAAATGGCACGAGTGGAAGTGCTGAAAGCCAGGGAACAAGTAGACGGCTTCGTAAAGCACTGAAGAGGGACGCGAAAGAAATCGTGCTCAACGTGTTCAATTATCTGAACAGAACTATGTCGCAGGGAGATGCACTCGCGCGTTGTGAAAGTATGACAGGCGTTCCAGAGTGGACCATTCGCAGGGTGGTGCATGAAAAGAAGAAAACTGGAGCTACTACTGATCCAAAGTTTAATTTGAAGGGACGAAAGGCCGTTAAATTGGATGACTATAGCAAAATGGCGTTAAGGCGAACCGTGCATTCATTCTTCTTTAGGAATGAGATACCAACCCTCAAGGCTGTACATGCAGCGATCAATAAAAATGAAATTATACCCCAAATGAGCGTCGAGGTAATGAGGAAATCCCTGCACGAAATTAATTTTCGTTACGAAACGCGTAATCGGAAGTCAGTATTGATAGAGAGGCCTGAAATAGTTGCCTGGCGTCGATAATACCTACGCGAAATGATTGAATATAGCCGACAAAGCAGAAAAATCTATTATTTGGACGAGACATGGGTAAATGCAGGTCACACAGTTAAAAAAACCTGGATAGACAAAAACGTAGTGAGTAACCGACAAGCAAGCATTGAAGGTTTGTCAACAGGTCTTCGTGGACCGTCAGGGAAAGGTCAAAGATTGATCGTAACTCATATTGGTAGCGATAGTGGCTTTTTAGAAGAGTGTGACTTGATTTTCATCTCTAAGAAAGGAGGTGATTACCATGACGAAATGAATGCCAGCTGCTTCGAGAGCTGGTTTCAAGTGGTGCTTCAGTGAGTTGAGCCTAACTCTGTGATCGTCATCGATAATGCTTCCTGCCATAGTCGTCGAGCCGAACGTGTACCGACTATGGGATCTCGAAAAAGTGACATGCAGCAATGGTTGCGCGAAAAAGGAATCCCGTTTGACGATTCATGTGTGAAAGCGGAATTGTATGAAAAAATTAAACAGCACAAACCTGCGAACATTAGTTACGTGACTGATGAGATGGCCCGTCAATGTGGTGTCACTGTGCTGCGGTTACCGCCCTACCACTGTGAACTGAACCCAATAGAGCTCATCTGGGCTCAAGTGAAGGGTTATATTGCGCGCCATAACACAACCTTCAAATTACCAGACGTTAAGGTTTTACTTGAGACTTCCATACAGCTAGTAACGCCCGAAGCTTGGCAGAATGCTATCCGTCATGTTGTGAAGGAAGAAACAAAAATGTGGCAGCATGACCACCACATCGACACCATCATACAGCCAGTTATAGTCAATTTCAACGAGGAAAGCGATAGCGACAGTTTATTACTGTCAAATGTAAGTGGAAGCGACGATAAATAAAGGTAATTCCCAAATTTTTGACTTACAATATGTTTCAAACCACTCTTTATTAAGCATGTGACAAATCTAGTTCACCCATGTTAAACATTCATACCCCGCCTATGAACAGCCGACTACTGGTAGTTAAGTAATGTTCACGTCAACATCGATGAGTCATTACAGTTTTAGATAGTTATAGTATAATACTGAACACTTGTGTAGATATTTTCAAGCCAAAGTTCATGATGTCAAATAATTACCTGGAATGTTTGTAGAGCCTTCAGAAACAACTTCGTAAAAGTAGGTACGGATAACAGATATAAAATATTTGTCCTTGCATAGTCGTTACAGGCAAAGTATAAGGAACTGCCAAAATCACAAATGTCTTTGTATATGTCGTATTCGAGTTTCAATTTATCCTGAATTTCGGATGATTCTTTCAAGGCCACGACGATGGCTTCAGAACTGGATTTGGTTTCGTTCAAGGAATCAAGCAGCGTCTAAAACAGGGTTGCAATTTGCAATGAATGAATACAAGAAATAAATGTGGTTTGTACGCCTTTAGTAACAAAGAGATTTTTTTCTCAATACGTGCCTTGTCTTCAAGGATATCACCTTTACAACCGGCCAAGTTCTCGAGTAACTGATTCTGTAAATGATACTGCTTCTCTTGCAGTTCCTCTTTTTCTCTGAGCAATTGCTTCTTCCTATTTTCCAAATCGGGATTCTCTTGCAAAACAGCAGCTGATAACAGTTGCTCTACGAACGATAATATAAAATCAGCAAACAGAATGACACGTTCGCTCTCTAAATAAATAAATTTAATCAAAAAATTAAAAATAGTAAAATATAATAAATATAGTAACAAGAATGAGTGATACTACTAGTGACATCTGCTGGAGACCACGCCAGGGACTCTCGGTCGAGATCGAAGACTGGTCTCTAAGGTTCTGGACTGCCGCTATGTGGCATGCATAAATAGAGGTGTACGTTCTATCTAGTTAAGTTAAAGTTAGTTGTGTTGTGTTTTAAGTAAATTATTATTATTATGATAATTGAGATGAGCAGAGTACACAGTACTATAAGCTCGTGCAGTAAATATAGTGTACGGACACGTAACACAAATACATCAAATAGAAAAAAATAAAAAAAGACAGTTCATAGCTATAAAGTTTGTACACTCCTCCAGCTATCATAATGCACTTTGAAGCTATTAACTGAAGTAGCACCAACCACACTTTCAGGTAAACTATTCCAGGTGTTGAATATGCGGTTGGGAAGAAACCAGTGTTGTTTTAAATGGCTCCTTATGCAGTTTGAAGCTGCGTAGATTGCTGCGCGACAGACGGTATAGATGCATGAGGTTGGTGCCCATCAAACCATGAAGTATCCTGAACGTAACTATAAGATCGCCACGAAGTCTTCGCTCGGAGAATGAGGTGAGGTTGAATAATTCAAGGCGATCTTCATAGCTTGGTCTTCGTGCTCCAAGAGAGATACGAGTAGCCCGACGCTGTACTGATTCGACGAGATTTCTATCGCGCAGAAGCATAGTGTCCCATACCGGGCCAGCGAATTCAAGAATTGGCCTCACGAATGCCTTGTAAATGTAGGCGCAAGTGTTGACATCGGATCCTTTGAAAGACCTCTCCAGCATGTATAGAAGTTTCTTGGCTTTTGATGTAACGTGGTGAATATGCTCTGACCAGGAAAGACGGTCGTTGACTACAACGCCCAGATCAGTGTGGCTGGAAACTGCTTCGATGTTGTGGTCAGAGATCTTGTATGTAAATCGCGGATTTGTCTTCCCGAGGTGAAGGACACAACACTTAGTTAGATTCAAGGGTAAAAGCCAACTGACTGACCATTGACAAACAATATCAAGATCTCGTTGAAGCAAAGCAGAATTTACGACAGTATTGTAAATCTTGGTGTCGTCGGCATAAGCTGAACATGTGGAGGAAATCAATGCGGGCAGGTCACTTGTATACAGAAGGAACAGCACTGGCCCCAAGACAGAGCCTTGAGGAACTCCACTTGCTACATGATGAAGGTGAGACTGGCTATCACTGACGCGCACAGAGAAAGTCCTCCCGGTGAGAAAAGCCTTAATCCACAGTAACAACTCGCCTCTTATTCCCATACATTCCAACTTAATCAGAAGCCTTCTATGTGGTACGCGATCGAAAGCCCTAGAAAAATCTAAGTAGATTATATCAACTGGAGTCTTTGTGTCCAGATACTGAGTCCAATCGTTGAGAGAGTGGAGAAGGTTGGTCATTATTGATCGACCAGGGAGAAATCCATGCTGATTCTTAGGGATAAGGTCATTTTCGAAAGCAAATGACAGGAGCTTATCTAATATGATTATTTCAGCTATTTTGGCGGCGATAGGAACGAGACTTATTGGTCGATAATTTTTAGCGGAGGATTTGTCGCCCTTTTTGAATACAGGGGTAACAGAAGCACTAAGCCAGCATGAGGGTAGTGTATGAGATCTAAAAAACGATGTGAATATCAAGCTTAATGGTAGGGCCAGTGCTGAAGCGCAGTTTTTAAGTACAGCAGCCGTCATCCCATCTTTACCAGGGGAGGAAGAGGTCTTCAGATTTCGCAGGTGCATTAATACATCTTCAGGCAGGAACTCAACTTCGCAAAGGCTGTTGGGACACCTATGGCAGATAGTGGTCGGTAGAAGGTCTCCATTAGGCTCATCGACGAAGTCATCACTAAAGGACTATGCCAGAAGTTGGCAGATTCGGTGGCATCCATGTGGAGAGGACCGTCAGCGTCGCGGATCTGAGGTGATAAAACTTTGGAATTCAGGTTTGTTCTTAGATACCGAAACAGCTTCTTCTTATTTTTGGAGGTAACGAGTTTTCGTTCATAAGCATGTTTGGCATTATGTAACGTTCTAGATAGGAGGTTAGAAAAGGATCGATGAGACACGTAATCTTGTGAATGGCCACTCCTCCTAAACCGTTGCCACAAAGATCTCTTGTGACGAAGCATCCTCGATATGTTAGAGTTGATCCAGGGCTTTGAGGGGTCACAGTATACCTTCTTTTCAACAGTATTGTCAGCCGTTTCGCTTAGGACTCGTTGAGCGAAAGTGTCCCACATATCTTGGGTGCTACGGTTGTTAAGCAAAGCAGGCCAGTTGACTTCAGACAGGGCTTGGTTAAGAGCATCGTGGTTTACAATGTTGATGGTTTTAAACTTATCGGTTGTAGAACGACTATTTAATTAGTGCATTTCTTCTTGTGGCATCCAATGTTTTTAATCCACACCCAGAAAAACGCTACAATACGAGTATAATACGTCAAATGCTTAAAAATCACCATAGGCAATTTAGTAGCATGATCAAAAAAGAGATTACTTTACAATATTTGAGTAAATTATATTTCTCTAATTTTAATTTTCACCTGTAAGGCCAACCCGTGTTACTGTGAAATTCATCATATTGACCAACGGGGCAATGTACGAAGGTAGACTCATTCTCTCGTTTCTGGTGCAAAGAATCAGCTTGAAATCGGGATGGTAATCCATGAATTTTCCATTCAGTTTTATCAATCTTCTTTCACCTGAAACAATATTTCTTCTAACATTTTTCACTATTTCTATATATATATATATATATACTAAGTGACATATAAATCCGAACACCCAGTTTAAATGGTTTAATTTTAATAAAAGTTGGTGAATGTATACTAAGTGACATATAAATCCGAACACCCAGTTTAAATGGTTTTATTTTAATAAAAGTTGGTGAATCTATTTATCTTACTGTAAATAACAAGTGAAAAAATTTTCAGCCTTATGACATTCCGGTTTTTATACTGCTTTTTTTTAATTCACTAACGCTCTAAAAATGAATATTTCAGCCGCAGTAAAGAATCAACGTTGGCGGATTTTGGTTCTTGACATCCTTTACGATCGGTTACGATGCCTAGAGTACGGAGACCTGTACGATTTCGTCAACTTAGTGAGTTTGATAGGGGCCGTATAGTGGGACTTCGGGAAGCTGGACTTTCTTTTCGGGCAATTGCAGTTAGAGTGCAAAGAAGTGTAGACACTGTGGTTAGGTGTTGTCAGGCATGGCTTCGAGAAGGCCGTACGCAAAGAGCAAGGGGCACTGGACGCCGCCTTAGAACAACAGACCGTGAAGATCGCCGCCTAAGTTTATTGGCCTTAAGGGACCGTTTCTCCACTACCAGGTCCATTGCAAATGAATGGTTTGCAGAACACGGAAGACCTATTGGCATGCGAAGTGTTTACCGACGAATGAGAAGTTTTGGCTTGTTTTCATACCGGCCACACTGGGTCCTCCCTTTAACTCGAGAACACCGACGTAATCGCCTTGAGTGGTGCAGACAACGGTCACTTTGGGATCAGGAATGGAACAGTATTGTCTTTAGTGACGAGTCTCGATTTTGTTTAGGCATGCACGATGGTCGTGCCAGGGTTAGAAGGCGACGTGGTGAAAGGATGAATCCACAGTTTTTTGTTGAAAGACATGTTCATCACACTGTTGGAGTTATGGTTTGGGGTGCTATAACTTATGGTTCCAGGTCACCTTTAATCTTCATCAGAGGTAACATGAACGCGCAGCGTTATATCCACGAAGTTCTAGAACCCCATCTTTTACCCTATCTTGACACCCTGGCAGATCCAACTTTCCAACAAGATAATGCCCGACCACATGTTGCAAGAGTCACAATAGACTTCTTTCAACATAATGATGTCACATTGTTACCATGGCCACCAAGATCTCCCGACTTATCCCCAATTGAGTACGTGTGGGATATGATGGGTAGGAGATTGCTCAATTTGCAACGTCCTCCTCAGACTCTAGAAGCACTTCGAGATGAGTTGGTGGTTGCCTGGAATGAGATACCCCAGGAGGACATTGACCACCTGATCAGAAGCATGCCTAGGCGCGTTGGAGAATGCGTAGCACATCAGGGTGCATCCACACATTATTAAAGGTCAAAGGGCTTTAAAGCAATGCAATCATTTTGAAATTTTTATCATTTACTTATTATGCTTCATTAAGTACTTATACAAAATTTTATTAAAATAAAACCATTTAAACTGGGTGTTCGGATTTATATGTCACTTAGTATATATACACATACAGGTATATACAGGGTGGCACATCGAAAACGAAACAGACGCATTAACTGGCAGCTCAGTTTTATTTAAAAACGCTCAGACCCGTCGATTTTGTTTTCGAGGGGGACACAAGTTTGGCAAAAAATCACGTTAGCACGTGCAGCCCCCTAAAGCGGGGGTGACACCACCCCCAAAATCTTAAATGGTAAGGGGGGTCGAGTGATACCTTATTTTAAAGGTCTTTCAATTCCCTTTATAATGATATAAAATTAATGTACTTCATTTCAGTAGTTTTGAGGATTTATTGATTTAAAGTTTAAATAAAACTAATACATCATCATTAGTGGAGATCAATACATTTGGCAGCAAAGTAATTAAAAATTAAGAATGAACTGACCCGTTAGGCAAGTAAATGTTGAAAATGGCCACCATGACTCTCCATGCAATAATAAAGATTTTGCTCAAAACGTTGCCGAACATTTTGCAATATTTGAGGAGTAATTTGTAGGCACTCATTCACAATTCTTTGTCGCAGGTGTTCTAATGATGTTGCCCGAGTTGCATAGATTTTGCTTTTTAAATGACCCCACATAAAGAAATCCAAAGGTGATAAATCTGGCGATCTTGGGGGCCATTCAATGGCACCTCTTTTACCAATCCATTGATCTGGAAACGTCTGATCTAAATATTGTCGAACACGTAATGCATAATGTGGTGGGGCACCATCCTGTTGGAACATCAAAATTTGCGGGTACTTAACGTAGGATCTACATAAACTTGCCCTAAAACCCCCACTTCTATTGCTTCGTTCCTTATGGGATTTTCAATGTTGCGTTTTTTATTGGCGACTAACCCAGTTTCCCGAAATCTAGCTACAAGTTCTAGAACATATTTTCGATGCACGTTACTGTTCTCATGTCGCTCATTAAATATTTCTGCTGTTCTATTAGCGCACAGATTATTTCCGAAAAATATTTCGATAATTTCAACTCTTTCTGCTGTCTGCTCAAAAAACAGCATAACGTCAAAAAAAATCGGCATAATGTCACTTTTGAAGATGAAGACGTGTAAATCGTCCGACCGCCACACAAACTCGGAAAGTTAAACGCCTGCGAACTCAATACATGATAATGCAATGAAACAACAATGAAACAAATGGAACCAAATCACTGAATATTAAGTAAACATGTTCATATTATTCGGATCATGAAATGACAAAAAAGCATTTACAAAAAAGTACGGCTCGGAGTGCCTTCAACATTTTATCAGGGTATACTTCGATGATAGCAAATATGTTTACAAGTTTTTATCAAAATTCAATAAATAATTCTGGGTATTGCATTTTATATGTCACTTAGTATATTTTATATCAAGTCATCGTTGGTTGTCAGAGCGGTCCGTGGGACCTTAGCTTTTGAGTCATAGTGTCAGTTAAGTCTGTCAGGTCTGGTAACCCAGAAATCAAGCAATTTTAAGGAAAAAAGGGAAAGAAAGGAGAGAAGGAAAAACGGGAACAAAAAGAAAGAAGAGAATCTTTTAGGACAGGCAGCGTTTAGGCATTGTTAAAATCACTGGACAGATTTGATTTTTCAAAGGATTTTGTTAAAATGCTCCAATTTTGGTTGTTCTTAGTTTACGAATTAATTTTGATTTCAGTGCGAGCCGCGGCCTTTTGTGCTTCATATTTTATATCACAAACAACCTAAGCTAGAAATTAATCGATAAAGAAAACTGTTGCAGATACCTTGATGTAACAGCTCCTTGTTCAAAACTTGCAACAAAATAGGACTGACGTCATCGATTTCTTCTACAATAAACACTTTTCCAAACCTAAAAATGTTAACCATTAACAAATTTTAAAATTGTAATCATAAATTACGCACCTAATTGCTAATTCTAACATATTGTTAAACTTCGGGAAGTTCTGTGTTGTCACCTCTATGTTCCTTTTTTCGAAATATCGCTTTATCCAGTTTACAGCTACTGATGTTGGATCAATCAAAAGTGGGACTACACTAGCCTACAATCAACAAACTTTTCAAAACGATATAATATACTTTGTGAGTGACAAAAAAAGGTAAACACCTACGTATGTTTATCCGACTTTAATAATTTTTCGCACATACAGGGTGTTTCAGTTTATTGTTGCATAACATTAAGATTCGATACAACTTTTAAAATTAATGCATAAAGTCTATATAAACATGGGTCGAAAAATGCGTGGCTTCCGAAATACAGGGTGTTTAAATTTACTTTCTAAAATAGTCTTTTTTTAAATATTTCGAAAAATATTTGATGTATAACAGTGAAAACTGGTATACGAGGGTTTTTTGCTACGACAAAACGAACCATGGACATAGTTTTACTGTAGCCGCTGGAGGGCGCTCTCTACTGTACCTGTAGTGTATTAAAATGACCGAAAATTTTTTTATTGTGCAATTTTTTGCTTTTTGAATAAAAAACCTGATTCTTCGCATTTTTCAACATAAAAAAGCTCTCTTGTGAATTTTCGTTATAGTTAGCCGTTTTTAAGATATTTCGATTTTTAAGGTTCGATGCATTTTTAATTATTTATGATAAAATAACGTAAAAAAATCAGTATCTCGATAATTTTTAGAAGTAGGCTGTGCCTGCAAATAGTTTTGAAATTGAAAGCAGAATAAGGTTAAACATCAATTAGTTGACAGTTAGTTTTGTTGTCTGTTGAAACCTGAAACGTTTTTTTGCAATTGTGAATGCACGAAATTTAGTTTCTTTTACCTGTTTTTTTTTTTGTAAGTTTTATAAAAATCAACATATTTGGTCGCATGAAAATCCGCATGCAGTTCAGGAAAGAAATCTTCAGCATGAATTTAGTGTGAACGTGTGGATTGGTATCTACCGTAATCGACTATTTGGACCCTACCTTTTGCCTGCAAGGTTAAATGCTGCGACCTTCTTGGAATTTTTAAAGGCTGAACAGGCAAATATGTGGGATGATGTTATGTTTGATTTAAGAAGATTGGCCTGGTTCCAGCTTGATGGCTGTCCAGCTCATTATTCGAGAATAGTTAGAAACTGGCTGGACGAAAATTATCCAGAAAGATGGATCGGCCGTGGAGGACCAGACGCCTGGCCTCCACGATCCCCTGACCTAAATCCATTAGATTTCTTTGTGTGGAGATTTCTAAAAGAAAAAGTGTACCAGACTCCCGTAACCACAAGAGATATGCTAATAGACAGAATCAGGAATGCATGTGATGAAATAAGGACTTATTTGAATAATGCTATACCACGTTCGATCATTCGTAGATGTGAATTGTGTATTGAACAATTGGGTTTACATTTCGAGCAACTACTTTAGATTTTGTATGTTTGTCCTAACTATCCAATAGCATTTTAGTTGTAAATAATTAATTTAATTTGTTAAAAATAATATTGGAAAATTAAACAAATTAATATTCTGTTTTTTGTGTTTATTTGGAGTTAGGAATTATTGCTGTGTTTAAAAACACAATCTAAACGATCATCTTAATTACTTGTAATGCCCAAATCGAAAATGTAAAAAGAAATATTATTTTCCCATAAATAATTAAAAATGCATCGAACCTTAAAAAACGAAATATCTCAAAAACGGCTAACTATAACGAAAATTCACAAGAGAGCTTTTTTATGTTGAAAAGTGCGAAGAATCAATTTTTTTTATTCAAAAAGCAAAAAATTGCACTAAGGAAATTTTTTTCGGTCATTCCAATACACTACAAGTACAGTAGAGAGCGCCCTCTAACGGCTACAGTAAAACTATGCCCATGGTTCGTTTTGTCGTACCAATTTTCACTGTTATACATCAAATATTGTTCGAAATATTTTAAAAAAAACTATTTTAGAAAGTAAATTTAAACACCCTGTATTTCGGAAGCCACGCATTTTTCGACCCATGTTTATATAGACTTTATGCATTAATTTTAAAAGTTCCATCGAATCTTAAAGTTATGCAACAATAAACTGAAACACCCTGTATGTTCAGTGTCCTATACTAATGGGTGATTTTTTTGCCAGTATCTTTTTGGCAACACTGTTTTTGACAGATGACGCGTGAATCGTGTCTTGTGTCATTGTCAAACTTGTTCAGTTTGGTCTATAATTTAACCATGAATCGACTTACGAACGAACAACGCTTGTAAATTATTGAATTTTACTATCAAAATTCATGCTCGGTTAAGAGAGTGCATCGAGCACTGCTTCCAATTTATGGGCAATTTGGTCGGCCTACTGAGGGAGATATTCGGAAGCTTGTGACTAAATTTCGAACCCAGTTTACATTATTGGACATTAAACCACCAACACGCAGACGTAGAGTGAGGACTGAAGAAAATATTGCGGCTGTATCCGCCAGTGTTAGTGATGACCGTGAAATGTCGATTCGCCGCCGTTCGCAGCAATTGAGCCTCTGTTACTCCACTACGTGGAAAATTTTGCGACAGGATTTGGGTGTAAAACCTTATAAGATACAGCTGGTGCAAGAATTGAAGCCACACGACCTCCCACAACGTTTCCAATTTGGTGAATGGGCGTTGGCAAAGTTGGAGGAAGATCCACATTTTTATCGAAAAATTGTGTTCAGCGATGAAGCTGGTTGAATGGGTACGTTAAAAAGCAAAATTGCCGCATCTGGAGTGAAGACCAGCCAGAAGCATTGCAAGAGCTACCAATGCATCCCGAAAAAATCACTGTTTGGTGTGGATTATGGGCCGGTGGCATCATCGGGCCGTACTTCTTCAAAGACGACAATGGAAAAAGGTAACTGTGAATGGCGAGCGCTACCGTGCGATGATAACAAACTTTTTTTTCCCAAAATCGAAGAGCTGGACTTGGCTGACATGTGGTTTCAACAAGACGGTGCCACATGCCACACCGCACACGAAACAATGGCCCTATTGCGAGGCGAGTTCGGTGAACAGTTTATCTCACGTTTGGGGCCCGTCAATTGGCCGCCTAGATCGCGTGATTTAACGCCGTTGGACTATTTCTTGTGGGGCCATGTTAAGGCTAATGTCTACAGGGATAAACCAGCAACGATTGACGCACTGGAAGCCAATATTGAAGCATTTATTCGTGAGATACCGGCCGATATGTTGGAGAGAGTGTGCCAAAATTGGACCTTGCGCATGGGCCATCTAAAGCAGAGCCGCGGCCAACATTTACATGAAATAATCTTTAAACATTAAATTATATCGACCGTTCTATCGACTCAAATAAAGATTTAATCGTTTTTTCAAATTTTTTGTTTTTTTTTTTTGGAAAATCAAATCCTATACCTCTTAAAAAATCACCCGTTATAATCAGTGACATTAGAAGTGTTGCACCCAGAAAAAAATATTTCTATAGCGACGTCTTACCCTTCTACGACCATCGTGCGCCAGTTAAAGCGTTGACGACAGTGGTCCGCAGTCAGAGAAAGCACTAACCGTGGACGGTATGAAAAATACCACTTTTTAAAAAATCACCCGTTAGTAAAATAATTAAATTTTCAGCTTGATTCGTCAACTGACTGCAGAAGCTGGTTCAATAATGTGTTGAGGATCCACGATTTCTTATAAACTCATTGACACGCCTGGGCATCGTGCTGATGAGATGGTCGATATCCTGTTGGGGAATCTCATTACAGGCAACTGCAACTTCGTAAGTAAGAGGTGGTGAAGTATGTCTAATGGACATACATAGGTGATTATCTTTTTTTAACACAGTATAGTATCATTTGAAACATCTTTGTTCTGGTACCTTCAATATCATGATTGCGTTTTGCAGAGACAAACGGTCAGATGACAGCCCTTCACTTTGCCATACAGCTCGTTCTCTTTCCGTTGAAAAATACGACTCTATATTTATTTCTTTCGTTCCCAATTCGTTACGCCATACGTTCAGAAGCTCCCTATCGAAAGTGTTTATATCATTTTTGTTTATATTTTATAGGGTCCGCAAGTTGGGGTTTTCCTTTTCAGACACAACTACGCTTGATATAACAAAGGTAATGTGTGGTGAAACGTGAGCGAACAAGTAAAAAAAGTAAATGAGAAAGTACTATGTTCAGTTGGATTGAAATACCAAGTACGGCTCTGTCGTAAAATCCGTATGTAGTTTGCTATATTAACTACTACACTTGCTCTTTTTATTCGCTCCAACACGGACACGAAATATTGGTAAAGACCACACATAAAAATATCAACCAAGGATCACCGTGAAGATTAACGAAATATATATCGCCACACCTGTTTGCAGCTGCAGATCCCACACGGAAGAGATTGCACAAAATTAATTCTGGAAATACTTTTTTGACTTCTAATGTCAAAAATTAGGTCAAGCTAAAAAAGGTTTTTAGGAGATTCCTGAATTTTTAGTTTGAATATGGAGGAAAACTCTAAAAAGGATGGAGCTAGTGAGGAAGTGGAGAGTGTGGTCTCACTGAGTGAAAAGGGATTTTATACAGAGGAAGTTTTGAAACTAAAAGATTATACCATTTCGATTCAAGAGAAATTAATAAAAGAATTGTACGAAAAGATAGACCAATTAAACAAAAAAATTGGGAAAATGCAACAGCCGTCACAAGAAGCAATTACAACTTACGCTAATATGGTTAAAGCTTCAGGGCCTTCAACCGTTAATTCGCCTACAAAAATGGTAGAATATAAGCAGCAATGCGTACCATTACAAACATGTACAGCAAAAAAACAATCACCAGTATTAAAACCCACAAATACAGTCATTGTTAAGCCTAATAACCAACAAGAGTGTAATAACACAAAGAAAGACATCGCAAAATTTGTGAATCCTACCAGTTTGAAAATTGCTATTGAAAAAGTTTATGAATTGAAAGATGGTGGGGTGAAAATCCAATGTAAAACAAAAGAAACGCGAAGCTACATAATGAAATAAAATCAAAAATGCCAGAAACATATACAGTGAAAACTTCAGAGATAAGTAAAAAACCACAAATCAAAGTTATTGGATTTTGTCAAGAATATGCAGAAGACGAGCTAATAAATACTATAAAATCACAAAATGAATCTTTTCAAGAAAATTCACATATGAGAGTAATTACAGTCAAGAAAATGAAAACTAAATATCAAGCAATTTTAGAAGTGGATGCTGTGACTTTTAAGTGTGTTATGAATCAGGGTGTTATTTTTATCGACATGTCTGTTTGCTCTGTTTTCGAGTACATCAATGTTTTGCGATGCTATAAATGTACCGGATTTAACCACACAGCTAAATACTGCACAAAATCAGGAAGATGTCTTACTTGTGGATTAGAAGGACATTCAACAGAAAACTGTAGTACCAGTGAAATGTACAAATGCTGTCCAAATTGTAAAAGTGCAAACCAGGATTTTAATCTAGGATTACCTATTAATCATGGACCATTTGACAAAAATTGTGAAGTATATAAAAGGAAAATTGAACGTGAGAGGGAAAAAATTAATTATGCAAATGAATAGCAACTACTAAGCTCAGATTTGCAAGACGTGGCTAAATCTATAAGTGATAAATATAACTCAATATACCATTTAAACATACAAGGAGTCCTGAATAATATAGATGAAGTTCAACAGTTTTTAAGATGGAGAAAACCACTTGTATTATGTCTTACCGAAACACATGCTACAGAAGACATCACTGATGGTGAATTACAAATTACTAATTATAAAACCTACAGATACAACTCCAACTCCAGACATACTGGAGGTGTAGTGATTTATGTTTACCACAAAATACAGATCACATTATTCGATTGTACCACTTTAGACTATGCATACTGGTATGCACATATACAGTTCAAATTATTTGGGAAACGTTATGATCTTTGTACCTTTTACCGTTCACCAAACAGTAATGCAGATACATTTTTAACGTTTTTTGAAGAAAAATGCGAAGAAATGTGGAATTTTAGAAACAATATAATACTTTTAGGTGATTTTAATTTAAATTATTATGGTAAAAGCATGAAAACAAGAAAATTGAAAGAAACCATAAACAACTATGGGTTCAAGCAAAAAATTGAAGAGAGTACCAGAATAACATCATTATCAGAGACTTTGTTAGATCTTGTTATTGTAAATTTCGAATGTGCAGGGATTAAAGCTGTACATACACCTAAAGTTAGCGATCACAGTTGGACAATGCTGCCCTTGGTAGGGCATTTTTCTGATATAAAATTAAGAAAATCGTAAATACTATGAAGTACGAAAAACTTGAACGAGAACTTGCTGGCTGCTATTGGAATTTTGGTGAGAATATGGAAAAAATATATGACAACATAATAGGAAATATAAAAACTTGTTTAGATCTTGCAACTGATAAAAAAGTGATTTGCTCGACAAAAAATATACCCTGGTATAATAAGAATATTAAGGCAGCTCAAAATTTGAGAGACAAACAATACAATAAATGTATATTCACAAAATCAAATGATGATTGGGAGGTATATAAAACTCTTAGGAATAAATGTGTATATGTAATTAGAGAAGAAAAAAGAAAATTCTACGATAAACAAATCGATAATAACAAGTGCGACAGTGTAAAGATGTGGAAGACTTTAAAAAGACTGATCAATTCGAAGCCGCATGATTGTGTAAATCAAGTTCAATTCGAAAACGTTACCGAAACAAATTCTTTGGCGATTGCAAACAAACTAAATGAATATTTTGTGGAAAGTATTGTTGATATTGTAGGTACTGCCAATGCTGCACCTGACTATATGAAAATCAGTTTCCAGGGGGAAATGTTGCATACACTTTCAAAATTTCACAGCGTATCATTGAATTATCTAAGAAAAAAAGTAAACAGTTTAAAATCAAATAACAACTGTGCCGAAATGACTACTAAAAACGTGCTGAAAAACTGTTTCGAAATTTTGGGATATCCTGTATTAAATTGGATCAATTGTTCACTGAGAAGCAGTTCTTTCCCTGAAAGTTTGAAATGCTCTACAATAACACCAGTTCCCAAAATAAAAAATTCTAAAAGATGCAGCGATATGAGACCAGTAAATGTGTTACCAGACATTGAAAAATTATTATAGTCCATAGTGCATGACCAATTAATGCAGTTTATAGAAGAAAACAAAATTTTAGTGGAGGCGCAAGCAGGCTTTCGAAAAAAATATTCCACAGAAACAGCTTTCCAGTTGGTAACTGAGAATTGGAGAAGAGCCATAGACTCAGAAGAAGTTGTCATAGCAGTATTTTTGGATTTGAAGAGGGCATTTGAAACGATTGATAGAGATATTTTGTTAGGTAAATTGAAGGCATATGGTATAACAGGAAGTGTTATAGATTGGTTTAGAAATTATTTGTCTAAAAGGATGCAAGTTACAAAAGTTAATGACACTATTTCATCAAAAATTGAAAATATGTTGGGTGTTTCACAGGGCAGTATCTTGGGACCACTTCTTTTTATTTTATACATAAATGATTTACCTGCCATAGTCAAAAAATGCAAAATTCAAATTTTCGCCGATGACATTATGATTTAAGTACTAAAAATATTCAGTCTGGTATCTCTTATATAAATGAAAACTTGAAGCTTGTCTCAAAATGGTTAGCATCTAACAGACTAAAATTAAATGCAAGTAAAACGAAAGCCTTGTTAATCGGAAAAAAACAATGTACAAATGTTCAACTGAATATTTATGGTGAAGATATTGAATTCGTAGAAAATTTTAAATACCTGGGAGTTTTTGTTGACTCTCGATTAATTTTTGATATTCATTATGAAAAAGTTATAAATAAGATTAGTAGTAAAGTGGGATATTTATCGAGAGTTTCTGGATGTCTGAGTTCATATAGCAGAAAAATTATCTATAATACCATCATTCTTCCAAATTTCTTGTACTGTTCGACTATTCTATATTTAGCAAATAATTCCATTTTTGAAAGACTGCAAATTTTACAAAATAAGTCCATGAGAATAATACTAAATAAAGATAAGTATACTCCAATTAGGCAAATGCTTAGCAAATTAAAATGGCTCAATGTAAATATTTTATCAAATATCTTGTAACGATATTCATTTATAAAGTAAAAAATAATATATTTCCATCAAGTCTAACTAATTTAACATCATCAAATGTCGACCATCATTTACATAATACCAGAAATAAAGATGACTTCCATTTAATGACCAAAAAGTATAACATATGCTACAAATCTGTATTCCATCAAGGGTTGATTAAATATAATTAATTATACTCGGAGATAAAAGACCAGAAAACTTTGACAAAATTTAAAGTAAAATTGAGAAATCACTTGTTAAATCTACAATTATAGATTGCCCAGCATTTACATCATACACCATATGGCTTGAATTTACTAGTTCTAAGTTGTTTACAATTGTTCTGTTTATGTAGCCAAATGTGCTAAATAAATCTTTCTACTACTACTACTACTACTACTACTACATCGTAGTCGTACGTCGTATAACTGTACGCTGGCACTGGCGCTGTGGACGTTATCGAGGGATAGGACAGGACCGGCTTCGGTTTGGTTCAGGTTCGATTGAATTTGCGGAGCCCAATATATCGGTTCTCTTAAGACATTGGTGTATATGTTACTAAGAAAATCAGCTTATTTTCTCAATATCTACACGTCGTGTAAAGAAAAACACCAACTTTGCGGACACCCTGTATTTTTAACTCAAATATAAGTGAATGTAGAATCCAACTTACGTCCTTCTGTCTTCGGAACTACTAGACAAATAAACCAAGAATGATGCAGCAATTAGACAGTCATTCGGTAGATGATGCATCTGACCAGACAGTTCTTGTAACTAAAAATAAAAATAAATAGTTGAGTTGAGTTGAATCATTTACTTTAACAGCGTGTAGAACTATACTATAACTATTTAAAACTGTAATGACGCATCGATGTTCGCGTGAACATCACTTAACTACCAGTAGTCGGCTGTTCATAGGCGGGGTATGAATGTTTAACATGGGTGAACTAGATTTGTCACATGCTTAATAAAGAGTGGTTTGAAACATATTGTAAGTCAAAAATTTGGGAATTACCTTTATTCATCGTCGCTTCCACTTACATCTGACAGTAATAAACTGTCGCTATCGCTTTCCTCGTTGAAATTGACTATAACTGGCTCTATGATGGTGTCGATGTGGTGGTCAAGCTGCCACATTTTTGTTTCTTTCTTCACAACATGACGGATAGCATTCTGCCAAGCTTCGGGCGTTACTAGCTGTATGGAAGTCTTAAGTAAAACCTTAACGTCTGGTAATTTGAAGGTTGTGTTATGGCGCGCAATATAACCCTTCATTTGAGCCCAGATGAGCTCTATTGGGTTCAGTTCACAGTGGTAGGGCGGTAACCGCAGCACAGTGACACCAGATTGACGGGCCACCTCATCAGTCACGTAACTAATGTTCGCAGGTTTGTGCTGTTTAATTTTTTCATACAATTCCGCTTTCACACATGAATCGTCAAACGGGATTCCTGTTTCGCGCAACCATTGCTGCATGTCACTTTTTCGAGATCCCATAGTCGGTACACGTTCGGCTCGACGACTATGGTAGGAAGCATTATCCATGACGATCACAGAGTTGATCCCAACTCGCTGAAGCACCCCTTGAAACCAGCTCTCGAAGCAGCTGGCATTCATTTCGTCATGGTAATCACCTCCTTTCTTAGAGACGAAAATCAAGTCACACTCTTCTAAAAAGCCACTATCGCTACCAATATGAGTTACGATCAATCTTTGACCTTTCCCTGACGGTCCACGAAGACCTGTTGACAAACCTTCAATGCTTGCTTGTTGGTTACTCACTACGTTTTTGTCTATCCAGGTTTTTTTAATTGTGTGACCTGCATTTACCCATGTCTCGTCCAAATAATAGATTTTTCTGCTTTGTCGCCTATATTCAATCATTTCGCGTAGGTATTTTCGACGCCAGGCGACTATTTCAGGTCTCTCTATCAATACTGACTTCCGATTACGCGTTTCGTAACGAAAATTAATTTCGTGCAGGGATTTCCTCATTACCTCGACGCTCATTTGGGGTATAATTTCATTTTCCTTGATCGCTGCATGTACAGCATTGAGGGTTGGTATCTCATTCCTAAAGAAGAATGAATGTACGGTTCGCCTTAACGCCATTTTGCTATCGGCATCCAATATAACGGCCTTTCGTCCCTTCAAATTAAACTTTGGATCAGTAGTAGCTCCAGTTTTCTTCTTTTCATGCACCACCCCGCGAATGGTCCACTCTGGAACGCCTGTCATACTTTCACAACGCGCGAGTGCATCTCCCTGCGACATAGTTCTGTTCAGATAATTGAACACGTTGAGCACGATTTCTTTCGCGTCCCTCTTCAGTGCTTTACGAAGCCATCTACTTGTTCCCTGGCTTTCAGTACTTCCACTCGTGCCATTTGTACTCTCCATGGTTAAGTATAACCAAAACAGTAACCACAGAAACCACAACAATAACAATCACACAACAATTCTTATAAAAACACACAATATGCGATCGCTCAACGAAACACGTTCCAATGCGTTGCCGACGCCTATGAGTCTGCCGGTCGAGGCGCGTCTTTGATTTCATTGGTTCTACCGGCGGAGAACAATCAGCCATTATTTCCATCTCTGTCTGTGCTGTTGACCACCGCAAAGCCACAGAAACGACATATGTCGTACGCTATACGGCTGTACTGGAAGGAAGCCGGGATCGAGCTCTGATCACGTGTTGATCACGCGTATGAGTCATTACAGTTTTAAATAGTTGTAGTATAGTCAAGAGAAGTTGATATACCACAAATCACGTATACAGTGTGGCTCATCCATGGGTGGACGGAATATTACTCATAAACAAATACATTTTGGGAAAATCTATTTATGGGATGTTATAGATGACATTAGAAGGCATATCGAGAGAATATTGGCCATTATACAGGGTGTCCCAATTTCGACCTACATATCAGAGAGATTTTTCAAATGGAATGCCTCAAATGATATTGCATATTTAGATAAACCAATTCAAAAGAAGGAAATTGATATACTATGGGTTTTGGTAATTAGCAACTGAGATATAATGTGTTTTGTCTAGAAAAACCCCCACTTCGGCAACCCCTCAGTCCGCCATTTTGAAATTGGAGTGCTAAATTTTGTATCAATAAAAATTACACGCCTCAGCTTTTATCTTATTTGTTACTTTTTCGAATTTCAATTTTTGCTCATACAGGGTGGTCAAAAAAGCAAATTGTAGTTTTTCTTCGCCCAAAACGAACACCATATTCACCATTTCTTCTTTAGAAAAATTGATTTTCAAACACGTTTTTATTATAATGCTCACAGAGTTAATTTTGACGGTTCGTAACTAATCAACAATTAAGCCGTTCCATAAATAGCCGTAAAAAAACTTGCACAAATATACAGGGTGATGCATTTGACATTTTTGAGAAAAAGAATAATTCGCGTTTTTGACCACCCTGTATGAGCAAAAATGTAAATTCGTAGTAACAAATAAGATAAAAGCTGAGGTGTGTAAGTTTTCTTTTGATACAAAATCCAGCACTACAAATTTCAAAAGGGCGGATTGAGCGGTTGCCGAAGTGGACGGTTTTTCTGGACAAAACACCTTAAATCTCAGTAACCAATTATCAAAACCCCATAGTCATATCAATCTTCTTCTTTTGAATTGGTTCATCCAAATATGCAATAAAATTTCAGGCATTCGATTTAGAAAATCACAACTTTGATATGTAGTCAAAATTTTTACACCCTGTATAATTGCCGATATTTTATAAATGTCATGTATACGTATAACATGCCATAAATAGATTTTCCCAAAATGTATTTGTTTATGAGTAATATTCCGTCCACACATGGATGGGCGATTTTTGGTATATCAACGCCTTTCGACGAGTCATACAAACAGTTAAAATGAATCACTCAACTTTGAAAACACCCTGTAAATATAAACGAATATCGATAAAAAAGTCTTACCTGATCTTGCCATCTTTGGAATTCATCGGACAGTTTTGAAACCAGACCCTCAGCAGAAGCTAACGTAGCTTGAGCTTTCTTCAGGCCAATTTCAATTTCAGCTGCTTCTTTTGTATAATCAGACAGCTGCTGTTTCAGCTTCGCTACTGTTGCATCTACATCCAGCAATCCAGCGCTCAGTTCGCCAAGATGAGCCTCAGCTTCAGACAGATTCCTATAAGCAATGAAAATCAATAATTTTTTGGTGTTAATTAAAAATGTTCAGTTTTTTAAACAATTCAAGCTCATTGAAACTCACTGCTTGAGCTTATGTTGTTCTCTCTCCAAAGGTCGTATTTTGTCCAACACGTACGAGTATTTGACATTGGCAGTGACCCAAGAAGCCAATGGTGCTGCAGCAACTGAAGCTCTTTTTGCTGCCTTTTCGTCAAAGGAGTCGCTCTTATTTGCTATCAGCTTTTCCACCGCTAGCCTATTTTCTGTGGAAATTCTGGTTGCATCGAATGATCTGAAACAATATATGACGTCATGGAGCAGGCTAGACTTCAATAACAGAGACTTGACTCAATCGTTGTGAGGCTTAAAGCTAGAAAAATATTTTGGTTCATCACGTTAATGCATTTTAGTCAACAAGAAATAATCTACAAAAATTGTTTACTAGCGACCAAGTAGATGTCCGTTAGGAAATCCAAAATTTTGGACCTTTTTGACAAAAGAGTACTTATTACACGATCTGAAATACGATCTTCAAAAGGTTCTAAAAGATATCATAAAAGTTACAGTATACAGGGTGACGAGAAAATAGATGCAGAGCCGGCGGGGGGAGATAGTGCAAGCCAATCTGAGTCGATTTTACTATAGGATCTGCTGTCCGAAAATTAGCCGTTTTCGAATTATACTAATTTTTAAGATTTTATAAATTTAAGGTCCTTTATACCTTAACAAAGTCATAAAACTTGAAAATTGGGTGTTTCATTTGTTTTTTTTTTGATTTTACCATAAAAATATTCTTAAATACGAAAATTGACACTCAAATGTACATTATTGACGTTATCTCATGCAGTAAGCTTCAAAATAGTTCAATTTTTGTTAAAAAAGATCTTCGTTCATCTACTGGTAGCGGAATTTTCAAGTGGTAGCGGCATAGCGGCGGAATTGGATTTTTTGTTAAAAGTAGCGGAATTTTGCAATTTAGGTACACATGATGGATATTTTTACCAGAAAAAAAAATGAGTGCAGTTAGTAACCAAATCTAAATACAGGTATCTTTCCAATCGACAGTGGTAACCACCGGTGGGTAATTCTTATTCACCGGGATGCGTATAGATGGTAGTAGGTGGTAAGAACAGAACCTGTGAAGTGTGTTTCCAATGTCTAATAATTTTAACATTTGCTACATGGTAATGCAGATGTCGAGTGGCAATTTTCATATATGGAGATAATCAAAACAAAAAAAAGGAATCGTATTTTACCTTCAACTTTGTTCGCGATACTTATCAAACTGGATACATTACAAAAAAATGTTGCTGCTTAAACTTCGAGTTTGGTGAAAAACATTTTAAAAAATATAAAAATAATTTATATAGTATAGAGAAAACAGAAATACAACGAGAAGAATCTGATACTGACAGTGACTAAGTTTAAGCAACTCAAAAACTTTTTTTTATGCAAAACAGAAATGGCCTTTAGTCATATGCTTTTTATTTTTTAGTTTCCTGTGATATTTTTTTAATATGACTGCGTGATAAATATTCTGTTGTTTGACAGTGATTTGAAATATTGTATTGGTTTTTATAGTCAAATGTTTTTTTTTATTACAGTTTTATGTTATATTTTATCTTTTATCACGCTGTTTGATTTTTGTTTTCGTTTTTTGACACAACCTGAATAATAAATGCACCCTGTTTTATGATAGTGTGCCAAGCCCCAAGTTTATTGATTTAATTTTAACACGAGCATCTACACGGCTCTGAAGATGGAAACATCCACACGTTGTCTATCGTTGTTTCTAAATAATATTTTGCCAACTCTAGCTCAAAGTCTTACCGCTATGTTTATTAGGTAACAATTTCGTCCAAAAAACTGTTGTTATTTGTTTTTGCATATTATTTCACGTGATGCAGGTAGACCTCGACATGATGTGGAAGAAGAAGAAATATTAAATATTTTCCAAAGAGACCCTACTCTCTCTCCTCGCGCTGTGGCTCGACGGCTTGGATTATCCCAATGGCAAGTGTGGTATGTTTTGCATGAAAACATATTCCACCCTTACCACTACACACCTGTGCACGTCATAGAGGAAGGAGATCCCATGAGGCGCATGCAGTTTTGTCGTTTTATTTTAAACGCTGATGTTGAAGATATCAATTATTTAAGAAATATTCTATGGACCGACGAATCAAAATTTGATAAAGACGGCATAACAAATTACCATAACTCTCACTATTGGCGTGAACGTGCAGTGGAAAATCCTCATATGAAGAGACCAAAAGGATTTCAAAGGCGATGTTTGGATGGGCATTATAAATAACTGTTTGGTAGGACCACATTTCCTACCCGACAACCTAAATAATAATAATAATATTTTAATAATATTTATTCACTCTAAAATAGAGGGAACATGAAACGAGTAAATAAATATAATATATCCATAGGAGGACAACGCCTGTGCATGGATCATATGTATGTTGAATTGCAAAATATAATAAAATAGAGAGAAAAGAGAAATTATTGGTAAGAATGGTAGAGCATTTATTGTGTAATATTTGAGATTATTTTATTAATTTGATTTCTCCCAATCGTGTTAATAAATTTTTTTAATTTTTTTTTGAAGCCTAATGTATTGCGTAATTGTTTTAAATTATTTGGTAAATGTTCGTACAATTTTGGAGCTATATACAGGTGACATCCTTTACATTAGGGATTTGTTTGGTTTAGGAACATTTTTTGCGCGTAATTTATATCTGGTTTGATGATTATGTTTAATTATGTCGTGTTCACTAATAGTTTTGTGATAATGAGTGATGGTATGTAAGAAGTAAAGTTGTTTAGTATCATATACTTGTGCATCATTATATAAGTCATTAGTTGGGTATAATTTTGATTTGCCTAACATTGATTTTAAAATTCTTCTTTGAAGTACAACTAAATCGTTAAAGTATGTCGTGCATGCAGCGCCCCACACTACTATACCATATGTTATGTGTGGCTCGACTAAAGCTTGATATATTATTCGTAGATAATATTCAGTTAATATACCGGTTAGAAATTTTATTTTGTATGCTATGAATCTAATTTTCTTTAGTATGTGAGAAATATGTACATCCCATCTCAAGTGGGGATCTAGATAAATTCCTAAATATTTTGTATCATTAACTCTATTGATTTTTATATTTTCATCATTTACCTTAAACCGAAGGTGGTTATATTTTGGTAGATGATTAGATAGTGATGAAAATGGTAAAAAATGAGTTTTAGTAAAGTTAATTGTTAATTTTCGGTTATTAAACCACTGAATAATTTTGCAAAAGTCATTTTGGATAATATCTTTTAAGTCGTTCCAATCCTTACCTTTATAGAGTATAGCAGTATCGTCTGCAAAACTGACTATTTTACCAGTACTGTTAATTTTGAATATATCGTTTAAATAGATATTGAATAACAGAGGACCCAAAATTGTACCTTGTGGAACACCACATTTAACAAACATTTCTTTACTATACGAGCTTAATAATTTACTGATTGCGGTCTATTTGATAAATAATTTTCCATTAAAGTATACATCTTTCCACGAAAACCTATTCTTTCTAAGATTTCCAAAAGTATATTGTGGTTAACTGTGTCAAACGCTTTTTGTAAGTCCACAAATACGCATATCGATGGTACTTTTCCATCTATATTTTGGGTTATTTCATCTACTATACTTAATACCCCATTTGTTGTAGATTTTCCCGCTATATGGAGAAGCCTACGAAAAATTCTTAAGAAATGTTTCACTTTTTTGTGTGGGGTCGCATGAAAACTTCAGTATACTCTGATCAAAATCCTGTACCCACAATAGAAGACCTCAGAAACAAGATAATACATGCAGCACAAGAAATTCAAGCCTCTCTTAGGAATTCGGCGGTAGTAAAATCAGCTGTCATAAGAAGAGCACGTGTGTGTATTAGAAATAGTACGCGCCATATTGGAAATGTATTATAAAAATAAAAAAATGTAGTTTCAAACAAATTATCCTGTATTAAGGTATGATTTTGTAAGTGTAGTATTTTTATTGCTTTTTCCTTCCTCCTCGTATAATAGTCATATTTTTGTCAATTCTTAATCGATTTGTGATTTTTATACCTCATTTGAAAGGTAATGAAACGTAGATGTTTTCTAATTATTTTGTACGAAAAATTTGTATGCGACTTTTTCTAGTAAACTGAAGCTTTTGAGATGAACGAAGATTCTTCTAACAAAAATCGAACTATTTTGAAGCTTACTGCATGAAATAACGTCAATAATGTACACTTGAGTATCAATTTTCGTATTTTAGAACATTTTTATTGTAAAACAAAAAAAAAACAAATGAAACACCCAATTTTCAAGTTTTATGACTTGGTTAACGTATAAAGGACCTTAATTTTATAAAATCTTAAAAATTAGTATAATTCGAAAACGTCTAATTTTCGGACAGTAGTTCCTATAGCCCCACCGGCTCCGCATCTATTTTCCCGTCACCCTGTATATCCAAAGCACTAACCTGATTTCTTCCTTGACTCCCCTCTTAGCCAAGAAAGTCTTCATGCTATTCCAAGAAGTATCTTGGATACCCATCAGTCTAAGAACGCCTTCCAAAATGTCTCTGATGATTTCCGGTGGGGCTCTTAGCGATCTTATTTCAGATAGTGCCTCAGATTTGATGTTGCCCACTGCAGATCTTGCTTGCTGAATCAATGGCTCAACTTCTGATAGTTCTATCTCAATTTCTTTCTTCCTAAAAGTCAATAAAATAATTTATGAAGAACTGCATTATTTGGTTGAGGAGAAGACAAAATTTGAGCAAGTAATATTGGTTCAATAGACAAAAGGACATCTTCAACATAGATAAACTTTTAATAAATTGATTGTTGACTAAAGTTCAATCCTTTACACTTGCTCGGGGTCTAATATATATTAAGTGACATATAAATCCGAACACCCAGTTTAAATGGTTTTATTTTAATAAAAGTTGGTGAATGTATTTATGTTACCGTACTATAAATAACAAGTGAAAAAATGCTCAGCCTTATCAGTTGGACAATCCGGTTTTTATACTGCTTTTTTTTAATTCACTAACGCTCTAAAAATGAATATTTCAGCCGCAGTAAAGAATCAACGTTGGCGGATTTTGGTTCTTGACATCCTTTACGATCGGTTACGATGCCTAGAGTACGGAGACCTGTACGATTTCGTCAACTTAGTGAGTTTGATAGGGGCCGTATAGTGGGACTTCGGGAAGCTGGACTTTCTTTTCGGGCAAGTGCAGTTAGAATGCAAAGAAGTGTAGACACTGTGGTTAGGTATTGTCAGGCATGGCTTCGAGAAGGACGTACGCAAAGAGCAAGGGCACTGGACGCCGCCGTAGAACAACAGACCGTGAAGATCGCCGCCGTAGAACAACAGACCGTGAAGATCGCCGCCTAAGATTATTGGCCTTAAGGGACCGTTTCTCCACTACCAGGTCCATTGCAAATGAATGGTTTGTAGAACACGAAAGACCTATTGGCATGCGAAGTGTTTACCGACGAATGAGAAGTTTTGGCTTGTTTTCATACCGGCCACACTGGGTCCTCCCTTTAACTCGAGAACACCGACGTAATCGCCTTGAGTGGTGCAGACAACGGTCACTCTGGGATCAGGAATGGAACAGTATTGTCTTTAGTGACGAGTCTCGATTTTGTTTAGGCATGCCCGATGGTCGTGCCAGGGTTAGAAGGCGACGTGGTTAAAGGAGGAATCCACAGTTTTTTGTTGAAATACATGTTCATCACACTGTTGGAGTTATGGTTTGGGGTGCTATAGCCTATGGTTCCAGGTCACCTTAATCTTCATCAGAGGTAACAAGAACGCGCAGCGATATATCCACGAAGTTCTAGAACCCCATATTTTACCCTATCTTGACACCCTGGCAGATCCAACTTTCCAACAAGATAATGCCCGACCACATGTTGCAAGAGTCACAATAGACTTCTTTCAACATTATGATGTCACATTGTTACCATGGCCACCAAGATCTCCCGACTTATCCCCAATTGAGCACGTGTGGGATATGATGGGTAGGAGATTGCTCAATTTGCAACGTCCTTCTCAGACTCTAGAAGCACTTCGAGAGGAGTTGGTGGTTGCCTCGAATGAGATACCACAGGAGGACATTGACCACCTGATCAGAAGCATGCCTAGGCGCGTTGGAGAATGCGTAGCACATAAGGGTGCATCCACACATTATTAAAGGTCAAAGGGCTTTAAAGCAGTGCAATCATTTTGAAATTTTTATCATTTACTTATTATGCTTCATTAAGTACTTATACAAAATTTTATTAAAATAAAACCATTTAAACTGGGTGTTCGGATTTATATGTCACTTAGTATACTATGAGAAGATACATTTTGGATCCTGCAAATCATTGTGGAGTCCGTAAAGATACAGCCCAACTACATCTATGAATCTTAAGAAAGCGCCAAACTACCAACACACAAATAGTGAATTATCTTAATAAGCCCATGTTTCTTACAATGTGTTTGGTCACGACATACCGATATTTAAGGGGAGTATTTTTCAGCTATTTTTATCGACAAATCCACCCCCTACAATGTCCTACCTCACCCCTCTTGAACTGGCAGCCATTTTTATTTTTACGTTACGATTACGCTAGTGCATGTAAGAAATTTGTAATAATTGAGTACATAAGTGTCGCAGAATGATAAATTTGGTGTCATTTGAACGATAACATGTTGCCCTGGCGATTATTGAAAAACTTGAATTGATACTAACCGTCAAACATGCTTGGTGTCATTTTGTAGATAACATAGTTAGCTGTAGAATTAGCACAGAAAAGTACAGCTTCACAGACTAGTTTTTGAATGGTGTGCAGAAATGCACATAATAATCCATTTTCTTGCATGATTTTTTCTGTTTTCGTCTGTTTTTAAGTATGTTTGACGGTTAGTATCAATACAAGTTCTTCAATAATCACTAGGACAACACGTTATCGTTCAAATTACACCAAATTTATCATTCTGTACTTATTTACTCAGTTATTACAATTTTTTACATGCACTAGCGTAACCGTAACGTAAAAATAAAAATGACTGCCATGTACAAATGCTGTCCAAATTGTAAAAGTGCAAACCCGGATTTTAAGCTAGGATTACCTATTAATCATGGACCATTTGACAAAAATTGTGAAGTATATAAAAGGAAAATTGAACGTGAGAGGGAAAAAATTAGTTATGCAAATGAATAGCAACTACTAAGCTCAGATTTGCAAGACGTGGCTAAATCTGTAAGTGATGAATATAACTCAATATACCATTTAAACATACAAGGAGTCCTGAATAATATAGATGAAGTTCAACAGTTTTTAAGATGGAGAAAACCACTTGTATTATGTCTTACCGAAACACATGCTACAGAAGACATCACTTATGGTGAATTACAAATTACTAATTATAAAACCTACAGATGCAACTCCAACTCCAGACGTACTGGAGGTGTAGTGATTTATGTTTACCACAAAATACAGATCACATTATTCGATTGTACCACTTTAGACTATGCATACTGGTATGCACATATACAGTTCAAATTATTTGGGAAACGTTATGATCTTTGTACTTTTTACCGTTCACCAAACAGTGATGCGGATACATTTTTAACGTTTTTTGAAGAAAAGTGCGAAGAAATGTGGAATTTTAGAAACAATATAATACTTTTAGGTGGTTTTAATTTAAATTATTATGGTAAAAGCATGAAAACAAGAAAATTGAAAGAAACCATAAACAACTATGGGTTCAAGCAAAAATTGAAGAGAGTACCAGAATAACATCATTATCAGAGACTTTGTTAGATCTTGTTATTGTAAATTTCGAATGTGCGGGGATTAAAGCTGTACATACACCTAAAGTTAGCGATCACAGTTGGACAATGCTGCCCTTGGTAGGGCATTTTTCTGATACAAAAATTAAGAAAATCGTAAATACTATTAAGTACGAAAAACTTGAACGAGAACTTGCTGGCTGCTATTGGAATTTTGGTGAGAATATGGAAAAAATATATGACAACATAATAGGAAATATAAAAACTTGTTTAGATCTTGCAACTGATAAAAAAGTGATTTGCTCGACAAAAAATACACCCTGGTATAACAAGGATATTAAAGCAGCTCAAAATTTGAGAGACAAACAATACAATAAATGTATATTCACAAAATCGAATGATGATTGGGAGGTATATAAAACTCTTAGGAATAAATGTGTATATGTAATTAGAGAAGGAAAAAGGAAATTCTACGATAAACAAATCGATAATAACAAGTGCGACAGTGTAAAGATGTGGAAGACTTTAAAAAGACTGATCAATTCGAAGCCGCATGATTGTGTAAATCAAGTTCAATTCGAAAACGGTACCGAAACAAATTCTTTGGTGATTGCAAACAAACTAAATGAATATTTTGTGGAAAGTATTGTTGATATTGTGGGTACTGCCAATGCTGCATCTGACCATATGAAAATCAGTTTCCAGGGGGAAATGTTGCATACACTTTCAAAATTTCACAGCGTATTATTGAATTATCTAAGAAAAAAAGTAAACAGTTTAAAATCAAATAACAACTGTGCCGAAATCACTACTAAAAACGTGCTGAAAAACTGTTTCGAAATTTTGGGATATCCTGTATTAAATTGGATCAATTGTTCACTGAGAAGCAGTTCTTTTCCTGAAAATTTGAAATCCTCTACAATAACACCAGTTCCCAAAATAAAAAATTCTAAAAGATGCAGCGACATGAGACCAGTAAATGGTGTTACCAGACATCGAAAAATTATTAGAGTCCATAGTGCATGACCAATTAATGCAGTTTATAGAAGAAAACAAAATTTAGTGGAGGCGCAAGCAGGCTTTCGAAAAAAATATTCCACAGAAACAGCTTTCCAGTTGGTAGCTGAAAATTGGAGAAGAGCCATAGACTCAGAAGAAGTTGTCATAGCAGTATTTTTGGATTTGAAGAGGGTATTTGAAACGATTGATAGAGATATTTTGTTAGGTAAATTGAAGGCATATGGTATAACAGGAAGTGTTTTAGATTGGTTTAGAAATTATTTGTCTAAAAGGATGCAAGTTACAAGAGTTAATGACACTATTTCATCAAAAATTGAAAATACGTTGGGTGTTCCACAGGGCAGTATCCTGGGACCACTTCTTTTTATTTTATACATAAATGATTTACCTGCCATAGTAAAAAAATGCAAAATTCAGATTTTCGCCGATCACACTATGATTTATATAAGTACTGTCAGTCTGGTATCTCTTATATAAATGAATACTTGAAGCTTGTCTCAAAATGGTTAGCATCTAACAGACTAAAATTAAATGCAACTAAAACGAAAGCCTTGTTAATCGGAAAAAAACAATGTACAAATGTTCAACTGAATATTGATGGTGAAGGTATTGAATTCGTAGAAAATGTTAAATACCTGGGGGTTTTTGTTGACTCCCGATTAATTTTTGATATTCATTATGAAAAAGTTATAAATAAGATTAGTAGTAAAGTGGGATATTTATCGAGAGTTTCTGGATGTCTGAGTTCATATAGCAGAAAAATTATCTATAATACCATCATTCTTCCAAATTTCTTGTACTGTTCGACTATTCTATATTTTAGCAAATAATTCCATTTTTGAAAGACTGCAAATTTTACAAAATAAGTGCATGAGAATAATACTGAAGATAAATATACTCTAATTAGGCAAATGCTTAGCAAATTAAAATGGCTCAATGTAAAAAATTTTATCAAATATCTTGTAATGATATTCATTTATAAAATAAAAAATAATATATTTCCATCAAGTTTAACTAATTTAACATCATGTCGACCATCATTTACATAATACAAGAAAATAAAGATGACTTCCATTTAATGACCAAAAAGTATAACATATGCTACAAATCTGTATTCCATCAAGGGTTGATTGAATATAATAAATTATACTCGGAGATAAAAGACCAGAAAACTTTGACAAAAATTGAGAAATCACTTGTTAAATCTACAATTATTATAGGTTGCCCAGCATTTACATCATACACCGTATGGCTTGAATTTACTAGTTCTAAGTTGTTTACAATTATTCTGTTTATGTAGCCAAATGTGCTAAATAAATCTTTCTACTACTACTACTATTTCAAGGGTGGTGAGGTAGGACACTGTAGGAGGGTGGATCTGTCGATAAACATAGCTGAAAAATACCGCCCTTAAATATCGGTATTTCATGATCAAACATATTGTATAGTTTGTACGATACCGTCTCATCAGTTTTTGATTCTCCTGTTCCGTCTTATTTTTCAAAACTTCCATTTCCTCCTTATGAGTATTTGCATTCTTCATAGTATTGCTAATCATATCCAAAGCTGTATTTGCCTTCGACTGTTTTTCTTCCAATTTCACTTGTTGCTCTACTGCTTCCTGCTTTAACTTTTTCACTAATTCGTTAGCTTCGTTCAGCTTAGCAACACCCGCCTTATGTCAAAATAAAATTATTTATTATTTCTATTCATGATCGGTCGAATTCGTGTCTACTAAATTACGAGGCTTGTTCAATTAAAACCCATCTTTGGCCCAGATAGATAGATAGATAGATAGTTTATTGTCCTATTAGATCATGTTACATGATATAAGAAAAAACTGAGCTGACCGCTGCCGGACATATTTATAGAAACACAGGGCGTTAGTCGGGGCAAGGCTATACGCGGCATTTCAGCAGGGAGATTTACGCCAGAAATGACTGGATTTGTGGGTGCAACAGGAAGAATGACATTTTCTGCTTTCCTTGCATACTTTTCTGCGCTGACAAAGCTTGGACGGAGGTAGGTGTTACAGATTTAGTGCACCTGAGTGAAAAAATTAAGAAGCATGAAAACTCTAAAAACGCATCTTCACAATTCGATGGAATTGGCTTTATTGGGGACTGTTAACATCAGAGCTCAGTTAGATTCAGCATATGGGAGAAATATACAATATAGCATAATGATACCGTTACAAAAAACAGGTACGTTCTATCAAAAATAATCGATTGTATAAAATTTTGCGGAGCATTTGAATTGGCGCTACGGGGCCATGACGAAACCGAGAGCTCCCAAAACCCGGAAATATTTCGTGACTGATTAATTTTTCTGCTGAGCTTGATACAACCTTAAGCGAACACATAAAAAATGCTTCAATATTTAAAGGAACTTCGAAAGAAATACAAACGATCTACTGGATTGTATTCTTGAAGTTTGTCATGAAGAAATAATAAAACAGACTATCAGAGCCTCGTGTTTGGCGATAATAGCAGATGAAACAACGGAGAATTCGTGAAAAACCCAACTGGTAACAATTTTCAGATACGTATTTAACGGCGAACCAGTAGAACGTTTTTGGAATTATATGAATCCCGAAAAATGTGACGCTGATGCTCTCATAAGAGATATTTTGAGCGTCGTAGATACATTAATAGGAAATTTCCCTAACAAATTGATTTTACAAAGCTAAGATGGAGCCGCGGTAATGAGCAGACATCATGCTGGAATACAGGCAAAAATTAAACAAAGATGTCCATTTGATCACTATGTGCATTGTTATGCGCATCAGCTAAACCTGATTATGTCCCAAGCTGCTTCAGCAAATGCTCAAGTTCGGGTGTTCTTTGGAGATTTGAAAGTTATTCCGGGATTTTTTAATAATTCTCCTCAACGTGTAGAGGTACAGAACAGAATTGTGGGGGAAAAAATTCCCCAAGGAGCAACAACTCGTTGGAATTTTAATATTCGAACAATAAATGTAGTGTTCATACACAGAACAGAGAATCAATCATTGAATGTATGGAAGAAATAGAAGAAAACTTCACTAATGAAACCGTTTGCAAGGCAGCTTGCGGTATTCGCCGTATGTTAAACGATTCTGTTTTCGTGTTCATTCGTGGTTGACATTTTTTCATCATGTCATGCCTCACGTCGACATCTTGTTCAACCAGTTGCAGAAAAAAAATGAATTGTCGATGTGAGAAATAAAATTGATGACATAATAAATGAAGCCAAAAGTATTTGCACTGAACCCCAAGGCAACAAAAGGAGACGACGTAATAATATCAGTCACGATCACCGAGTTGCCGCATTAGAAGTATTCGACAATATAGTGAATTCTGCAAATGACAGATTTTAATTCAAAGATCATTTAATACCCGCATCCCTTTTTTTCCCGAACACTTTGGAGAATACTGTGGTAAGTTTCCTGATGACAAGTTGGAAACTACCTGCTTGGCTTATCCCGAATTAGAAAAAAGTCGTTTAAAGACAGAGTTGTCTGTTATTTGTGCACGGAATGATTGCCGAGATTTACATGGAACTCTGTCTCTTTTGAAATTTTTGATACAAAGCAGTTAGGAGGAAACACTAAAAGAAACAAAAACGCTATTAGAAATGATTGTTACAACTCCTATGTCAACATCAGAGGCTGAGCGAAATTTCTCAACATTGAAAAGAATCAAGAGTTTTCTTCGAAATACTATGACCCAGGATCGCCGTACAGCGTTGTCGATGCTATACATTGAAAAGGAATTTATTTCGACCATGGAAAATTTCAAAGGGAAGGTTATCGACAAATTTCCTGCCAAGAAGGAGCGCAGGATCGAACTGACATATAAAAAATAGGTAAGTTCGGATTTGCAGAACACCTGTTTTATTTTGCCACGAGCCGCCACTGTCGCCGCTTATCATTCGTCTCCTCTCTTCCACTCTTAAATTTTCGACACCATTGCTTGACAGTTGGATACGAGAAACATGCGTTTCCATACTCTGCGTTGAATTTGCAATGGTTGCTAACCTTCACCACCCAAAAGTTGAATGACTGCACGCTGATTGTCCAGTGGGAAACTTCATATTTCAAATTTGAATCACGCGGCAACCGTACACGAGAGGAAGTGGGGAGAGGTCTTGATCGACGCGTTCGGCGTGCGGGTTAAATAGTCACAATGGAACGTTGGACCGGAGCGCAACGTGCTTATGCTATCGAAGCTTTCTTAAAGAATGGTTATTTATACGCTGCTGCCCTTCGGAAATTTTGTACTCGATATATTTTGTGTTGTACTGTGTAATATGGATATTATGGACATTGTAGCATTAATGCTCAACAAATCTAAAACAAACACCGATATTTAAGAAATAATAAATAATATTTTATTTTCATTAAGTTTATATTTTTTTCTTGAATTAAAAAGTGATTTTTCCCACTGGACACATTTGTACGGATTGTTAACAATAAATACCATTTTAGGTCACAATACATACTTAAAATCGCAGTCAAACACAAATTGATACTGTATGTATTAGGCTTATTATTAATCATGAGCATTTTGTTATCTTTTCTATTTATATTCCGCCTTCAATTAATTTGGACATGTTTGGTCAGTACCTTGAAGCTTTGGAAGTATTTAACAATGCATTCAGTAATTGTAAAATAATTGTTGCTGGTGACTTTAATGTCGCATCATTCAACAGTGACGTTAATGATCAGAAGACTCAATTAATGAGCAACTTTATTTCGTTTTTAGATTTAACTAATTTAAATAATATTCCAAATATAAATGGTCGAATACTGGATTTAATTTTAGGAAATATCGAAATAGAAGTTCTCAGAGATAATACACCTTCTATTAAAGAGGACGTTCATCATCCTGCACTGATCATGGAATTCATTACATCCGGATCTCCAACGAAATTCCCATTTGCTAATTCTCCACGGTTTACTTTCGCAAAGCTAACTTTCCTGAGGAGGTGATCAATGCAGTTAATGTTGATGTCGCTTGTACCGCCTTGTATTTAGTTATCAATAACATCTTTGAGGTCTATGTCCCTAAATGTAAAAATAAAATGTTTTCGTATCCCCCACGGTTCACACGTGAAATTATACTTAATATCAAGAAGAAGGACATAGCAAGAAGGAACTGGAAACGTGACGGTACTAAGTTTCTTATGATCATTTCAGTAATTTTAGGAAGCTCATTAAGAACCAGATCAGTGTTGCCTACTCCGCTTACGTCCAATCGGTTGAGGATGCCATTTTCAATGATCCTAGCAAATTCTGGTCATTTGCCCAGATCAAAAACAGCAATCTAGAATCCCCCCAAGGATGACGCTTAACGGCAATGTCTGCGATACTCCTCAGGATATAGTATACAGTTTTGCTACCTTCTTTCAACAGTTTTTATCCCGTCTGGTCTACTAGGGTCATCTCCTCCAACAAATAATTCTACCGATATCATTTCTTTAAAAAATATAAGTGAAGAAAACGTAATTAGGGCTTCGAAAAGATTAAAGAACCAAATGACGTCTGGATGTGATGGTATTCCCAGTTTTTTCGTTAAAGATTGCATTCATATACTAGCGAAACCGCTGGCTTCCATATTCAACCTAATTCTAAAATCAGAGACATATCCAAATATCTGGAAGACCTCTAAAATATGTCCTATTCACAAAGTGGAGATATCTCTGATATTTCCAACTATCGCCATATAGCAATCCTGTGCATTTCAGCAAGTTGTTTGAGATCATCGCTTATGAAACGGTTTTACTGCTCGGTCAGGGGTGCAGTCTCTATTAATCAGCATGGGTTTATGAGAGGCAGATCTACGGTCACCAACTTGGCTCTAATTACTCAGTACATTTCTGAAGTACTAGACGGTCAGGGACAAGTTGATGTCATCTACACAGATATTCAGAAGGCGTTTGATCAAGTTGATCATTATGCACTTCTGGATAAGCTTAAAACAGTGGGTATGTCTGATGCAATGCTGTCGCTCATGAAGTCATATTTGAGGGATAGAAGGTTATCTGTCGAATATGGTGGTCATAGGTCGAGTTACTATCGGGCCACGTCCGGGGTACCTCAATGGTCAAATCTAGGTCCATTATTGTTTTTGATATTTATTAATGACTTGTCTTTTAAACTGAAGTGTTTCCATTTGTTTTTCGCTGATGACCTTAAAATCTGCACGTCAGTCAAGACAGTCGAGGATTGCGTCATGTTGCAAGATGACTTAGCTCTAATTTCGTCATGGTGTTCACGAAACTGTCTCAGTCTGAATGTTTCGAAATGTAAAGTCACGACTTATACAAGAAAGGTTAACTATTTAATTTATGATAATTATAACATCAATGGTCAGGTTATAGACAGATGCACCTCTTATAGAGACCTTGGAGTCATTTTTGATACCAAGCTAACGTTTACTGAGCACATACTCAATATCTCGTCGGCTGCCACTCGACTACTTGGTTTCTGTATCAGAAACTGGAAGGGTTTCTCCAATGTTGATACATTAATGACTTTATTTTTTACTTTTGTCAGGAGCAAGTTGGAGTATGCGACTCTGATCTGGTCTCCTATATACCAAAATTCTGTCGTGATCCTTGAGGCCATTCAACGTAAAGCTTTAAAGTATTTTCACCTTAAATGCACAGGTTCTTATCCAGAAAGAGGTTGTGACCATAGTGCCCTATTACAGTTTTTCAATTTGGATCCACTGTCAACAAGACGAAACATATTTGCTTTGTCGTTTTTGTATGGCCTCATTCACAATAAAATTGACTGTCAAAATTTACTTCATAAAATATGTTTCCGCGTTCCAAGGCTAGGGAGTCGACAACAAACGGCATTCTATTGTCAAGCTGGCCGTACAAATGTTATGAAAAAATCGCCAATTAATCTCATGTGCTGCGTCATGAACATTGTTACTGAATCGTGTGATAATTACAGTGACAGTTGTGCATCGATTATTAACTGCTATAGATCATCCAATCTTATTTAGAATGTGTGATACTATAGATTTAAGTCCAAGAACCATGTCTCTTTAATTGTTATTGTTTTCAGCATTTCCTGTAATTGGGTTTCACCAGTTGGAAATAAATAAATAAATGACAGGAACTGATAAGTGTGACGCTTACTAACACAACAACATTGCAAAACGTCAGTTAGGCGATTAGAATTGTTTCCAATGCTAACCTGACCAAAGACGGGTTTCAATTGAACAATCCTCGTATATTCACCTGTAACTTATTTTCCTTAGTTTTGATGTCTGAAAGTTTATCTTCTAATATAACTTCATAGTGTTTGATCATCGTGACGTATCTTGACGGTGTCGAAACGTCCAAACTTGTATTTAGGTATATTTTTGGGAATTTCTCGATGCAAGTCATTTTTAGGTCATAACAATCATTCCTGCAAAAAATAATGGCACGACAGAATGTTTGTATTTCTTAATTAGAATTAATTTTAATGTCATTTATTTTTAAAATAATCTAAATAAAATATTACTGTTCCATAATCTTTCTTGGCACATTTTCAATGGCGTCTTTGCTCCATTGAGTCTTCCACATTATCCTACAATTTTGAGTAAAGTACAGGCAGTCTTGTAAAATATTCCAAAGATTCTCATTATCCCCATCTAGGCAAATGACGATATGCAGTTTCCGTCTAACTCCTAAAATACACGATTTGTATTCAAGTATTCAGAAATAGATAAACAGATTAAGAGTTACGCTCAGTGAAGTACTGTATCAAACTTCCATCAAAGTTTTCCCTCTCCATATCGTCTTTCAGTCCTTTGACTAACGAGTCAAGTTCGGTGGTTGAATATAAATCTGGGATCTAGAAGAATATCTCTTCAAAAATACAGTACATATTTTCAATCAAATGTATTACCTCAGAAGAAGATATTAACAAATTTATTTTATCATAATTGGTATCGTTGCTGAATATGTGATCTCCTATTACGAGGTACACTTCTTCTCCCTCCAAAGCAGACTGTTGCAAAGCCTAATAAATAAAACGTTAAGCTGTATACATATTTCATTATTTGGAAGCAATAATTATAACTGATGTTTATGATTAGAGATTTAACATATCGGAGAAAAACGGGAAAAATTAGGAAAAAAACACGTTTTTTTCCAGACCATGGGAAAAATTGGAAAAAATGGGAAACTTTAAATATTTTTTAATTGTGACTTGAAACGTAAAAAATAGCTACCAATCTTAAAGTTTTTTAAACATATTTTGTAAAAATGAATACAAAAACATACTTTAATAATATCTATTAATATCTAAGATATAAATACATACATGTATATAGGGTCAAATTATAATTATTATCTAATAATTGAAAGTATCAAAAACAAAGCTTCAAATGTAGAAAACACATTATTTAACCAAAGCGCTCAGAGGTATATTTTCATCTGTGTCTGAGTTTGAAACATCAGACCAAGCATCTGATTCAGACTCGATCTCCGCTTCGTCTTCATGGACGGACAAAACAGCATAATCTTTGCCAGTGTCTTCTAAAAGTGGAACTGGTCTACCATCGTAAATGAATGTCTGTTTTTCGTTTATAACTAAATTAGAATTGTATAGCAACCAACTTATGAATTTTATCCTGTGATAATCTATTTCTTTTGCTTGTATGTATGAGGCCGTGTAAAGACCAGTTTCTTTCTGAAGAGGCGGAAGATGGCGGTCCATTTAAAATTCGGGAGGCAATTGGCATAAGTGTAACTGCGGTGTACACAAGCCTTGCCACCATATAGCGGGATGAGTACTATTCGCACTATCCCATAAAGAATTTCGACTAAAAAATCCAGCTTTTGTTCTAAATTGGGCTAGACCACCTTCCCTACATCTAGATTTAGTGAACGAGCCATTTCAGAAATGAAGTCTATCGCTTCCATTAGTTGGTCTTCATTCAATTGTTCTCCTTTAAAGCGAGCATCAAGAAGATTGGCTGCAAAGTGAATCGGCTTAGAACCAAATTCGTAGCGTTCTTCAACATATTTTAGCAAGCTTTCGAGAAGAGAACTATACTAAGTGACATATAAATCCGAACACCCAGTTTATATGGTTTTATTTTAATGAAAGTTGGTGAATGTATTTATCTTACTGTAAATAACAAGTGAAAAAATTTTCAGCCTTAGCAGTTGGACATTCCGGTTTTTATACTGCTTTTTTTTAATTTACTAACGCTCTAAAAATGAATATTGCAGCCGCAGTAAAGAATCAACGTTGGCGGATTTTGGTTCTTGACATCCTTTACGATCGGTTACGATGCCTAGAGTACGGAGACCTGTACGATTTCGTCAACTTAGTGAGTTTGATAGGGGCCGTATAGTGGGACTTCGGGAAGCTGGACTTTCTTTTCGGGCAATTGCAGTTAGAGTGCAAAGAAGTGTAGACACTGTGGTTAGGTGTTGTCAGGCATGGCTTCGAGAAGGCCGTACGCAAAGAGCAAGGGGCACTGGACGCCGCCGTAGAACAACAGACCGTGAAGATCGCCGCCTAAGATTATTGGCCTTAAGGGACCGTTTCTCCACTACCAGGTCCATTGCAAATGAATGGTTTGCAGAACACGGAAGACCTATTGGCATGCGAAGTGTTTACCGACGAATGAGAAGTTTTGGCTTGTTTTCATACCGGCCACACTGGGTCCTCCCTTTAACTCGAGAACACCGACGTAATCGCCTTGAGTGGTGCAGACAACGGTCACTCTGGGATCAGGAATGGAACAGTATTGTCTTTAGTGACGAGTCTCGATTTTGTTTAGGCATGCACGATGGTCGTGCCAGGGTTAGAAGGCGACGTGGTGAAAGGAGGAATCCACAGTTTTTTGTTGAAAGACATGTTCATCACACTGTTGCAGTTATGGTTTGGGGTGCTATAGCTTATGGTTACAGGTCACCTTTAATCTTCATCACATGAACGCGCAGCGTTATATCCACGAAGTTCTAGAACCCCATCTTTTACCCTATCTTGACACCCTGGCAGATCCACTTTCCAACAAGATAATGCCCGACCACATGTTGCAAGAGTCACAATAGACTTCTTTCAACATAATGATGTCACATTGTTACCATGGCCACCAAGATCTCCCGACTTATCCCCAATTGAGCACGTGTGGGATATGATGGGTAGGAGATTGCTCAATTTGCAACGTCCTCCTCAGACTCTAGAAGCACTTCGAGAGGAGTTGGTGGTTGCCTGGAATGAGATACCACAGAAGGACATTGACCACCTGATCAGAAGCATGCCTAGGTGCGTTAGAGAATGCGTAGCACATCAGGATGCATCCACACATTATTAAAGGTCAAAGGGCTTTAAAGCAGTGAAATCATTTTGAATTTTTTATCATTTACTTATTATGCTTCATTAAGTACTTATACAAAATTTTATTAAAATAAAACCATTTAAACTGGGTGTTCGGATTTATATGTCACTTAGTATAGTCAGGTCAACTTGTTGGGGAATATCTATTATGTGTCTTTTATATACTTAAAGACAAAAGGCACTTCTGATAATATTGACATATCCGATTCTACTAAATTTATCGATTTTGATACAGGATGCAGGATTTGTTTAGTATATTGTAGGTTTTGCCAGAACGCATCATCCAATACAACTTTTTTAATATTTTGTTTTACATTCAGGTTTTCCACTAATACAGTAGATTGCAGAGCTTCCTTATTCCTTAAAAGCGAAGCAACAGTTATAAACAGAGAACCCCATCTTGTTTTTGCAGGTAATTTGAGGGAAATTACTTTATTTTTTGGGTATTTTTCGGCCTGTGCTTCTTTAAATGCAGCATAAAGTATGTGGTGCTGTTTAAAATATTTACAAATTTTTTTAGACTCTTTACTTATTTTTCAAACAAATTTTCTTTCATAAAGTGATTTAGTAGCAAATCAAGAGTGTGAGCTGCACAACCAACACAAGTTATATGAGGGTATGTTGTATTTATAATATGCCAAGCAGCTTTCATATTGCTCGCATTGTCAGTCACTATTAAAAAAAAAATTTGTGGCCCTATTTCTTGAATAACTTTGATAATAAAGGTATAGGCGTGCATATAACAATATTGATCAATCCATCTCCGACTATATTTGTCCAACTATCTGTTACTATTGATAAACTATCGGATTCAGAAAGCGTTTGACTTCGGTTTATCTGTACACGTTCATAATCGGAATTAAGTAAGTTTGTTGACAGGGCGTAAGGGCCAGGTATTTGGTATAACGGTCTTAACATTTTAAAAACCTGTTCCCAATATTTATTTTTGAAAAGAGAAAAAGGAGCACCAGAAGCATAAAGAGCCCTAGCTAATGCCTCATCAATTTTAGAAGACTCTGAAACAGCTATCTTATCGAAAAAACCGCTCAATGTTTGTTGGCGTTTTACTGATGGTAATGGAGATTAGGAAGATGATGACATTGATGACGTGTCCTTTTTGCTAGTTGAAGGGAGACTGGTATCTTCTAACGCTTCTAGTAGGATATCTTTGGTACTTTCTTTTTCTTCTGACGTCGAAGACTTCGAACTCCATTGCATTTCATTGCCATATTTTTGTTTAATTTCCAAAGGACATTTTGAACATTGGTTTAATAAATGATTCGTCATGCGAGCTGCGTTTGGGAAGGCGTATTTAAAACAGCAAAACTTACACACAGCCTTGGATTTTTTATCTTTTTTTTCAATATCAAATAATTGTCAAATATCTGAAGAAGGTCGAACCATATTGTCCTGCAACAAGAAAAAAATACATAAATAAAGTATCTTGCTGCACTTTATCAACTGATTAAATTATTAATTATTATTACTGAATCTTGATATTAGTAATGAAGAAAAGTAAGGAAAATATGCAACGAAACTGAAATCCCACCTTCAAAACACTTAAAGCTATTCCAAATTTAATAAAATATTCACTTACCAGAAACCAAATCAAACACTTGGGTCAACAACACTAACAGAACAAACACACTCAATTATTACAGCAAAATTTCACTTTGTATTATTCATTTACTGCGCTTATGATAAGGCTAAATTAAAATGCGTGCTTTAAAATAAACAAGACGTGTCAATATTGAAGAATCTCATTCTCAACTGAACAATTCAGGAATACGGGGATTTACCGAAATGCCGTGTCGCTGTGCGTGATCGGGAATTAACCGAAAGCTGTAGTGGTCGGGGATTCACCGAAAATCGACGGGTATTTACCGAGAACTCCTCCTTCAGAGCCGTAGCTTGCGGTTTTGATTCAAATTATTTCTGTTTGATTTATATTAATGGAAAAATCAGTAACCAGAATACTTTTTCCTCAATTTTTCCGGAAATTTTAAATCTCTATTTATGATAGTTGTTTGCCTTACAAGTTTCAAATCGTTGTTAAACTGAGGCTGCGTATCCAAAGCCGGTTCTATCAGTTTTGCATTTCTCAAAGCCGAAGCTACTTTTACGGCGCTTCTTCTACCTATCCCTGGTTTGCCTATTAGCAATATGTGTCCTCCTGGGTTGCTTAAGGTTTTCGTAACCTCAGCTGTTATGTCTAGCAAGTCTTCGGTTACGACCAGTGAAAGAACTGAACCGTCTCGCTCTGAAAAAGTTAATTACCTCAAGATCGATTCATAATGAAATTTAAGTTACTAACAGAGTAATTTAATTCAGAGCAAACATCGTGGGGTGCTTGATATGTTAAATGTTACAATCATTGACTGGCGCTCCCATGGGGGAGGTAAAGGGGGTAATTGGCGCCATAGGTGAATGGAGTTGGGCGAAGTCTTGATATACAGGGTGTTTCAGTTTATTGTTGCATAACTTTAAGATTCGATAGAACTTAAATTAATGCATAAAGTCTATATAAACATGGGTCGAAAAATGCGTGGATTCCGAAATACAGGGTGTTTAAATTTGCTTTCTAAAATAGTTTTTTTAAATATTTCGAATAATATTTGATGTATAACAGTGAAAATTCGTATACAAGGGTTTTTTGGTACGACAAAACGAACCATGGGCATAGTTTTACTGTAGCCGCTAGAGGGCGCTCTCTACTGTACCTGTAGTTTATTAAAATGACCGAAAATTCTTTTTTAGTGCAATTTTTGCTTTTTGAATAAAAAAACTGATTCTTCGCACTTTTCTGCAAAAAAAAGCTCTCCTGTGAGTTTTCGTTATAGTTAGCCGTTTTTGAGATATTTCGATTTTTAAGGTTCGATGCATTTCTAATTATTTATGATAAAATAACGTTAAAAAGTCAGTATCTCGATAATTTTTAGAAGTAGGCTGTGCCTGCAAATATTTTTAAAACTGAAAGCAGAATAAGGTTAAACGTCAGTTAGTTTTGTTGTCTGTTGAAACCTGAAACGTTTGTTTGCAATTGTGAATGCACGAAACTTAGTTTCTTTTACCTGTTTTTTTTGTAAGTTTTATAAAAATGCCATTTGTATACTCGAATCAAGAGTTAGCGGATATTCATTTTGTGTATGGCTTTGTAAATGGAAACGCAGCAGAAGCAGCCAGAGAATACGCACGAAGATTTCCAAACAGACGACATCCAACTCGCTCAGTATTTGTAAAAGTGCATCGCCAAATAATTGAAAATGGTTTTGGAAATCTCCAAATGGATCAAAACATAAATGTTCGTCAGCGCAGATTCACCCGTATGATTCCGCGTGAGTTTGATACAGATCCGACCACAAGTGTTAGGAGAGTTTCTGGTGCCTTGGAAATTTCAGCAAGCCATGTTCACCGTGTTCTTAGAAATGACCATAGACGTCCTTACCATTTGCAACCTGTGCAAGGCTACAGCCAGGGGATGGAGAACGAAGAATCACATTTTGTCAGTGGATTCTTGATAGAACTGATAATAATAGGGAGTTTTTAAGTAACGTTTTATGGACCGATGAGTCATGCTTCACTAGACGTGGAGTAGTAAATTTTCATAATCAACATATTTGGTCGCATGAAAATCCGCATGCAGTTCGAGAAAGAAATTTTCAGCATGAATTTAGTGTGAACGTGTGGATTCGTATCTACCGTAATCGACTATTTGGACCCTACCTTTTGCCTGCAAGGTTAAATGCTGCGACCTGGGGGATGATGTTATGTTAGATTTAAGAAGATTGGCCTGGTTCCAGCTCGATGGTTGTCTAGCTCATTATTCGAGAATAGTTAGAAACTGGCTGGACAAAAATTATCCAGAAAGATGGATCGGCCCCTGACCTAAATCCATTAGATTTCTTTGTGTGGGATTTCTAAAAGAAAAAGTGTACCAGACTCCCGTAACCACAAAAGATATGCTAATAGACAGAATCAGGAATGCATGTGATGAAATAAGGCCTTATTTGAATATTGCTATACCACGTTCGATCATTCGTACATGTGAATTGTGTATTGAACAATTGGGTTTACATTTCGAGCAACCACTTTAGATTTTGTATGTTTGTCCTAACTATCCAATAGCATTTTAGTTGTAAATAATTAATTTAATTTGTTAAAAATAATATTGGAAAATTAAACGAATTAATATTCTGTTTTTTTTGTGTTTATTTGGAGTTAGGAATTATTGCTGTGTTTAAAAACACAATCTAAACGATCATCTTAATTACTTGTAATGCCCAAATCGAAAATGTAAAAAAAATATTATTTTCCCATAAATAATTAAGAATGCATCGAACCTTAAAAATCGATATATCTCAAAAACGGCTAACTATAACGAAAACTCACAGGAGAGCTTTTTTATGCAGAAAAGTGCGAAGAATCAGTTTTTTGTTCAAAAAGCAAAAACTTGTACTAAGAAAAATTTTTCGGTCATTTTAATACACTACAGGTACAGTAGAGAGCGCCCTCTAGCGGCTACAGTAAAACTATGCCCATGGTTCGTTTTTTCGTACCAAAAAACCCTTGTATACCAATTTTCAGTGTTATACATCAAATATTGTTCGAAATATTTAAAAAAAACTATTTTAAATAGGAAATTTAAACACCCTGTATTTCGGAAGCCACGCATTTTTCGATCCATGTTTATATAGATTTTATGCATTAATTTTAAAAGTTCTATCGAATCTTAAAGTTATGCAACAATAAACTGAAACACCCTGTACTATACGAAAAAAAATCATAATTTTTCAAAATCGAGTTAGGTCCAGTTTTTTTTTTCAATAAATCGTGATTATCCATCATATTCCAACCACCCACCAAGCGGTTTGCCCCAGTGACGTCCGGAAGGCCCCTATCCGTACTTCGATCAGAATTCGATCAAACACCTGTCATTTGTGAAAATCGACTTAGGTCCAGGATTTTATTGTATCTCGTAGAATTATGCTACTCTAGCTGCCACAAAGCGGCTTTGCCGAGTGTGCCCCGGAACATTGTTTTTCAGCGCCTAGGGCACTTAACGCGGTGTATATACGAAAAAAATCATAATTTTTCAAAATCGAGTTAGGTCCAGGATTTTTTCCGATAATTCGTGATTATTTATCATATTCTAACCACCCACCAAACTTAAATTTTATTATAACTTTATTTTGAGGTCATTAATTATGATTGATTGTTCGACCATTTTACTACTGTAATATAAATTCTTTGTAATTAAAAATTATTTTCTAATTTTTAGTTCGGTTAGTATCAATTAGTTTTTTGTGGACATGTGGTATTGAAATGTCTCAAGAATCATTCCATAATCTAATCATTTCATTTAAAGCGTCACTGTTGCATGGGTTTTTCGTCTGTTAACTTAGAGCAATCAAGTTCTTCAATCCGAATACATATTTGATACTTGGCAACATTCGCAATGAACAAGGTGAGGATCTACTACCTTGAAAAAGTATCTCTCTTTGTTGTGCTGTGCCGAGTGTCCAACCAACAAAGAGTAAGTCCGAAATTGCACGCATGCGCAGATCGCACGCTCTATCTCTCTTACTCCCCTACAGAGGATCTATAAAACAATTTATCAATCCTGGCTGTCCTAATGAGGATTATGGCAAACTGATATCAAATTATTGCATTCTCATCGGTCCTCGATACGTATGCGAAGTTTCAAATTAATCAAACTTCTGGAAATTGGTGAAAATTATGCACAACGATTCCTTTAAATACATACATACAGGCCAAGCTAATATAAAAGCGTGTTAATGAAAAAATCATTAAATTCTTACCGTACACACTTATCCCATTCTGCACCATTTCAGACCAGTCTTTCTTGTTCAAAGCACACAAATTCGAAGACTGATCAGTGGGAACATAGGAAACATCGCTAATTTTTTTAAATAGTCCGATCCACGCCACTGATTTTGCAAAGTTTCATTGATAATCAAACATAAGGCATCGTGTTCTTGTTTATCTACCAGCTTGTGACCAAACATGCCTAGGGCTTCGTATGCTATGCACTGAAAAAATAGGTCAACTAACGTATGCCCTAAAAGTTTTGGCACAAGATCATTGGCTTTAATTTTAATAAATACAAAATAATATCAAGTTGCCATTGGAAACAAAAGCTTGTTTACTTACTTTACAGTCAGTTGACATTTATTTGTTTTGCAGTGTTCGCTTTAAGATATCGTATAAATTAGAAATCAGAAAAAACATCTACATGTTATTTGGACGGGTAACCAAAGGTGAAATCTGTCAAATATTCCAGAATGAAAACATATCACGCAGAACCATTTACTGGACAACAAATTTTAGTTTTTTAATTGTATCTTGTGGGAAAAGTGCACTTCTTTGTTAATTTTGGGGCGCTGAATCCAAAAATGACAATAAAATAAAAAATTAGTTGCGGTTTAGAAAAAAAACTTTTTATTTATAAGGATATATTAAAAAAAGTAACAAGATTCATATAACGTACTTATAAGAATCACTATATGCGCTGTCTTTTTGCTGTTCTTTTATGGATCGTTTCTGGAGCATCTCTACCAAGAGTCCAACAGTAGTCTGCAAGCATGGAAGGATTCCACTTTCCCTGGTACCTTTTTTCCATTGTTGAAATATCCTGATGAAAACGTTCGCCGTGCTCATCACTTACGGCTCCGCAATTATCAGGAAAAAAGTCCAGGTGTGAGTGTAGGAAATGTATCTTAAGAGACATATTACAGCCCATCTTTTGATACGATGACAGCATATTTTTGACAAGGCTTTTATAGTTGTCAGCTTGTCTATTTCTCAAGAAATTAGTGACCATCAGACGGAAATCATTCCAAACAGTTTTTTCAATACCTGTTAAAGTGTTTTCAAACTGTGTTTCTTTCAAAATATTTCGAATCTGTGGTACAACAAAAATACCTTCTTTAACCTTTGCCTCACTTAGTCTTGGAAATTTCTGACGCAGGTATTGAAAAGCTGACCCATCTCTATCTAATGCCTTGACAAAGTTTTTCATTAGGCCCAACTTGATATGCAGTGGTGGTAATAAATTTTTTTTCGAATCTACTAATGGCATATGCTGTACATTTTTTGACCTGGCTCTAGAAATTGACGAACAGGCCAGTTTTGTCTGGTGTAATGAAGTGCCTTTGCCCGACTGTCCCATTCACACAAAAAACAGCAAAACTTTGTGTAGCCTAGCTGCAGCCTGAGTAAAAGTGCAACAACTTTCAAATCGCTACAAATATGCCATTGGTGCTCATCGTATTTTATGCATGTCAATAGGTACTTTATATTGTCATATGATTCTTTCATGTGAACTGCATACCCTACAGGAAGAGATGGTAAAATATTTCCAATGTGCAATAACACTGCCTTTAAACTCAATGTTGAACTGTCTATAAACAATCTCCATTCTTCTGGGTTATAGTTTATATTTAAAGCCGCCAGTAAGCCGTTAATGTTACTGCAGAAAACCAAGCTATTCTCCATATTTAAAAATGGTTCTAAGTCTTTGTGGCGTTTACGAAAAACACATACCGTAACATCGTCTTCTAACAAGTTCCACTGCTGCAGTCTTGATCCAAGTAACTCTGCCTTACATTTTGGAAGTATTCGTTTTCTGAAGTGTAGGATTCTGGGGGCTTTGGAATAGGATTTTCGTCACTGTGAGACACAGGTCTCATCGCAGATGGTATGTTTGGGTAGTTAATAACCGATTTTTTTTTCTTGGACATACCTGTGGCTTGTCCAACACAAGGTACCATGCAAAAGTAACAATCATTAATATGATTTGTAGGCTCTCTCTAAACCATTGGGACAGCAAAGCGCATAGACCGTTTTTTGCCATTTAACCAGCTCCTCAGACTTGAAGCACATGTATTACAGCAGATGTGGGGTGCCCACTGTTTGTCTTGATCACCTAGTTTACAACCGAAATAAAGCCGATATGCCTTTGTTATTAGTGGAGTAATAGACCGTCTCTGAGGCGCAAAAGTCACATCACCACATACGTAACAAAACTGATCTGGATTGTTTACACACTTTCGAGACATCTTGCATGAACGCTGTCAGCCAACTGAGGAAAAAATGGCTAATATAAAACAATATAATGTACACGTATGTATAACGTAACACAATCATGCCGATTACATCATATTTCCTTGCCGAATATAAAAATGTAGCACGTGCATTCTTGTGAATTACAGTATATTAACACTGTCACAGCAGGAACACATATAATTACCGTATCTCTAAAACTTGAACTAATATTGAAAAAATAAGTTTCATTCCGGTTTTAGCACATTAAAAATAGTAATATTTTGTTGATTTTATTTAGGATATTTTTTGGCTGTTGATCAGTGTTATCGAACGATAGCGGAGTGCGATCAGGGAATACCACGTCTGAATCTCCCAAAAAGTGGAAGACCACGTACATTTATTGCACAGAGGTCAGGGAGATTGATGAGAAAAGCAAAAAATCAGGTTGGAATGTCAACAAGGAGAATGACTCGTCAATATAGATCTTGTAAGAGCACGATATCGTTGGAACTGAGGAGGAATATTGAAAGAGACTTAAGTGACCCAAATAGTCTCAATCGCAACTCCTTCGACTAAGTTGCTGTCGTCAACTGGGGCAGGACACTTTGTCAATGGAAAAATCATTATTTTAGATGACGAAATTTTGGGATATCCTGTATTAAATTGGATCAATCGGTCACTGAGAAGCAGTTCTTTTCCTGAACATTTGAAATGCTCTACAATAACACCAGTTCCCAAAATAAAAAATTCTAAAAGATGCAGCGATATGAGACCAGTAAATGTGATACCAGACATTGAAAATTATTAGAGTCCATAATGCATGACCAATTAATGCAGTTTATAGAAGCTTTCCAGTTGGTAACTGAGAATTGGAGAAGAGCCATAGACGTAGAAGAAGTTGTCATAGCAGTATTTTTGGATTTTAAGAGGGCATTTGAAACGGTTGATAGAGATATTTTGTTAGGTAAACTGAAGGCATGTGGTATATCAGGAGGTGTTTTAGATTGGTTTAGAAATTATTTGTCTAAAAGGATGCAAGTTACAAAAGTTAATGACACTATTCCATCAAAAATTGAAAATACGTTGGGTGTTCCACAGGGCAGTATCCTGGGACCACTTCTTTTTATTTTATACATAAATGATTTACCTGCCATAGTAAAAAAATGCAAAATTCAGATTTTCGCCGATGACACTATGATTTATATAAGTACTAAAAATATTCAGACTGATATCTCTTATATAAATGAAGCCTTGAAACTTGTCTCAAAATGGTTAGCATCTAACAGACTCAAATTAAATACAAGTAAATCGAAAGCTACGTTAATCGGAAAAATGTACAAATGTTCAACTGAATATTGATGGTGAAGATATTGAATTCATAGAAAATTTTAAACACCTGGGAGTTTTTGTTGACGCTCGATTAATTTTTGATATTCATTATGAAAAAGTTATAAATAAGATTAGTAGTAACGTGGGATATTTACCAAGAATTTCGGGATGTCTGAGTTCATATAGCAGAAAAATTATCTATAATACCATCATTCTTACAAATTTCTTGTACTGTTCGGCTATTCTATATTTAGCAAATAATTCCATTTTTGAAAGACTGCAAATTTTACAAAACAAGTGCATGAGAATAATACTGAATAAAGATAAATATACTCCAATTAGACAAATGCTTAGCAAATTAAAATGGCTCAATGTAAAATTTTTTATCAAATATCTTGTAATGATATTAATTTATAAAGTAAAAAATAATATATTTCCATCAAGTCTAACTAATTTAACATCATCAAATGCCGACAATCATTTACATAATACCAGAAATATAGATGATTTCCATTTAATGACCCCAAAGTATAACATATGCTACAAATCTGTATTCCATCCAGAGATAAAAGACCAGAAAACTTTGACAAAATTTAAAGTAAAATTGAGGAACCACTTGTTAAATCTGCAATTATAGTTTGCCCAGCATTTACATCATTCATCATATGGCTTGAATTTACTAATTCTAAGTTGTTTACAAGTATTTCACTTTGAGTGAAGCGAAACGACGGTTTTTGTACAGACAACGTAAAGGAATGCCCTGACAATGTTAGATACAAACATAAAGCGAAATTTGCAGGTAAAATCCTTGTCTGGTGCGCAATTCCTAACAGGGGTGAATCCAAACCCTTTGTGGGAAGAGTAAGGGGTGAAGCTTTGAATAGGAAGAGCTATATTGATATCTGCCTTTCCAAATTGCTTCAGCTTGTCCACGAACATGATGCTAATGACCATATCATGTTTGGCCAGATCTAGCATCATGCATTCAAGAGATTCCGAAGACCTTAAATTGTACCCACATAAACTTCAAATAGTGCAGGGATTGAATTCGCAAGACCACCATCTACGTCGTGCGTTTGCCGAAATAATGTTAGAGCGTTTTCCAAGTTTGAACGATATTCTCTTTTCTGATTAAGCTCATCTTCATTTGCCTGGATTTGTCAGCAAGCAAAATTACCGGTACTGAACCGCAGAGAAACCCAAATTAAAACACCACAGGCCTTTGCATTCGTGGTATGTTACAGTTTGGGCGGCCATGTCGGACCCTACCTACTCGAAGTAAATTCTAATCGCTAGACAGCAATGCTTCTTTCCACAACTCCATAATTTTGAAGAATACCATAGCAGGACCTGGTTTAAAAAGATTGTGCGACATCCCATACCGCCAACGAGTCTTTAGCAGTTGTAAGAGTTTAGTGGAAAACTGATATCGCGACGAGGGGACATTGAGTGGACTCCCCACAGCCCAGATCTCACCCCTATGGATTTTTTCTCTGGGGATACCGCAAGAGCCGCGATTGCGCCAATAAACCGACGATTGTCCAGCTCACAACATTTCCGAGGAGATGTCCGCTGTCCCACGAGCGATGTGCCAGCGAGTTTTCACGAATTTGAAAGCGAGATTCGAGGAGTGCGTGTCTGACATCTCAATGATGTTATTTTTTTAAATTAAAATTTTCATGTGTCTACTTTATTCAAAACGTAAATTAACTGCCCTAGGCATTGTAGTTTTTTCTGTGGTTCTCTAAAATCCGCTCAATTTAATGGCCCACCCTGTAGTACATTTCATCCACCTACCTCTAGTATAAATGCTTCTAAGTCATCATTTCCACTGTTATTATACCTTGTTATTGACTTACACCATTCTGTTAAATCATGCGGACTGAACATATAGTGCTTTTTATTTGTTTGCAAGCGATCTTTCACCTGAAAAGGCAATATAATTGTTTTATTGCCGACATCATATTGTATCAAAATAAAGGGTTTTCCACTAAGGACTTGACAACTTTCTTTTTAAATAAACGCAAACCATTTGAGATATCTCGAAAATTTTATTATTGGATGGAAGTATACTCAAAACATTTATGTATGGAATTCGTCCTCGTCCATATGTCCATCACGAGCACGTTCGCAGCGATCGATTCGTTGAACCCAATTTTCAATGACTCGGCCACACATTTCAACAGAAACCCCGTTCAATATCGGCTCTGAGGTCCTCTAACGACGCTGGCATACACCAATGATTTAATGTAGCCCCACAAAAAAAAGTCTAGAAGTGCTAAATCACACGATCTAGGCGGCCATTCGACTGGACCATTTCTCGATATAACACGCTCACCGAATTTTGATTTCCAGATGTCGATTGTTTCACCTGCTGTGTGGCTTGTGGCACCGTCTTGTTGAAACCACATATCATTATTGCCTAGCCCATCCAGTTGACCAAAAAATAACGTTGCAACATGTCTCTGTAGCGATCTCCGTTGATTGTAACGTGAGGATTATTTTCATCAACGAAAAAAAAAAAGGCCCAATGACACCACCGGCATGTAAACCACACCATACAGTTATTTTTGTAGATGAGGTGGTGTTTCTTTAAGCCGCTTAGCCAAAAATACACCACATCACTGAAGAGGATTTTGCTATGAAATTGGTCATCTTCTTGCAACATTTCTAGAGCACAATTCGAGAACTTATGTCGGTTCATGTGATCGAACGGCCTTAGTTCTTGAGTTAACTTGATCTTATAAGGATGCAGGCCAATATCTCTTCGCAAATTCGCCATAGTGTGGTCTGAACGACGCCCAATTCTTGAGAACGCCGTGGAATCGAGGTGTTCTGTTCCTTTGGGACGAAAGCTTGAACGGCAGCAATATTCTCGGCACTTTGACCAACCTGTTGTCTCACTGGCACGGGAACATCCAGCAGCGAATATGTGGGCTCAATTTTTTTTTGCTAGACCATGAATTACTTGTCTACTGGGGCGAGAATTACAACCAAAAATTGGCGCTAACGCTCTTAAAGTTGCAGTCACAGACTCGAATTTTGGTAGTAAATTTTAGTTATTTGTAAGCGTTGTTCATTCGTGTACTTCACCATGATGAAAATATTTTCTTTACTGAATGTTTGATATTGACAGTTCGGTAATAGATTTAAAGTTGCGTTTGCAGTGAAAGTTCAAAGATATCAAGTCGCTATTGGAAAACCCGCACGGGTATCACGTATCTTGAAAAGTGACATTATTTAGGTTTTTGTATAAGATGTCAACTTAGCACTTGGTTGTACGTGTTGCCTAAGCGTCATGAGGCTTGTTATCAATCTTTGGCTCTGATGTGATATAAAATCTGCTTCTGAGACGGCATTACTGGAGGTCTAAGCTGTAAGTTGTATGTGTTGATGATAATTACATTGAGTTATTGTCTCAAATACACTTAATTTCTTATCCATTCTGGAAATGACATATACAAATTTGCTGAATTTAAAAAATGAGAGAGAGATAAGAAACAATCATATTCACTGTACACTGTCCAATTGCAAGCCGTATACATGCTAACAGTACAGTGGACCTCCGGTAATCCGACAAACATTATGCAGGGCAGTGTCGGACTATCGAATTTGTCGGATTATAGAGCACTGCCTAAGACCCCCTATAGTCCGGAATTTTTTACAAAAGAGTACCTTGTAATCCGGCAAATTACATATCCAATGGTAAGATTATATATGTATGCTATGTATATGTATGTACTTTGAAGTACAAATCATACATAGTTTATGTATGTCGAATTTAGTAAATTAAATAACAATAGAGAGCTTACGTTTTATTATAAAATTAAGCATAAATGCACATACATATGTACCAAAATAATCAAGGATTATTAATCAAAATCATTAATGAATTTATCAAATTATGAAGCTTGGAAATATTCATCAAATTTTTTTTTGTTTAAGGTTGTTATAACGCGAGATCAGAGCTTTGTCCCTCAGTCTTCTCAAAAGTAAAAGTTCGTTGTAGGATGTACCATTATCTTCTGCCCATTGTAAACCTAGCTCAAAGGCGTTAATTGCGTCTTGTGGTGTGACTTGTGGAGCAGTTTCAATCACATCGTCGTTATTTTCCTGATTGTTTGTTGTATAATCTCTTCGTCAGACATTTCATGAAAAACATTGTCTTCTTTATCCATTCCACGGCACCAGATTTCCAAATCTTCCGGACTTATCTGTGTTTCAGTAGTGACTTTTTCTATAACTTCCGAAGTTACACTGATTTGTGGAACGTTGCTAGGAGTGGTGACTATATCTGGCCATAACTTTTTCCAAGACGATTTAATAGTTGATGACGGTAACGCATTCCACGACTGACAAAGAGCAAAAACCAAGTCTTTCATATTAAATTCTTTTAAAGTTTTTTCTATTGGTTGGTCTTTTGATACGGCTCTCAGAAGTAGGTTTTTCTTATAGTCTTGCTTGACAAACTGAATGATATTCTGGTCCATTGGTTGAATCAGTGCAGTGCAACTGGGCGGAATAAACATCGCAGTGATGCATTTATCCTCAGTTGTTAGTTCTTCTTCAGACGGATGACCGGGAGCGTTATCAAGAAGCAACAACGCTTTTTGAGGAAAATTATGATCTTTTAACCATTTTCTAACTTCAGGTACGAAGCATTCATCAAACCACTTTGTGAAAAGGTCATCCATTCACTTTTTTGTCCGTAATAGAGTACAGGTAAATCAATGTTTTTGAATGCCCGTGGTTTATCAGATTTCCCAATGACCATCATCTTAAGCGCGTGTGTGCCCGCAGCGTTAGCACATGGAAGTATGGTTACACGCTCTTTACTCACTTTTCGTCCAGGTACGGATTTTTCGTTACAAGAAACGAAAGTTTTGTTAGGCATCACACGCCTAAAAAGCCCTGATTCGTCTGCATTGTACACCTGTGACGGGTCAAGATTTAAATCGTTGACCTTTTGCAAAAAAACTTAATTTAAAGGGCTCTATGCAGGTGGCATCGTTAGAAAGTTTCTCTCCTGTAATAGTCATTAAACGTATGCCATGACGACTTTTAAAACGTTCTAGCCATCCTTTACTGGCCACAAAATCATCTTTTTTTGTTATTTCCTTATAAAATAACTTAGCTTTCATGGCCCTGAAATTGGTGCATGCTTATTTCTTTCCTGAAGAAACCACATGTTCAAAGCTTCTTCCACTTCTGGATGGTCAGCTTTCTTGAGTGTCTGTCTCTTGCCTGGCCCGCAGTCAGTAGTTGACACGAGCTTCTTGATCTTCTCGTGGTTTATTTTAATGTAATAAATTGCATTGCATTCACTTGCTAAACTACTGAAAGTTTCATTGCGATTTAAGCGGTCTAAAATATCACATTTTCTTTAATTGTCAATGTTTTGTGCTATCGCTTCTGAGTTTGTGATGACATTACTAGGTACTATACTTAATACACAATGAATAAATAGTAAACAATGAACGCACGCTAGACCGTACCGCTATCTCAAGTATTCAAATTCAATTTAAGTAAAATAATGCTTACGCGTCGAGCACCATAGCGGTGGCGCGTACAAGTTGTAACCTGTTCAAACCTGCGTGATCTACATTAGCGAAAATTGTCAAATACGTATGTATGTAATATTCAAAGACATGTCGGATTACAGGGGGCGCCGGATTAGACAGGGGCCGAATTATCGGGGTCCACTGTAATTACACACAACGCGGGCGCGGTGATGATTTCCCGTAATTCTCCTCAGTTTTTCGTAATTTATCCTCTCTTCGAAAAGCACAACATAAAAATAACCCGTCGGGTACAGCCAATAGATATACTTCATTGGCAGCATATTCAGTAATGATTTTCTCACAGAGCAAATATCATTAATTTTATACACATGCAGACCAATACAAATAATCATCCAGATGCAGTCTTGCTATTCAACCAACTTTCTTCTCAGAGATAAAAACTACAGACACGGACCACTCAGCCTCACAAAACATATGCAACCACTAATGCGTGTAGCTTAGTTGAATGATTCCTTCATAGATGGACGTTCACAACGATCCTAGTGAGCAAGTGGAATGACTGTTTGCGCCCTAAAAACTACCTAGTCTGCAAGTTGACATCTTATAGGTTTTTTTTTTGGGCGTTTCATAGTTTTTTACATGATATCTGTGCCGATATTACGTAAAATAGGTATATGTATGAACTTATTACCTTTTCGCATATACTGATCATAGTTGTAGCTAATTTAACAGTTTTAGCTTTGGGAAAACTTTTCTTCGGAAAAGCAGATTTAAGTATAGCAGCTAAATACGAAGATATTATTATCGCAAAGTCTTCAGGTTCCGGTATACTAAAAATATTGTTTAATAATAATAAGTGGAATGGAAAAAAGTATATACTCGTATAGCCGTACTTACTTTACGTTAAAGATCCGTAAATTTGAAGTGAATCTTTTAGATAGATTGTTGGTGATTGTAAGAGATCCCACTATTAAAAGGTTTTCTACTGATATAAATTCGACGTTTGTGTCATAAAATCCCTTGTAAACGATCAGCTGGAAAGAATACATGATATTTGGCTTTTGATGCATGGTTTCAAAGCTATAAGTCGAAACGTTTGTAGGAAAATATCGCCTACCTGATTCAAAAATTCAATAAGAATGTTACTATCCCACTTATCTGGTTTCAAAAGATGCAGATTTTTCAGATGTAGTATCAAGTTACCCTTTTTTGGTTTCAGAACCTTTCCTTTATGAGTATTAACTTGAATACAATTCTATAAATCAGATAAAGATTATAAAATATCGCTTGTTGAATATTTTTTTAAGTATTACCTCAAAGAGTTTTGTTATAACGCAGTTTGGACTTAAATGTGCAGTACAGTGTAAAATCACCATACTGCTGTCAGTCCTCTCATTAACCAAGGTTTGAAGCATCAAGCTGAAAAAACAAATCGGCATATACACATATCACAAAACATTCAACATTTAATTAAGATGTTTTAAATTCTACTACGAGCTCTGTCTCAGTGAAGTTGGCCCAATGCCCCTAAAACATGATATCTGAGAATTTATATATACAGGGTGTCCGCAAAGTTGGGGTTTTCCTTTACACGACGTGTAGATCTTGAAAACATAAGCAATTTTTCTTAGTACCATATACACCAATGTCTTAAGGGAACCGAGATAAAGGGCAACATCAAAAATATCTGAATACCGTCCTGTAGCCGCGACCCGCGACATCACCGAGTGGTACAAGGTCACTGGCTCAAGCCGACGACTGAACTGGGTCGGGGTCAGTGTGTCAGGTCAGTATGCAACCTTCAACCGACGGTTACGGTCACGCGTGTAGAGGTAATCGCGTAGACGAGAATCCCTCAACAAGCACTAGAGACGTGGCTAGAGAAGTGAAAGTATCAAAAACTAAAGTGTGGCAAACGCTGCGTGAAGAGGGGCTGTATCCGATTTACGTCCAACGTGTACAAGCCCTTCAACCTGACGATTTTCCAGCAAGAGTGCGGTTTTGTGAGTGGTTGTTGCATCAACATGACAATAATGCTGACTTTTTGAAGTGCATATTGGTGACAGATGAATCTACGTTCACGCGTAATGGGGTGAATAACTTTCGCAACACTCATGTTTGGTCAGTAGAAAATCCGCACGCTGTCCGTCGGGCACATTTTCAACAAACATTTTTGGTGAATGTTTGGGCTGGCATGGTGAACGGTATGCTCATTGGACCATTTATTCTCCCAAATCGATTGGACGGGATGCAAGACCTAGAGTTTTTACGCAACATTTTGCCATCCTTGTTGGAAGATGTGCCATTAAGTGTAAGACAATCAATGTGGTTTCTGCACGATGGTGCACCGCCCCATTTTAGACGCGAAGTGCGTGAGTTTTTGAATGAATTATTTCCGAATAGGTGGATCGGGCGTAATGGACCCGTAGCGTGGCCTCCGCGATCTCCAGACTTAACACCATGTGATTTTTCTCTTCGGGGAGAAATGAAACGCTTAGTGTACAAAACTGAAGTGCATACGGTTGACGAACTTCGTCTCAGAATTGAACAAGCTGGTGCTTTCATTCGGGGGAGCGACTCCATTCTCAAAGCCTGCACCGATGCTTGGCTACGTCGTGCACGCACCTGTGCTTTTGAATCAAACGGCGATAACTTCGAACAATACCTATAAAGTACGTTTACCTAAAAACTGGAAACGCGGCAACGCCGTCATATTTATTACCACTGTTCGTGGTCTGCACCTCCGCCTGCGTCTGCTCGGTAGCGCATCAGCTGATTTCATTTTCTGTTGGAGCGGTATGATTTCGGGCAGAGACGTACTTAGCCCTTCTCGTCAACTGGAGAGTGAGTACTTTTTCCTTTATTTTTTTTTACTTGGTCGCCCTCGTTTTACTACACATTACCTTTGTTATTTCAAGGGTAGTTGTTTCTGAAAAGGACAACCCCAACTTTGCGGATACCCTGTATATATATATATATATATATAAACCCAGAACTGGAAGTCGCCCGCGTTATCCCAATACCAACTTAAGAGCCTTAAAACGGATTATCAAGGAAAATCGGCGTGTTAATTATCACGAATTGAAAATATTATGGAATCAGGCAACCTCAAAAAAGTTTTCAAGAGCAACTTATCACAAATCTGCTCAAAAACTTGGACTTAAAACTTACAACGTAGGCTTAAATTATTTTTTTATTATTCGTTTTTAATTTTTAGGCAAAAGAGAAACCTTTACTGACAAAGACTCAGAAGAAAAACAGACTAGTGTGGTCCAAAGAACACAAATTATGGTCTCCGAATCAATGGAACTCCATTATTCGGAGTGAGGAAGCCAGATTTGAAGTATGCGTTGGTGATAGTGTGAGTCGTGTCATAAGAATTAAAGAAGTATTTCAGAATGACTGTTTCAAAAAGAAGTTAAGTTTTCGGCTTCTGTTATGATTTGGAGATCCATGTCAGCAAGAAGAGTGGGAAACTTACACTTTGTGGAAGGTATTATGAATGCTGATAAGTACATTAACGTGCTTCAAAATAACTGAATACCCCAAATTGAAGAAATGCGCTTAAACAATATTGAATGTATCTTTCAACAAGATGGTGCCGCTTGCCATACGGCTAAAAAAGTAAAAGATTTGATGTTAGAAAACAATACTTCAGTTTTCAATAGACGTCGAGTAGTTCAGATTTATCGCCGATTGAAACCTTGTGGCATATCATGAAGAAAAAGCTCCGATCGAATCCCGCAAGAACCGTTCCAGAATTGCTAACCCGTCTTCAAGAAATATGGAACACTTTTGCACCAGGTGACTGCCAAATATTTGTTGACACTATGTCAAAACGTATCGAAGCAGTAATCAGTCGAACAGGCGATGTAACGAAGTGATGATTTGCTACTATTTGGTTTCGTTGATTTTTATGAATAGGCAGTATTTTTGAAATTGCAAGATATTCTTTGTTACAAAAAAATTAGTATTTTAGGCTAATATTAAATAAAAATATCGTATGTCATCAGAAATACATTTTAGTTTTAATACGTTTCCGCTAATATGACAAATTTCATAAAAATCGTAGTTTTAATAGTTGGGCCAACTTTACTGCATGAACATTCAGTTGTGATATAGATTTTTTATGCTTACGTTTTAGCAGATCCATGCTGCCCGACAATCAAAAAATGTCTGTTGTTGGATATCCAAACTCTCATTGTATCTAGATACTGACTCACTTGTCCTGTGTAGATCAAAGGCAACCCATTGGATATGTCATCAATAGTTATATTGGGATTAGTATAGTATGAATCGATGATGTCTCTATCGCTATTGTAATGACACTTCAGCAGTAATGGGGGTGGAGTCTCTCCTAACCAATCAAAAACCTTGAAAAGATATAATGATGAACTTTAATAAATAAACGTAAGGTGAATCAAATATCAACCGGACTTTTCTGTTTTACGCGCCATAGGTGAATGGAGTGGGGCGAAGTCTTGATATATATATTGGGTGGGGATATCCGGAAGAGGGGAGTCAGTCGATTTGGCACCAGCGTTGCCAGACGTACGATAATTATCGTTTCTGTACGATAATTTCAAGTACTGTACGACGTACGACAGTATGTGTAGGATAATAGCTGAATGTACGATAATTTTGCGAATGAGCTTTTTTACTCACAGATGTTGAATCAATCTAACAACTACGTTCGATTAACACCAGCAAACAGCTGTCAATGTTGCCGCTTGGTAGACAAGCGCGCGTACCCCACCCTGTATAATGGGTTGCCTAGCATTATACGGACTATCTCGGCAAACATCAACGGGAAAAATTGCCGTCAATCAGTTCTCAGGTTCTATGTATTGACATGACGCGCATATTTTTATTTACCCATGTGCATTAGATCGTGGGAAACGGGAAGAAAGAGTGGGAAACAAAAGAGCCCCTCCCCCCCCCCGAGACGGAAATGTCCTTCATCATGAATCCTGAGAGACGCTGTTTGGCACGCTGAAGTAGTAGATGAGCTGTTAGTAGCGTCATATCTGAGCAAGAGGTGCACACGTCTCTTGCGTTAAAATTTCTGTCGCGGGAGGACGTTAAACCTTCCGAAATTTTACGTCGATTAACAGCACAGTTCGGAAATAAGACAGTTTCAAGGTCATAAGTATACGACTGGCAAACAAATTTTCCATGGAGTGGCGAAAGCCTGGAGAGGCATCACCGCGAAAAGCCAAGACTAGTCTTTCTGCAGGAAAAGTTCGTGCAACGGTATTTTGGGATTCCAGAGGTATACTGCTAGTTTTCGTCACGACCGCCGTACATTTAATGCTGCTTACTACTGCCAACTGCTTAAAGGAGTGAAACTGGCTTATCGGCGAAAAAGGCGATACATATACACATGACAACGCTCGGCCAGACACAGCTGCATTGACCCAGAAAAATTACGCAAAATCTATTGAGAAACACTTGAACACCCGCCTTACAGACCCGATTTGTTGCCATGTGACTATCACATTGACGACGACAAAGACGTGGAACTGTTCGTGCAAAATTGGCTACTGACACGACCAGCTTCATTCTTTGATGGAGGAATTAAACAACTTCCGATCCGATCGGAAAAATGCATCAATAAGAGAAGAGATTATGTAGAAAAATAATATGTAAATCAACTTTACTATATCAATGAAATTACTTAAGCATAAGTCCGGTTCATATTTGATTTACCCTCGTATATGCAATTGCGATGATCATTTCAGCTTTTCAACAAAGTCGTATGGCCGATAGCCTATATTCTTGTTCTTACCTGCTGGGCAAATATTTCTCTGAAATCCTCCTGCAACTGCTGACCTAAGCTGTTTATCAAAGCTACACAAAAATGAGACCTAGTTTTAACACTCATCAGCTGAGAAAGTCCTGTTTCGGCTATTGCTACCTTGGAGCAATTCACAGCTATTTCAGCATCGTTTAACATCCACTTAATTGCTATAAATTCATTAGAAACATCAATAGAAATATATTCTTAAGCAAACAATATACAAAATCAAGAAATGAGTGTGTAGCAGTTCTCAGGAGGAAAAAGAAAAAATACTATGATAAGAAGATCGATAGCAATAAAAATAATTCTAAAATGATGTAGAAAACATTAAAGAATATTGGTTCTCCTAATAAAAAAACTGAATTATCTAAAATGCGTTCCGAAGATGGGGTAGTGACAGACACATTAATTATAGCAGAAAGAATGAACACTTGCTTTATAGAAAGTGTAAATCAAATAGTGAAGACGATTGACGGTGATCCAAATTTATGTCCATTACAAGTATGTCAGAATTCATCAATGAAGCAATTTAGGACAATTAAAATCAACAATCTAAGAAAAGCTATCTCAAAATTGAAATCTAATAAAAATCCAAGTGAGAACCTCTCAAAAAATATTCTAAATGATTGTTTCAATATAATTGGAGATAAATTATTCTTATTGGTGAATCATTGTTTAGTACATGGTGAATTCCCATCAAAATTAAAGTGTTCCACCATTACTCCTGTGCCAAAAGTTCAAAATTCTCAGCTGTATACAAATATGCGGCCGATCAATGTCTTGCCCGATGTCGAGAAGCTGTTCGAAGGTATAATATACGAACAAATTACGAACATTGAAGAAACCAAAATTTTGATAAAAATCAAGCTGGATTTAGAAAAAAAAATTCTACAGAAACGGCAATCCAAATGGTGGTGGAAAACTGGAGAAGAAGTATAGATGAGAAAGAATATATACTAAGTGACATATAAATCCGAACACCCAGTTTAAATGGTTTTATTTTAATAAAAGTTGGTGAATGTATTTATCTTACTGTAAATAACAAGTGAAAAAAATTTCAGCCTTATCAGTTGGACATTCCGGTTTTTATACTGCTTTTTTTTTATTCACTAACGCTCTAAAAATGAATATTTCAGCCGCAGTAAAGGATCAACGTTGGCAGTTTTTGGTTCTTGACATCCTTTACGATCGGTTACGATGCCTAGAGTACGGAGACCTGTACGATTTCGTCAAATTAGTGAGTTTGATAGAGGCCGTATAGTGGGACTTCGGGAAGCTGGACTTTCTTTTCGGGCAATTGCAGTTAGAGTGCAAAGAACTGTAGACACTGTGGTTAGGTGTTGTCAGGCATGGCTTCGAGAAGGCCGTACGCAAAGAGCAAGGGGCACTGGACGCCGCCGTAGAACAACAGACCGTGAAGATCGCCGCCTAAGATTATTGGCCTTAAGGGACCGTTTCTCCACTACCAGGTCCATTGCAAATGAATGGTTTGCAGAACACGGAAGACCTATTGGTATGCGAAGTGTTTACCGACGAATGAGAAGTTTTGGCTTGTTTTCATACCGGCCACACTTTGTCCTCCCTTTAACTCGAGAACACCGACGTAATCGCCTTGAGTGGTGCAGACAACGGTCACTCTGGGATCAGGAATGGAACAGTATTGTCTTCAGTGACGAGTCTCGATTTTGTTTAGGCATGCACGATGGTCGTGCCAGGGTTAGAAGGCGACGTGGTGAAAGGAGGAATCCACAGTATTTTGTTGAAAGACATGTTCATCAAACTGTTGGAGTTATGGTTTGGGGTGCTATAGCTTATGGTTCCAGGTCACCTTTAATCTTCATCAGAGGTAACATGAACGCGCAGCGTTATATCCACGAAGCTCTAGAACCCCATCTTCTACCCTATCTTGACACCCTGGCAGATCCGACTTTCCAACAAGATAATGCCCGACCACATGTTGCAAGAGTCACAATAGACTTCTTTCAACATAATGATGTCACATTGTTACCATGGCCACCAAGATCTCCCGACTTAACCCCAATTGAGCACGTGTGGGATATGATGGGTAGGAGATTGCTCAATTTGCAACGTCCTCCTCAGACTCTAGAAGCACTTCGAGAGGAGTTGGTGGTTGCCTAGAATGAGATACCACAGGGGGACATTGACCACCTGATCAGAAGCATGCCTAGGCGCGTTGGAGTATGCGTAGCACATCAGGGTGCATCCACACATTATTAAAGGTCAAAGGGCTTTAAAGCAGTGCAATCATTTTGAAATTTTTATCATTTACTTATTATGCTTCATTAAGTACTTATACAAAATTTTATTAAAATAAAACCATTTAAACTGGGTGTTCGGATTTATATGTCACTTAGTATATATTGTAACAATATCTTTAGACTTCAAAAGGGCATTTGAGACTATAGATAAGAAAAACATATTAATGAAATTGCGTCACTATGGCTTTAAAGGATCAATATTACACATTTTACAAAATTATTTAGTAAATAGAAGTCAAAAAACTAAAATATTATGTCAAGTGTTCAAAATATATCAGTAGAGGTGCCACAGGGGAGTAAATTAGGGCCGTTACTATTTATTATTTATATAAATGGTATCTCTGACATTTTAGAACACTGCAAAATTCAAATATCTGCGGACGATACACTTATATATATATATAGCACATAAGCATTTGGACACTGCTTTAGAACTGTTAAATAGTGATATTGAAAAATTATGAATTGGTTAAATGTCAATAAACTTAAATTAAACACTAATAAAACAAAATGTATGTCAATAGGGAAACATTTAGGTGATAATACAATTAGGTTCATGATTAATGATGAAAAAATTGAAGTAGTCGAGTCATTTAAATATCTTGGTATATATGTGGAGAGCAAGCTACTGTTTCACGAACATTATGAATACATTATTTCAAAAATATCGAAAAAGATGAATTACTTCTATAGAGTTTCCCATAATCTTAGTATGTATTCCAAAAAAATTTTGTATAACACTATAATTCTTTCCCATTTTTTATATTGTTTAACCATCTTGTCTACAGCAAATGAAAATATATTTTCAAAATTACAAATTCTACAAAATAAAGCTATGAGAATCATTTTAAACAAAAACAAATATACTAGGATTAAGTCTATGCTAAAAGAATTGCAGTGGTTGGATGTGAAAAATTTCATATATTATTTAGTTCTAGGTTTTATATTCAAATTAAAAAATCATTTATTACCACCACATTTAGAGAACATCACAAAATTAAATAGTCATTATCATAACTACGAAACTAGAGGCAGTATAGATTTTCATCTGCAAAATTGTAATAGTAGCATAACTAGTAAATCTATATTTCAAGAGGGAGTATCTGAATTTAATAAATTGAATAATGATATTAAACAGAGTTCGAATTTAAAAGTGTTTATGGAGAAATTAAAGAATCACAATGAATAATCAAAATGCATAGTGACGTAATGTTAATCTTAATTTCAATTTTAATATACAAGAATGTAAAGCTACAGAAAATGGATTGAAGAAAAATATGTAACCGAATCATTATACAAAATTGACATTGTAGCATTAATACTAAATTAATCTTCAACAACAACAATAACTAGAGGCAATATACTCACCATTACTGAAGTGATCACCGATAAGTGGGGCAAGACTCACTTTTTGTTCTTCAGGCAGTTTATTGACAAACTTCTCTATATAGTGACTTACACTTAGGTCCTCTTCACTCAAAAACACGATACCTATCCTTGATATGGTAGCAGGTGATGCATTATCTGAAAAACCAGTATCGGGACAGTGATTTTTTCAGGTATGAATCAAATTTATAGTAAAAAATTACTACCTAGGTTGTCAGTTTCAAATACAAAATTAACGTTCGATCCAAATTGTATCCGCCATCCGGAAGGCAGTGATAACAGCCTGTTATCATCTAAGACTGAATTTAGTGACTCAACCCAATCTGGGTCAATATCTCCATCGCAGTTGATCCAGGTCCATATATCTGCATAAAAATTACAAACATTATCGCTTCAGAAACATACTAAATGACATAGAAAATACAACAGCGACTAGGAGTGTTGTAATTTTGAGCATACTTTCACAAGCTCTAGTGATAAATAGAAGGTGATTAAAATTTTAACTTGAAATTTCGCAAAGTAACAGAGATGAAAAATCACTGAACATTGAGTAAACATGTTCATATTGTTCGGATCCTGATATGACAAAAAAAGCCTTTACCGAAAAAGTACTTCTCGGAATGACTACAACAGTTTATCAGCGTATACTTCCATGATAGTAAATATATTTACAAGTGTTTATCAAAATTCAATAAATAATTCCGGGTGTTGCGTTTTATATGTCACTTAGTATATTTTTAATGTTCTTGTTTTCTAACCTGGATTTTCTGATGCTGCTTGTAAACTGTAACTCGTCAGTACACCTGCACTCCATTGGTTCGAATCTGGATCAGTTTTACCCAGTAAATTAGATCTTTGCATACTTTTAGGGTTGAAAGAATAGCATTTCATTTGCCTTCCCAGTTTGAGCAGTGCCTAAACATTCCAATAAATGTAATAAATTACTATACTTCCGCCCTCCTTCTCATGGTATTGCGCACCCGTTGAAATATCCCTGGAGTGTTTTTTATTCTATCAAAAGCTGCAACTATTCTTTCTCTTAATTCCTCTACAGTGTTAATGGTACTTGTGTACACTAGTGTCTTAAGATAGCCCCACAAAAAAGAAATCTAAACTGTTGAGGTCTGGGGACCTTGGTGGCCATTCTTGGGGCCCACCGCGGCCAATCCAACGATTTGGATAAACAGTTTGTGAATAATTACGAACCGATACACTGAAATGCGCTGGTGCACCATATGTATGTACATATATTGTTTCTTGTTACTAATTGAACATCATCAAGCAGCAAAGGCAACTGTTGTTGAAGAAAATTGAGGTAAGTCTGTTCGTCAAGTCGTCCCTGCAAGAAGAATGGGCCAATAAAGTGGTGGCCAATAATTCCTGCCCATACGTTAACCGAAAATTGGTGTTGGAACTGGGTTTCGGTTACGGCATAGGGATTTTCTCCTGTCCACAAATGATTATTGTGGAAATTCTGCATGGCATTTCGAGAAAAATTAGCTTCGTCCGTGAACAGAATCATTGTTTGAAATTGCGGATTTTGTGTAATTTTTTGACGATACCACTGACAAAAGGTCACACGTCTTGGAAAATCAATGGGAAGTAATGCCTGTACTCTTAAAATATGGTAAGGATATAACTAAAATTCTCCAAACAATTTGACGGCAAATATTTAAGTGTCTAGCGATCTTCCTCGTGCTCGTTTCAGGATGTTCTTCGACTGCAGCACTGCTTCCTCAATTTTAGGTGTTCTCGCACTTAGTGGTCTACCTTCAGATGTTCCTTTTCGGACAGTACCAGCTTCAACAAGACGGCGATAAATATTAGAAAAGGTTCGACTATCTGGCAAAGCACGATCGGGATATCTCTGATGATAAATCCGTCTGGCTTGCTCACCATTACCGTCGGCGAGGCCATATACGTAATGCATTTCCGCCATTTCTGCATTTGAATAATTCACCATTATTAACAAGATCGTAAAAAGTAAATAATGAAAAAGATGTCACAGCGAACAGATTAGAATAACAGAGGCTTGTCAGATGTCAAAAGTCAGTGACATATTCTAGAGCAACTAGATATGTATTGCTAAACTTCAAAAAAACAAAATTTATTGCATTTACATCCTATTCAAAATTTTTACCTACATTCGAACAAATTTCCGTTAATTATCATGGCCAAAAGACCAAAATCGATAGAGTTAACACTTTGAAATATCTTGGAATATTTATAGACTCACATCTAAGGTGAGATAACCATATTAAATATGTTATCAAAAAAATTAGAAATGTTGCCTATAAACTCAAAATGCTTGCTAACATTCTTACAGAAAGTTAGCAAGCCTATACCATGCCTTAGTTGAAACCCATATAATATACGGCATCACAGCCTGGGGTGCCGCCTGCAAGACATATATTTCTGACCTGAATATAGCACAAAAAACTGTTTTGAAAGCCATTTTCCATAAGCCAAGATTATATCCAACGAACAACTTATATCAAGAAACAGGGATACTTGATACAAGACAACTTTATTTCTTACATGCCACCACCTTATACCATAAGTATTGTAATGAAAAGAAAAAATCCTATAAACACGAGCATAACACACGATTTCGAATAGGCTCATCTAATATCCAAAGACCACACAAAACATTATTCAAAAAATCATTTAAATGCTTAGCAGCTAAATTATATAATGTAGTACCAAACGAAATAAAGATACTTAATTTTGGAAAAAAATTTAGAAGAAAATTGAAAGACTGGGTTAGTAATGTGCAGCGAATGACTATACATAATTATATAGAAAACTAAAACTACAAAATTCCAATTACATTAATACCTTTTAGATTTAACAATAATTGTTATACACATATATGATTGATTGTTAGTTATTAAGATATAAACCACACACAGGCGATGCCTTCTGTGGTTTTTTCATATTTATTTGCCCATTTTTTGTATTTTGGCGAATAAATATTATTTTTATTATTATTCTTCAGTTATTATTACATTAATATTCTCGGACAATAGAACGGTTTTATTTTTTTACTCAAAAATGGCGGATCGGAGGAAAACAATTCAAGAGCAATCATTTGTTTTAAATTGAACGGGGAATTCAAAAATAATTTTTATTTGGCAAAAAACCATGGGCGTACCATTTTTTTCTTAAAAAATATCGAAGTCAATACCCGTACGCACGCTACTGTTGAAGCTAAAAATTATTTTTGTATTGAAAAATAGGCAACTTTATTAACTTTCTCTACGTACTAAATATCAGTGAAATATCTGAAGCGGTTCTGAAAATATTAATTAATTTCCATTTTTTTCCTAAAACTTCCTAAAACACCCCGAGTTTTTGTAAGGAAACATTTTTGGACCATAGTTTATGAAGCAAACTAACATTAATTTTTCATGTAGATTCACACCCTTAAATATTTGCATATCATTAAGGAACACCCTGTATATTGCCATTTCAAATCGGATACAGTCCCAATTTAATTCTACTCTTACCTTTTGCAGTAAGTCTCGAATTGTACTTTTTCCTGAACTTGGAGGACCCACAATCGCAACGCCCATTCTCTGTTGCAATTGTTCATAAAATTCTAAGCATTTATTGATCTGAAAAAGCCAATAATACGGTATTAAAAACAATAACAATTGTATAATAAATTTACCTGTCTGTTATTAATAACAATACCAAGTTCATGAAAACTTTCCTCCAAACATTTAATGAGCATTTCTTCTCTATTTACTTCGATACTATTTTCCTTGAAAACATCTTTGATGATCATGTCAAACTTCATCGAATCATTGAACGATAGCTTCGAAAAAGTATCTGTTTTCAAAACTTGAATCACTATTCCCACCTCAGTCTCATAGTTAATGTTTATCGTATCGTTCTTCACTTTGAAATTTTTCAAAGCTCTTCCGCAACCGCTTAGAACCGTTTTGATTGCTCTTAGACCAAAATCGTAGTGTTTCTGTTTACTCAGAAGATTGCTAAAAAACATAGTAGATGATTCGTGGGTACATTAATTTCAGGTAAGTAAGTATTTCAAGTGAAGGGTAAGGAAAAATATTTTCAAAAATTTACCGAAAAAATAAAAAAAACAGACTTTAAGGTATTTTATGTACAGTAATGGACAAAAGTATATAGACAAATTAATATTGTGCTGTGTTTCTTTTTTAACTTGTTTTATTAATACACCAACCTATATACATAATTCGTTATAGCATAATACTCACTTATACATAAATAAATTCAATAAAAAATTAATTGAAAAAAACTGGAACTATGAAGGACAAAAATATATAGACAAAGCAAAACAATTACAGAAAAAATAAGCAAAGTTCATTGAATTATAGAAAACCAACCATGTTGGTGTTAATATTTTGTAGCATAACCATTATTATCAATCACCGCCTGGCATCATCTCGGCATAGATTGTAGAAGTTTCTTGATCTAAGATTCATCAATCTGTCTCCACTTTTGCTCTAAAGCGGCAAAAAGTTCATCCTTGTTTGAATAATTTTTGTCTCGTATTTGCTTATCTAAGTATTACCATAGATTTTCAATGGGGTTTATATCTGGAGACTGTGTAGGCCATTTGAGAACTGGTATTTTTTTCATCCAGAAAGAATTTCTTTGCGAGATTTGAAGTGTGCTTCGGGTCATTATCTTGCTGGAAGATTGATCTCAAGGGCATATTGTCTTCCATATATGGTAACATGACATACTTTAGTATGTCTGTGTATACAAACTCATCCATAATGCCATCTATTTTATGTAAAGGTCCCATCCCAAACCCCGAAAAGCACCCCCAGCCCATCACTGATCAACATCCAAAAAATATCCTAAATAAAATCAACAAAATATTACTATTTTTAATGTGCTAAAACCGGAATGAAACTTATTTTTTCAATATTAGTTCAAGATTTAGAGATACGGTAATTATATGTGTTCCTGCTGTGACAGTGTTAATATACTGTAATTCACAAGAATGCACGTGCTACATTTTTATATTCGGCAAGGAAGGATGATGTAATCGGCATGATTGTGTTACGTTATACATACGTGTACATTATATTGTTTTATATTAGCCATTTTTTCCTCAGTTGGCTGACAGCGTTCATACAAGATGTCTCGAAAGTGTGTAAACAATCCACATCAGTTTTGTTACGTGTGTGGTGATGTGACTTTTGCGTCTCAGAGACGGTCTATTACTCCACTAATAACAAAGGCATATCAGCTTTATTTCGGTTGTAATTTAGGTGATCAAGACAAACACTGGGCACCCCACATCTGCTGTAATACATGTGCTTCAAGTCTGAGGAGCTGGTTAAATGGCAAAAAACGGTCTATGCGCTTTGCTGTCCCAATGGTTTGGAGAGAGCCTACAAATCATATTAATGATTGTTACTTTTGCATGGTACCTTGTGTTGGACAAGCCACAGGTATGTCCAAGAAAAAAAATTGGTTATTAACTACCCAAACATACCATCTGCGATGAGACCTGTGCCTCACAGTGACGAAAATCCTATTCCAAAACCCCCAGAATCCTACACTTGCGAATCAGAAAACGAATCAGATGATGGCGATCGAGTGATTCGTCAGGAAGAAGATATGCCATCAACGTCAAGAGATCCTGATTTTATACCGAGCACGTCATGCCACCAACCGCACAAAATAACACAGTCAGAATTAAATGATCTTGTAAGAGATTTAGAACTTCCAAAATGTAAGGCAGAGTTACTTGGATCAAGACTGCAGCAGTGGAACTTGTTAGAAGACGATGTTTCGGTATGTGTTTTTCGTAAACGCCACAAAGACTTAGAACCATTTTTCAATATGGAGAATAACTTGGTTTTCTGCAGTAACATTAACGGCTTACTGGCGGCTTTAAATATAAACTATAACCCAGAAGTATGGAGATTGTTTATAGACAGTTCAACATTGAGTTTAAAGGCAGTGTTATTGCATATTGGAAATATTTTACCATCTCTTCCTGTAGGGTATGCAGTTCACATGAAAGAATCATATGACAATATGAAGTACCTATTGACATGCATAAAATACGATGAGCACCAATGGCATATTTGTGGCGATTTGAAAGTTGTTGCACTTTTACTTGGGCTGCGGCTAGGCTACACAGTTTTGCTGTTTTTTGTGTGAATGGGACAGTCGGGCAAAGGCACTTCATTACACCAGACAAAACTGGCGTGTTCGTCAATTCCTAGAGCCAGGTCAAAAAAATGTACAGCATATGCCATTAGTAGATTCGAAAAAAATTTTATTACCACCACTGCATATCAAGTTGGGCCTAATGAAAAACTTTGTCAAGGCATTAGATAGAGATGGGTCAGCTTTTCAATACCTGCATCAGAAATTTTCAAGACTAAGTGAGGTAAAGGTTAAAGAAGGTATTTTTGTTGGGCCACCGATTCGAAATATTTTGAAAGATACACAGTTTGAAAACACTTTAACAGGTATTGAAAAAACTTCTTGGAATGATTTCCGTCTGGTGGTCACTAATTTCTTGGGAAATAGAAAAGCTGACAACTATAAAACCCTTGTCAAAAATATGCTGTCATCGTATCAAAAGATGGGCTGTAATATGTCTCTTAAGATACATTTCCTACACTCACACCTGGACTTTTTTCCTGACAATTGCGGAGCCGTAAGTGATGAGCACGGCGAACGTTTTCATCAGGATATTTCAACAATGGAAAAAAGGTACCAGGGAAAGTGGAATCCTTCCATGCTTGCAGACTACTGTTGGACTCTTGGTAGAGTTGCTCCAGAAACGATCCATAAAAGAACAGCAAAAAGACAGCGCATATAGTGATTCTTATAAGTATATGGATCTTGTTACTTTTTTTAATATATCCTTAAAAATAAAAAGTTTTTTTTCTAAACCGCAACTATTTTTTTTATTTCATTGTCATTTTTGGATTCAGCGCCCCAAAATTAACAAAGAAGTGCACTTTTCCCACAAGATACAATTAAAAAACTAAAATTTGTTGTCCAGTGAACAGACCCGCCTCCATGTTTGACAGTGGGCAAAGTGTGCTTGGGGTTCAATCTTTGTCCACTAGGACCTCTAACGTAATGAACACCATCTGACCCAAACATTTTGAACATGGATTCGTCAATGAAACATATCCTCTTCCAGTGACAGATGCTCCAATCAGATGCAACCGTGCAAATTGTAATCCGTCCTTACGGTTTTTCCTCGAGATTAGCGGCTTCTTAGTCAGGCGACGTGCAAATAACTTCAAATCATTTAATCTTCTACTAATAGTTTTCGTAGAAACAGTGACAATTGCTTTTGTCCCGATTTCAGATTTTATTAGTCTTGGGGGTTTTAAACGGATCTTTGGACGAAATTACTTTTATTAATCTAACTGATCTAGCATTTAGTTTTCTAGGCCGACCACTTCTCTTAGAGGCTTCCAAGATACCTTTTTATTTATATTTGTTCAATATTGCCCAAACTGCTTTACGCTTCAGCTTCAAATTTTTGGCAATGTCGACTTGACGTTGACCATCTTTGTATAACTCAATGATCTTATTTTCCACATGGTCTTAAAATCACTCAAATTATTCCACAATACTTTATGGACACAGACTAAACTGAACTAAGCTAATGTTGAGAAGAATTTGTCTACATATTTTTGTCCCTCATAAAAAAGTGCTTGTATTCAGACTTGTATTGTGTTCATTGCAGATAATGTAAAAATAAGGAATTCAGTTTTTCGACTTATAACGCATTTGTTTATGGAGCAATGAAGTATGAATTCGTTTTATAAAGGTATTTAGATAAATATTCATATTTGTCCATTACTGCATGTATTCTGTTGATTATACAAAGTGTTCATTTGAAAACAATTCATATACAGGGTGATCATTTGAAAACCTCCTTCCACGGATTTATCGAAAACCACTGTTTAAGAGAAAAAATTCTCTAGACACGTCAAAAGATTTGTCAAGAGGGACAACTTTTCAACCAAAAACTACTTCATCCCCTTTCACTCGGCCCCCGAGGGTCATTCCCTTTAAAATTTTAAATGACAAGGTGTACCGAGTATTAGCTTGTTTAAAAGGCCTTTCAAAGTTCTTTATTTTGACGTTTGATTTTTTGAGATCAGTCTATTCGTTTTCGAGAAAATTAGAAAAATCTTTATTTATCTTAATTTGTCTAGATAGAAAAAAATTATCTTGAAAACGAATCAAGCTATTTTGAAAAATCAAACGTCAAAAAAAAGGTCTTCTAAAGACCTTTCAAACAAGCTATTACTCGATACCGCTCAAAATTCTTAAGGGGAGAATCCTGGGAGGCAGAGGGTGAAAGTAGTTTTTGATTACAAAGTTGCCCTTCTCAAATCTTTTGAAGTGTCTCTTCTTTTAATCCGTGGTTTTTGATAAGTCCGTGGTGGGAGCTTTTCAAGTGCACCCCCGGTATGTACCTAGCTACATCGTAGACAGCAATCAATTTTATAGCAATGATATTCGCATTTTGGTAGCCATCGCAATGCAACAAAGACCTGGCTATCTGCACATGGTCAGGATGCGTCATCACCACTGGCCTGAACAACTGTTTCAAATTGTCCGGTAACTTATTTCTGCCACCGTAGTCACCCCCAGCTGGATTAAGGGTCACGAATATGCCACAATGCTTATTGACGGAAACCTAAATCGGTAAAAGTAGTTTTTAATATTCATCCAAGGAACTCTTATACTACAAAATCATTATCACACGTTTGTTTAACACTTCTTACGTTGAATTGTTGAAAAATACCTTTTGTTCCAAAACATCCACAGTTTCTTGATGTTGTCTTATAGCAACCTGGATAGGATGAATTATCATAGAGATAGCAGACAGCGTAGCCTCATCAAGTCTATTGAACTCGTCAAAACATCCCCATGCTCCGGTTTTAACAAGACCTATGAGGATTCTGCCCATTCCGTTAGCATCAATTCCCTACAAAATTATATACAGGGAGTTCATTTGAAAACCTCCCACCACGGATTCATCGAAAACCACTGATTAAAATACAAAACACCGAGACACGTCAAAAGATTTGTCAAGTGGGACAACTCTTTAACCAAAAACTACTTCACCCACTTTCACGCTCGGCTCCCCAGGGTTATTCCCTTAAAAATTTTAAATGACAAGTGGTATCGAGGAATAGCTTGTTTGAAAGGTCTTTCGAATTCGTTTATTTTGACGTTTAATTTTTTTAAATCAGTAGATTGGTTTTTTTTAGAAAATTAGAAAAATCTTTATTTATCTTAATTTGTTCTGATAGAAAGCAAAAACGCCCAAAAATATCACTTTTTACTTCGATAAGTGTTCAAAATGTTGCCCGTTAGGGTTTGCCAAATCTACAATTCGTTTATAAATTAGAACGGAAATTACCAACATAAACAGCAATTCGGAAGATTAGACGTGCAGCGATTAATGATAATACCATTCACGTAAAGAATATCTGCTTCAGTGGTGAATGAACATTTTTGTCTAAATAGATTTGTTATTAAGCATAACTGCAGGTATTGGAGCGTTGATAATCCTCATGCTTTTGTAGAAGGGCATACCCAGTACCCCCAAAAAATTAATGTATCGGCAGGCATTTTAGGAAACAAAGTGACTGTGCCATTGTTTATTAATGGAAATTTGAATGGAGACATTTATTTGGATATGTTGGAACATACCATCAATCCTCTTATCACTGAAACCATTGCAAAACCAAATCGAAGAGGGTTGGAAAAACTATACTTGATGAGGCTTAAATATATTTCCAGCAAAACGACGCTCCTCCTCGCTATGTTCTTCTGGTTCGGCAATGTCTATACTACAACTATTTAAAACTGTAATGACTCATACGCGTGATCAACACGTGATCAGAGCTCGATCCCGGCTTCCTTCCAGTACAGCCGTATAGCGTACGACATATGTCGTTTCTGTGGCTTTGCGGTGGTCAACAGCACAGACAGAGATGGAAATAATGGGTGATTGTTCTCCGCCGGTAGAACCAATGAAATCAAAGACGCGCCTCGACCGGCAGACTCATAGGCGTCGGCAACGCAGTGGAACGTGTTTCGTTGAGCGATCGCATATTGTGTGTTTTTATAAGAATTGTTGTGTGATTGTTATTGTTGTGGTTTCTGTGGTTACTGTTTTGGTTATACTTAACCATGGAGAGTACAAATGGCACGAGTGGAAGTACTGAAAGCCAGGGAACAAGTAGACGGCTTCGTAAAGCACTGAAGAGGGACGCGAAAGAAATCGTGCTCAACGTGTTCAATTATCTGAAGCGATCAAGGAAAATGAAATTATACCCCAAATGAGCGTCGAGGTAATGAGGAAATCCCTGCACGAAATTAATTTTCGTTACGAAACGCGTAATCGGAAGTCAGTATTGATAGAGAGACCTGAAATAGTCGCCTGGCGTCGAAAATACCTACGCGAAATGATTGAATATAGGCGACAAAGCAGAAAAATCTATTATTTGGACGAGACATGGGTAAATGCAGATCACACAGTTAAAAAAACCTGGATAGACAAAAACGTAGTGAGTAACCGACAAGCAAGCATTGAAGGTTTGTCAACAGGTCTTCGTGGACCGTCAGGGAAAGGTCAAAGATTGATCGTAACTCATATTGGTAGCGATAGTGGCTTTTTAGAAGAGTGTGACTTGATTTTCGTCTCTAAGGAAGGAGGTGATTACCACGACGAAAGAATGCCAGCTGCTTCGACAGCTGGTTTCAAGGGGTGCTTCAGCGAGTTGAGCCCAACTTTGTGATCGTCATGGATAATGCTTCCTACCATAGTCGTCGAGCCGAACGTGTACCGACTATGGATCTCGAAAAAGTTGCGCGAAAAAGGAATCCCGTTTGACGATTCATGTGTGAAAGCGGAATTGTATGAAAAAATTAAACAGCACAAACCTGCGAACATTAGTTACGTGACTGATGAGATGGCCCGTCAATGTGGTGTCACTGTGCTGCGGTTACCGCCCTACCACTGTGAACTGAACCCAATAGAGCTCATCTGGGCTCAAGTGAAGGGTTATATTGCGCGCCATAACACAACCTTCAAATTACCAGACGTTAAGGTTTTACTTGAGACTTCCATACAGCTAGTAACGCCCGAAGCTTGGCACAATGCTATCCGTCATGTTGTGAAGGAAGAAAAAAAAATGTGGCAGCTTGACCACCACATCGACACCATCATAGAGCCAGTTATAGTCAATTTCAACGAGGAAAGCGATAGCGACAGTTTATCACTGTCAGATGTAAGTGGAAGCGACGATGAATAAAGGTAATTCTCAAATTTTTGACTTACAATATGTTTCAAACCACTCTTTATTAAGCATGTGACAAATCTAGTTCACCCATGTTAAATATTCATACCCCGCCTATGAACAGCCGACTACTGGTAGTTAAGTGATGTTCACGTTGAACATCGATGAGTCATTACAGTTTTAGATAGTTATAGTATAGACGACGAGTTTCCAGATAAATGGATATGGCGAAGAGGGACTACAGAATGACCTGCTAGATCTCCTGATTTGACGCCATTAGACTTTTTTCTATGGGACCATTTGAAATCAATTGTGTTTACTCCCCAACCTGAAAGTTTGGATAAACTTCGTCAACACATCATCGAAAGCTGCCCTAATAACCCACAACATGTTTCTGAAAATGTCCGTCAGAAATTTCAACATGGCCAATAACGAGCAACATTTTGAACACTTATTGAAATAAAAAGTGATATTTTTGTGTGTTTTCGTTTTCAATCTGAACAAATTAAGGGTAAACAAAGGTTTTTCTAATTTTCTTGAAAACGTATCGACCGATCTTGAAAAATCGAACTTCAAAGTAAAGGACTTGGAAATACCTTTCAAACAAGCTATTACACGATTCTGGTTTTCGATAAATCTGACGTGGAAAGTTTTCAAATGAACACCCTGTATATGAATTGTTTTTCATATTGTTTACTCACTTCATCGCAATTAAAAACCAAAACTTGTCTTCCTAGAAGACCACCAAGTGCCTTGACGGATTCAGTTTTGCCGGTACCCGCTGGTCCATAAGGATTGCCACCCATCCCCAAATGAATAGCCTACAAATCAGTAACCTTTTATTTTCCAAACCATCCATGCTAATTATGTTTTTATATGTTGTAATATTTCATAGTCAATTGATTCTTCCACTTTTATAGCACAAAGGATGACAGATATGCTAGTGCCTTGTAAAGTGTTGCTCAAGTATACATATTGAATAACAGTGGCCTCATCATAGACCCTTGCGGTATCCCGTTCCTAACTTTCACGTAAAACACATTTAACAAAGAAGCTTCTGATCAAGAGACACATATTAGTTAGGCTTACTTGTGTTAGGGTGAGGAAGCATCGGTCAGTTAGGGTAGTTTGCACCAATTTTGGAGCATTACCCAAGTATTCATACGAATAGTCCATTCTTGCATTTGCCATTTTTATTGTTACGTCTCCTGCTGAATTCACATAATATCTAGAAGCAAAAAATATCACATATGCATGTAAAAGATTATCATTACGTCAAACTGAAATTTGTATCATTTCGCTTCCTACCTTAGCTGTTTTTGCCATACCCAGTCCGATAGTTTTGTAACATTATTGCTAAGCAGTTCTTCAAGCACAGTTATGTGGTGGATGGTATCAAGAAGCAACGCTTTCAGCTTTATATTCAAAACATTATCAGTTTCGGTGCTACCTTGTCCACTGTTTAATTCTAATGAACTATAGTGAAGCAGTTGTGTCTGCAATGGTATATCAATCTTTTGTATGAGCTGTTTTCAGTAATATTTATAAATAAAGTATAAAATGAACGCAAACAAATATCTTACTTTGTATTTAGCCAACAGAGGTGGTAAAGCCATACTAGTTATAGCCTGTTCACATTTCGCAGTGAATGTAATGCTATCAGATAAACAAAGTATCTGAGATGGATACGACAGAGGATCTGGAGCCTGCTTCTCTTTCTGGCAGTTCACCAGCAGGTCTTTCAAAGTCCGTTGCATTTCTTTCACCAATATATTCAACCATTGCTACAAAATATGATATATCTGTATTGCTGTTACCTATTTGCTAAGAAAAAATCTGAACCATCCATAGCAAGGTCAAGTTCAACTACTGGCGTCTTTCAAGATCAACCGGTAGTATCACATTATTTTGGAGATGGCTGTATACAATAGTTATGAAATATGTTATTGACGATGGTCTTGAATATATCGCTGATCTTGAAAGCCTATTATGACATTTGGGATCTCTGGCTGACATAGATTTTTCAAATTATGCAACCCTCTTTAAAATTCAACCTCGACGTTGGATGCAAGGTCATGATTCTCAGTTTATCCTCCAAATGAATGGTTCAATAATGATATGAAATATAAGGTAGTGATATTTTTTTATCTTGCAGCCCTTGTGTCGGACTGCTTCCGCAATATTCACAATCTACACGATAAATGTGATCATTTCCGCATAAATGGGCTTGAAATTTTGCTACGAGAGATCACCCTGTAGTGCGTTACAGGCGCCACATAGGCGCCATATAGGTCGTTAGATATCCTAAACCGCATTTGCCGAGAAATGCGCACATCGTCGGCAAATAATGCACAGTCTGCAAAGTTGTATTTTTTGCCAGCGGTGGGGGTTCTACCGATTTATAAAAACTAGACACGTGGGATTTCTGCCCTGGGATCACTCGGGGCAAATCTCTCCTCGCGGGACTGGAGCTTCCTGGGCCAAAAAGTAAGTGCTTGTTTCATTTTATTGCGCAGCGTTTTGTTAATACATTTTAATATTTTATTTTTTTGTGTTATAATTTGAGCCTACACATCAGCGAGCCTGCTCAACCCAGAGCAAACCTGCCTGCTTACGTCATAGTCTAGACAATATGGGTTTGAGCTTGAGTTCAAGGTCATATTCTTCATGTCCATATACGCGACATTAACAAGTGATTCCCGTTTAAATAAAATCCTGGAATGACCTCGAAGTCAAATTCTATAATAACATTGAACTCTAAGTCGTCCTCGATCAGGTGATAAAATTATTTCTGATGGAATGTTGCGTGAAATCTTTAATTTTACCTCGATTGGGTGATGAATGCTGACAAAATTCGACAAATTGACGATTTCTCCTTCAGCAGAGCACATTGCTACGATATTCTGTCCATTTTCATCCAACTTTACGCTGTTAATGCCAGCAAATATTTTCTTCAGATGCGCTTGAATAACATGTTCCTTCGATGACTGGCCTATAACTTCTAACAGATCATCATCGCTTAAGAATAGGAAACGAGGAAATTGTTCGCGTTTCTCCTGAAAATTGGAAAAATAATGCTTGCAAATGACCCTGTTTTAGAAAAATGCCACCAATCACTCAAATGCAGACGACGCGCCACATTATAGAACAGGAAAATTAGATACAAATAAATTGCAACAGAATTTTCAAGGTTCTCTCTAAGTGTATGGACATATGTATAGTTCACGACAGATGCAAAAACAGGCGGCACGCCACTTTATAGATCAGGAAAATTAGATTTGAATAAATAGCAACAGAAGGATTTTCAAGCATCTCTCCAAGTGTTGCTCCACAAGTATAGTTCTCGAAGGACTTATAGTGTCTGGTTTTCTGCTTCTTATGGTGCCGATACTGTTGTAGTATGGTAATTATATGATACAGCTCTAAATAATGATGGAAGCTGGTTCATCTGTATATAGAGGGTGTTTCAAATTCGACCTTCACCATTGAGATCTCTGAAACTGTAAGAGATACGAAGTCGCTTAAATGGGGTCAAAGTTGCTTATTTAGGTAATCAACAAAATGCCGCATCGAAACTTTCGAAATTCAAAGTACTTCTGTAAAATAAAGGAAAATGAATTTGCACATTAACATTGAAACTTTTTTTCCTCTACAATATGGCATGATTGGAATACCAATAAAATGTTTCGTCTCTGTCCTACAGCACCAACTTTATTTTTTCTTATGAACGCCATATCGGATTTTTGTGCAAATAAAAGTTTTAAATTTTGGTTTCAAAAATGTATAATATGTTATACATTGACATTTCCAACATTAAATTATTCCAGAAAGATAGAATATCCTAGGTACGCCTTGAAATTTTCAGATTTCATTTGTTTCGTATACCAGACCAGACCTCAAATTGAACATAGCAACAGAGTTTGGAAGACTGAGAAAAAAGAAATAAAGCGAGAACAATGTACATAGAAGAATTAGGCGTTGCCTACAAAATAACGGACATTCCAAACATCTGCTATGATTTACCTCTGCTTATTTCTGATTATTATTGTTATTAGCGTCAATAAAATTTTCATATTATGTTCAGGTTTCACCATACCTTTTTATTTTGTTATAGTTTTCATCCTTCAACAAATTCATGACCAACTAAGGAAATACACCGCTGAATTTAGGACTGAAAAGTTCGTTTAAATGTACAAAATTCCAATATAGCATCCATATGAAAAAACAAAGTGGGAAAGAAAAAATCTCGAATTGAAAATTTTACTTGTAGAGAAGAATGAGTAACAATGATAATATGCAAGTTATTCTAAAATCCCATCTCAAATAAAGTCAGGAAAAAATAAAAGTGATTTTGGGATAAATCTGGTATGTGAAACAAATGACCATCTGATAATTTCAAGGCCAACCTTGAAAATTCTGAGTTTTTTTAAATAACTTAGGTTTGGAAATGTCAATGTATAACCTATCATATATTTTTTGATCAGAATTAAAAACTCTATTAATCTGTGAAAACCCAATATGCGGCCATAATAATAAATAAAGTTGATTCTGGAGGACAGGAGACGAAACGTCACATTGAAATTTTAAGTAGGCCATCCTGTAGAGGAGAAAAAGTTGAAATGTGAATGTGCAAGTTATTTTGGAATCCTACTACAAATAAAGTCAGGAAAAATTAAAACGGTTTTGGAAAAAACATTTATTCCCGTCCCCGGAAGTACTTTGAATTTCGAAACATTCTAAGCGGCATTTTTTGTTGATTACCTAAATTGCAACTTTGCCCCCATTTAAGCGATTTCGTATCTCTTACGGTTTCCGAGATCCCAATGGTGAAACACCCTGTATAATGCAGCTCAGCAATGTGTAATAACATAAAAAGCACTAATAGTTTCATATAACTGCTCAAAATCTAAAATAAATCGCATTGTTTGGATCCGGGTCTAGCAACAAATTCACATAATTTCACTATGCTATAAATTAACCCACTCGAACCAACAAGCTGGCTGGTGTGTCCAGACGTTGTACAGAGAAGCCACCTCCTTTTATGGCTTTTTAACGATCGTCGACAAAAAATGTGAACAGATACTATAAGTCTGTCGTGAAATATTCATGTTATAGATCAGGCAAATTAGACAACAAAGAAAAAAATTGGTCGATCGATCTAAACACATACATCCAATGACCTAAACCAGAAAGCAATATTTTGTTAAGCGTTAAAATTATTCCTTATTTACCTTTAAAAAGTTATTCAAACTGTTCTGACACTTTGAGAGTTGGTCAATTGCGGTATCCAACAGAGATTTTAAATTTGGATACCGACACAACGCACCAACTCGTATGTCCTTTTCAATGTAGAGCAACACATGCTTAAAGTCCCTATCGATTCTGTCGAATCGCGTCTTTTCTTGTGCTAACGTTCCGCTTGCAAATATTGGCTCCAAATAAAGCCTGAAACATTAAACAAATTTAAAAAAAAAATTAAGGAAATTATTCGACATATCTTTTTTCCTACACTACCTGGCGAAAAAGCATTCTAGTCTCGAAATTTTTTTAAAATGAGGTATTATGGTTTTTGGGTATTATATATATATATATATATATACAGGGTGACTTCGAAGTTGAGTCATTTATTTTAACAGTGAGTAGATCTGATCAAAAGAAATGTTTTTTTCCTTTACCATTTTTCTGGTAAAATTAAAGTAACAAAGTTATAGCCCCTTGGAAGTTTGAGTACCGCCCTGTCTCAATAATAATATTATGTGCTCATGTTTGGCGACAACGGATATAATTCGCCTTATCGGTTCATCGCATCGGAAACAAAAAAGCGAAAGAATTTGGAACGATGTTTTTACAATTATTTCATTCAGTTGTATACAGTCAGTGTCAGTCGGTAGTGGATAGTGGTGTCTGTTGCGTGGCTCAAACGAAATAAAAAATGGCACATGTTTATGCGGATCGGTTTCCCAATCGAGTGCAACCAACCCCTCGTGCCTTTGTTAATGTAGTACAACGGGTTCGTGAATCATTTGACTTAAGACCTCACATATGGACGGCATGCCGGTGCTCCAAGACCTCACGATCAAATACAGGTCCGCACTGAAATACTTGTCGGGAGGATACTTTATAAAACAAGGTAAAAAATTTTTTTTAATTCTTTTTTTATTTTTACACACATATTTTGGTTAATCTTCCTTCTACAATCATTATCTGACAATTAATGACTCAACTTCAAAGTCACAGTGTATATATATATATATATGTGATCACATTATGGCCAGTCTTCATGTGGTGTCGCTATTCAGTAATATCTATCTGGATGTTTGTACTAGAACTTTAAATAGACACTGGGATAGGATAAGTCAACACTGCAACATATCTCTAGAATCTTTCACCAACATTATAACATTTCTCGTTCATCATAACTACTTATCTTTCAACAACAAAATATATTCTCAGACACATGGTTGTCCTATGGGATCTTTTCTATCACCAATTTTGGCAGAATATGTTATGGATGATCTGCTCCTTCCAGTATTTTACCAAATTCTAATAATCCAAGTAATATTCTCACAACTCCTAATAACAGAACTGATATAATTCCCAACAACAACACCAATTCCAATAACAATATAACCGCCATCCCAAATTCCAGACCTGGTTTTGCTATCCTACCCTTTATCAAAGAACTGACCCCTAAGATGATCAGACTATGTAGCCCGTTGAACTGTCGAATTGCTTGCAAATCCGTTCTCACTATAAACTGTATTTTTTCAAAGATGAAAGACAGAGTCCCGTTGCTTGGCTTAACCAACACAGTTTACTCTATCAACTGCAATAACTGCAACCAAATATACATAGGTCAGACTTCCAGATTTCTAAAAGGAAGGATTTCATCACACAAAAGTGGTTCTAGGCTTCAACCCGAGAGATGTGCTATGGCATCTCATGTCAATACATTAGGGCACTCTATGAACTACACAAGTACCAAAGTTCTTGATAAAGAAAAACACCTATCCAAACGTTTATTCCTGGAAATGTCAGACATCTCCATGAATGACAACTGTATGAATAAGAAGACAGATGTTCAGCAACTGAGCGTCATTTACTCATATTTGCTAAACTGCGAAAAGTTGGATCACTTAAACATCTCTCCAACTTTTGACTTTTCACAACCATAAATGGAATCTGGTTCTTTGGTCTATTCCACCCTTTCCCTCCAAAATTTCCATTCCAATCAAATTTGAATAATTTTTTTCTCATAATAAAATCATAATTGTTTAATTCAATTGTCCATCTCATCAACAATATAGTTTGTTCAACTGCCTCTGACCTATTGCCAAGTTCTTATTTAACATATCTTGATAAATCACACCATCTGAAGTGATTTGGCAACATAGCACACACCTTACAAACATTTCGTTCCATCCATCGACACTGACACCACCAACCTTCTGTCATCTGTCAAATGTTTCATCCTACTTATAATCCTGTGCTATACCATTTTGTGCAGCACCAGGTGGATCACGATGTAATTTTAACTTTCGTTCTAAATATTTTTAATCCGTTTTAATTTGTTCCTGACATACAGCTGTGTGTATTTTATATTAATTTTAACGAATGTACCATGTATCCGGCTTTCACCAGGCTACTAAATGTTTTTAGCAACAATCTCACATACTATTGTAAGTTAATTTAAAATCATTTTGCACAATAGTTGCTATTTCTTCTCAATATTATTGCAGCTCGTGATGAAGATGGCAAAGTCCATTGAAAGCTAGAGACTAATAGAGTATAAAGAGTCCTCATTGCTTGAATTTTGTCGAAGTACCCAACTAAAGGCGGAAGCTTTATTTTTCACCTAACTGGTCTAGATAACAATGACCACGTCTCAAGTTATATATATATCACGAAAAATCATGTCTACTTATGTCTGTATGTCTGATTGTCTCTCCGCTAATCCTAAGATTGGCTATAACTCGGGAAGTTCCGCTGGGATTTCAATGAAATTTTCACAGAAGATTACTACTATGCCAAGGACGAAAAAGCTTTTTAGTTTTTGAAAATCGATCCAGTGCCGGCGGATCTAGCGACAAAAACATGAAAAAAAAAAATAAAAATCGCCCAAACTTCGTTTTTCGATATTTCAGAGACTCCTGATCGTTTTCAAGAAAATTTTTGTAGTGGTTAAACGATAACTCGCTTCAGCGGTGCCCTGGTGGGCGCTGCCGCGCAGATGTGAAAAGGGACAACGTTCTCAGATAGACAGTAATTACCGATGGAGCAGGGACATAATCGGTACAGACTACTTGTATGGGCCTGTTCGACTGTCTTGATCTGTTTTATTTCTGCAGAGTCAACCTACTTGACGCCGTTTTTTACATACCATTTTCTCTGTACATTCATCAATGATGTGACATGATGGTCTAAGTCTCCAAGCTTGGTCTCCCACATATTTGCTTTATCGGCGAAAGATTCGTAATCCGCAGAAAATTTGATTGATTGCAAAGACTTTGATGGTCGCCAATCTAAAAGAGAAAACGCGGTTAAGTTTCTTTGCTTCATGCTGGGATAATTAATATTTTCTACAAAAAAGTCGACGTGTCGAATATCCTAATCAACATTGAATTCGTTTTATTAGTATAGGATACTTACCTTATTTAAGATAGTTTTATAGTCTTTCACCAAGGAAATCTGTTTGCCTGTAGAATCAACGTGAGGCGTCAAGGTAAACCTACACTGAACGTCCCACTGATCAAGTTCAGATAAAGCCTGTCTCACAATTATTTCACTGGCTGCTTTTTTCGAAATAACCTATGAGATCAAAAATATTATAAAAAGTAATATAGTACACAGGTTTGTGGCAAGAAGAATCAAATTTTGAATAAAGGCCAGGTTTTACCTGTAGTTCCTTGCTTTTTTCGGCAAGTTTGTGGGATACTTCCAGAAAATCGTTCAACAGTAGTTGGTCAACCGGTTTGTACTCGATGTCGAGGAGGCTGAACGTATCCATCCAGTGTTTTTCTGAAAAATCGTCTCCTCTCACGTATTTTAAAAAAGGCGCCACCGTCTGAAAAATATTACAGACTTAAATTTTTGCAGTATCTGTATTCCAAATATAAATTGAAATCACCTCATACTTATCAACTTCTTGCAACAATCGCGTTACTAAAGCTGATTGCTCACAGTCACTCAATCGTTTGTTCCATTTCTTTACAAAATCTTCAAATAAAAATATTTTTTTTCTGAAGACTATCCAGTGTTGCTCCGATAACTCAGTTAACTCTAAAAATTGAGTCAATGTAATCAATATTTAATGAATTATTGAAATATACTAAGTGACATATAAATCCGAACACCCAGTTTAAATGGTTTTATTTTAATAAAACTTTGTATAAATACTTAATGAAGCATAATAAGTAAATGATAAAAATTTCAAAATGATTGCACTGCTTTAAAGCCCTTTGACCTTTAATAATGTGTGGATGCACCCTGATGTGCTACGCATTCTCCAACGCGCCTAGGCATGCTTCTGATCAGGTGGTCAATGTCCTCCTGTGGTATCTCATTCCAGGCAACCACCAACTCCTATCGAAGTGCTTCTAGAGTCTGAGGAGGACGTTGCAAATTGAGCAATCTCCTACCCATCATATCCCACACGTGCTCAATTGGGGATAAGTCGGGAGATCTTGGTGGCCATGGTAACAATGTGGCAAAGAAGTCTATTGTGACTCTTGCAACATGTGGTCGGGCATTATCTTGTTGGAAAGTTGGATCTGCCAGGGTGTCAAGATAGGGTAAAAGATGGGATTCTAGAACTTCGTGGATATAACGCTGCGCGTTCATGTTACCTCTGATGAAGATTAAAGGTGACCTGGAACCATAAGCTACAGCACCCCAAACCATAACTCCAACAGTGTGATGAACATGTCTTTCAACAAAAAACTGTGGATTCCTCCTTTCACCACGTCGCCTTCTAACCCTGGCACGACCATCGTGCATGCCTAAACAAAATCGAGACTCGTCACTAAAGACAATACTGTTCCATTCCTGATCCCAGAGTGACCGTTGTCTGCACCACTCAAGGCGATTACGTCGGTGTTCTCGAGTTAAAGGGAGGACCCAGTGTGGCCGGTATGAAAACAAGCCAAAACTTCTCATTCGTCGGTAAACACTTGGCATGCCAATAGGTCTTCCGTGTTCTGCAAACCATTCATTTGCAATGGACCTGGTAGTGGAGAAATGGTCCCTTAAGGCCAATAATCTTAGGCGGCGATCTTCACGGTCTGTTGTTCTACGGCGGCGTCCAGTGCCCCTTGCTCTTTGCGTACGGCCTTCTTGAAACCATGCCTGACAACACCTAACCACAGTGTCTACACTTCTTTGCACTCTAACTGCAATTGCCCGAAACGAAAGTCCATCTTCCCGAAGTCCCACTACACGGCCCCTATCAAACTCACTAAGTTGACGAAATCGTACAGGTCTCCGTACTCTAGGCATCGTAACCGATCGTAAAGGATGTCAAGAACCAAAATCCGCCAACGTTGATTCTTTACTGCGGCTGAAATATTCATTTTTAGAGCGTTAGTGAATTAAAAAAAAGCAGTATAAAAACCGGAATGTCCAACTGATAAAGCTGAAAATTTTTTCACTTGTTATTTACAGTAAGATAAATACATTCACCAACTTTTATTAAATAAAGCCATTTAAACTGGGTGTTCGGATTTATATGTCACTTAGTATATGTTCCTACCTTTATGAAACTCTTCGAAAATGTTCCATGACTTTTCGTATTGGTTTATATCATTTTCAACTTCTTCTATCATCAGAAATTCCGGCTTTTGGATACCAAATTTATCAAAATCGTTCCTGTCAGAAAAAATAGAAATAGCGCCCAAAGTATGAAAATAAAGTATTTTGTCGAAATCTCAAACATTTCAGAACACTTACATGAGTTCTTCCTTCTTTAACAGAATAGCCTTCCATTCTATCTTTTTATTTCTGATACCCTCTAATTGTACGAGTAAATCTTTAATGCTATCATCGCTATAAGCTCCCGAGTGTGGTCTAGGCTTAACCTGCTCCCATTTTGCTACGAAATGTTCGAGTTCTTTTTCCATATTTTCTCTTCTTATGTTTAACGTCGTCCGTATCGTTTCCATCTAATGTATTAGAAAATTAACAACAATAATGCATCATGCATCATGCAACAAAAAGGTTCACGGCTAGAAACATTGTGTTTGATTAAAATGATTTCTACTTGTACGTTTTATGAAGGTTTTATTAATATTTAGAGTGTTCTGTAATATAATAATCATTGATCTGGCTGTTCATTTACCTGTTTTTCAATAATATGCTGATGATTCTCCAACAAACTTTGCAGTCTATCCCAAGCACCTTTGATCCTATTTACCGATTCCACTTGTTCCTTTGTCCAACTTGCTAACGTTTTCGATTTCCTCATTAGTTCTTCAAAAGTATTTGCCATCTACGATTGTAATTTTTTTTTTCATTTACGAGTGTCATTTTTTGAGCCAGAACCGTTTTGTATTGGAGTCAGAGAAAGTTTATTTATGGATGTAAATTATATCACAAACTAAAATATGGACATTTTTCATTTTTCAACATAGTCACTATAAACATTTAAACATTTGTCAAGCCCTGTCACCAGCTTTTGGATACCTTCGTCAAAGAACGATATAATAATTTTCCAAGCACTATCCACCAAGAAATTCCTTGAGTTTTCTGAAAAGATTAAAGTCTGATGGTGCTAAGTCAGGACTGTATGGTGGATGATCCACTAACTCCCATCGAAACCTACTCAGTTGCGTCTAAGTCCTTGCCGCAACCTGAAGCTGAGCGTTGTCGTGAAGCAAAACGATGCCGCTAAGGAGCATTCTTTTCCGGCGGTTTTCACTAGGAGAACAGTTGCCTAATTCAACGAGCTGCTGATGAATTTAAGCAGGAGGAACTTTTGTTGCATTTGGGAACCGAATTACTAAGCGTACTTTAGAATTTACTGATGACAAAAAAAGCAGTATAACAACGCAAGCAACACCGACAGAGACGTGAAACGTAATGGCGGCATAGCGAAAGATTTGCCAAGAGTGTCTGAGGTTGAACGGATGCCACGCGTCACGTTGCGCGAGTGCAATGCGTAATAAGCTTTTATTTTAAACATGACCCTTGTACAGGGTGGCCCAACCATGTGTGGACGGAATATCACTCATAAACAAATACATTTTGGGAAAATCGCATTTGACGGCACATTTCTAAAATATTGGCCATTATACAGGGTCTCCCGATTTCGACCTACATATTAAAGTTATGATTTTTCAAATAGAATGCCTCAAATTTTATTGCATATTTGGATAAACCAAATCAAAAGACGAAAATGATATGACATACTATGGGGTTTTGGTAATTAGCTACTGAGATATAAGGTGTTCTGTCTAGAAAAAAAAACCCACTTCGGCAACCTTTCAATCCGCCATTTTGAAATTTGGAATGCTGAATTTTGTATCAAAGAAAACCTACATACTCCAGCTTTTATCTTATTTGTTACTTTTTCGAATTTTAATTTTTGCTCACACAGGGTGATCAAAAACGAAAATTATAGTTTTTCTCAAAAATTTCAAATGCATCACCCTGTATATTTGTGCAAGTTTGGATTCACTTTTTTGTAATCTTGTTTTTGATACTAGACACATAAAGGTTTTTACGGCTATTTCTTCGGATATTAGCACAACTTTTATAGAACGGCTTAATTCCCTAAAATATCGCATCATCCTTGGAAACAAATAAATTGTTGATTAGTTAAAAACTGTCAAAATTAGCTTTGTGAGCATTATAATAAAAACGTGTTTGAAAATGAATTTTTCTAAAGAAGAAATGGTGAATATGGTGTCCACACTACGAGAACGTTTTGAATCAGGTGCAGCAGTGGAATATAGTAAGAAATGTATAAATAATCCATGTGTCACAAGCTGGAGGGTCTATTAAAGTTGCAGGAAAATCCCCATTTAAATGCACGGCAAATTGGAGCAGAAACTGATATATACAGAACTTCTGTCAAATCTGTACTCTTAGTGGCAATATGGAACTAGCCCACTGTTTGTCTTTTGTTTCCATGGATGATGTGATTTTTTTCTTAATTTTGGTGTGCTGTTCTATTAAAAGCTCAATAACTCAAAATCTAGTGACTTTATCTGAATCAAACCTCATATCAAAAAAAAGGCTCTTAAAAATTGAATCCAAATTAAGAACAAATATACAGGATGATGCATTTGAAATTTTTGAGAAAAAGAACAATTCGCGTTTTTGACCACCCTGTACCAGCAAACATGAAAATTCGAAAAGTAACAAATAAGATAAAATCTGAGGTGTGCAAGTTTTTTTTTTGATACAAAATTCAGCTCTCAAAATTTCAAAATGGCGGATTGAGGGGTTGCCGAAGTGAACGGTTTTTCTGGACAAAACACCTTAGATCTCGGTAGCTAACTACCAAAACCCCATAGTATGTTATATCAATCTTCTTCTTCTGAATTAGTTTATCCAAATATGCGATAAAATTTGAGGCATTCCACTTAAAAAATCACAACTTTGATATGTAGGTCAAAATTGGGACACCTTGTATAATTGCCAATATTTTAGAAATGTGCCTCAAATGTCATGTATAACATGCTATAAGTAGATTTACCCAAAATGTATTTGTTTATGAGTAATATTCCGTCCACACATGGATGGGCCACCCTGTATATAATGACTCTAGTGTATTTTTATCATAAATTTAATGATACGTCCTCGTATAACTGAGTAGCGTGAACACTAGGCAACCAGAGTTACACGATCGGGCGCAAGCGCTTGCCGGCTGGGTCGAGGTTCAAGAATAATCGAGGCATATCTAGAAGCATCTGCTGCCATCTTCCATAGGGGTTCGCGAAAACGCTGGTATGTGTCTTGGCTCGTCGATAGAGACGTAAATATCCGACCAGATGGCAAAGCGAGGCAGGCACAGTCGAGCCAGTAAACAGCGATCCCGGTATTGAGATGGAATAATAGTCCAGTCGACATAGTTACAAAATTGTTATAAATCAGTTGCAAGTGGTATAAATGGGACTTTTGACAATAATAATTACAGCTACACCTTACTTATTTTCGACATGTTCCTTGCGATGCTTTTGTGACAACTTTTTCTGTGTATTATTATTAGTAAATAGAATTTGATTCAACCCACCATTGGTGCTTCTTCTAGAATATTCTTATGGACAGCCCCAGATTCCCCGATTTCCTCGATGGTCAAAGGTTGTCTTGTTAGAGCTGACGTGGAATGATTGATGTAATCCTGAAGCTTTACTACGTCCTGAGCTATGGAATCTTTCAAAGAGTAGATCAGTTGATCCCAGTAGCTGCGATTATGCGACTCTAAATCCGATCTCAGTCGAGATAGACTGATGACGAAGCAACCCACTCGTTCTTCGGTACTTGAAAAATAAAATTGAAAATATGAATATTATTTCAAAGAGATTTTGGCGCCATTTGACCTTGATCTATGCTACTTCTTTACGTACTAAAACGTCCAGAGTTTGGTCCTTAAAAAAAGGTGTATTATAAAGGTTCCCCAACATTTTTTTTTTTTTAAACAAAAATCCAGGAACTTTCCGGTGTCCCATTTTAATCATTTGAATGTCATTTAAATGATTGTCTCCTTGGCGATTCAAGGTCATAAAGCTCAAATGGATATTGTCCCTCCCTTTTTTCACATCGGAATAGCAAATAGGAGCAAATTTTACGTCCTAGCATCACTTTTGCCATGACCTTGCATTGCCTTCGCGGACACTTCAAGGTCAAATCAAGACACCGAAGACAACTTGGTCTAGCAAAAACGTTAGACAGCACAGTTTTGAGGTTTGTGGAAACAACTCAAAAGTTATCTTCACCTTCATGGTCACGTCAAAATCCCCAAAGGGAACCTCACTTCTTTATACTGTAAATGGAAAAAACAATGCGACCATGACCTCAAATTGGAACTCATCTCAGACGTGGATGTCATCTGAGTTTCATATTGGGATGTAAAATTTCATGATTTTTCCATTTACAGTATAGAAATGACAAATGGTCAAGGTCATGGACAAGGTCACATTTTTGTGATCCCCACAAACCTTATAACTGTGCTGGGCAACATTTTTAGCAGACGGAATTGTTTTCAATACCTCGATTTGACCTTCAATTGGTCTCGAAGGCAATGGTCAAGGTCGTGATCAAGGTCATGCCCGGAGGTAAAATTTGCTGTGACCTTTTCCCTTCCGATGTGAAAAAGAGTTTCATTTAAAAATATCGACTTGATCTTGAAAGTGACTTTGAAGGTCGTAGTCAAGGCCAATGCCAAGGTTTTGCCCTATCCATACCGTAGAGATTAAAATGGGACACCGTGTATAGAGGCCAAAGTCTATCAAAAAAATGATAAACTAGGGTTGACGATTTTAGATCGATTAATCCTAGAATCGATTTCTCGGGCAAAAAAAAATCGAAACTTTACCACAGAAAATCGATTTTTTTTTATGTTTTGATGAATACATTAAAATTATTTAAAGTTAGTTGAATGAACTCAAGCACATAAATAACAGTTTTTCACTTAATTACTGAAAAACTAGCGAGATGGCTGTATGCTTAGTTTCCTTCCCCTGTATTTAATATTCATAAAAGTCATACAAATTTTACTTTTGTAATCTTTGATTTGTTGTAATCGCTGATATTACGGAGATCGGTTATTTTGTTGCCTCTCTTCTTTTCTATAAAATAGATTAATATTTATATTGTGCAACCTCGAAAAAAATCGATTTTTGAGGAAGCGACGTTTTAAGCCTCAATTCATCAGATTGCGATTCGGATCGACTTATGAATCGATCTTTTTCGAGAAGAATCGCCATCCCTAATAATATACAGGTTGACTTCGAAGTTGAGTCATTTATTTTAACAGTGAGTAGATCTGATCAAAAGAAATGTTTTTTTCCTTTACCATTTTTCTGGTAAAATTAAAGTAACAAAGTTATAGCCCTTTGGAAGTTTGAGTACCGCCCTGTCTCAATAATAATATTATGTGCTCGTGTTTGGCAACAACGGATACAATCCGCCTTATCGGTTCATCGCATCGGAAACAAAAAAGCGAAAGAATTTGGAACGATGTTTTTACAATTATTTTATTCAGTTGTATACAGTCAGTGTCAGTCGGTAACGCGTCAGTGAATAGTGATGTCTGTTGCGTGGCTCAAACGAAATCAAAAATGGCACATTTTTACGAAAATGCTGAACTTGTGAACATGATTCTTATTTACGCGGCATCACGGATTTATGCGGATCGGTTTCCCAATCGAGTGCAACCAACCCCTCGTGCCTTTGTTAATGTAGTACAAAGGGCTCGTGAATCAGGTGACTTAAGACCTCACAGGGGAGGGCATGCCGGTGCTCCAAGACCGCACGATCAAATACAGGTCCGCACTGAAATACTTGTCGGGAGGATACTTTATAAAACAAGGTAACAATTTTTTTTATTTTTACACACATATTTTGGTTTATCTTCCTTCTACAATCATTATCTGAAAATTAATGACTCAACTTCAAAGTCACCCTGTATAAGCATGCAGACCGACGAGAAAAACAATTGCTGTGGGAAGTGAAACATAAAAAATATAAATATTATTATTATATATTATGTTATTATTGTTGTACAGTGAGCGATTCGTTTTTAGTGTGCATAAAAATTGTACCTGGACAACTTAGCAGTTTCTTGTCCGAAAGTTTTCGAAGCTCTGAAATGAATATCCCAATGTTGCCAGCTCGTCAATTTCGTAATGTCAAGTGACTCTAACTGAATCCAAGATTTCCAGTGTTCTATCACCTTCCTCAATTGATCAAAAAGCTCATTAGTGTGCTTTGACACATTTTTCAAAGCTTCGCCATTCCTAGAATATGTTGAAAAAAAATAAAGATAAAAAACTGAATCAAGTGACATAAGCATCATCATAAAAATTGTTTATTTTGAATTATGTTTTTTTACAAGTGTCAGTGCAGAAACCACGAAAGTCAATTTTTTGCTGTTTTTCTGAAAACACTTCATTAAAGGCGTATTCTGGGTATACACCTCAAAACTCACCACACATAGCGCCACGTAATACATGTTCAGTGCAAAAACATAGTCCGGGACTTTGGACACAATTACAATGTCGGTTTTTCTGCTGAAAAAATACATTCTGATGCCTGGTAGTGAAATAAACACGTGGATATTTCTACAACCAATTTCCGATTATTGAAAAATAGTGGAACGAATAACTCTATGATTTTTCCACGACACTCGATTTACGGCTCAGATGTAAACACATATTTTTGATGTGATGTAAAATTGGGACACTTTAGAAATGTGCCCTTGGGATAACCTATAAATAGTTTTCTTTGATATATACAGGGCGGCCAATATATAACTGACTGATTAAATTGCGCGCCATTTTTATACATGCATTTCAGTAGGTGGCGCCGTAGTAGTTGTTTGAAGCACACGCTTACAATTTATCATGGGTCGCTACACGATCCCACAACGCATCCGTATTGTTAAAACGTTTTACTTAAATAATGAGTCGATTGTTGCAACGATTCGGAAGCTACGACAAGATTTCGGTCGGAATCATGTGCCCAGTGTCAACACCATTCGTCATTTGGTGCTGAAATTTGAACAAACAGGTGAGGTTGAAGACTTGCCAAGGTCGGGCCGTGTTCAAACTGATCGTACTCCGGAAAATATCGAGAGAGTTCGTGAAAGTGTAGTGGAGCGCCCAGAGACGTCTACTAGACATCGTTCGCAAGAAATAGGTGTTCGTGATACTTCATCATGCACTATTTTTAAAAAAGACTTGCATTTGAGGCCATACAAAATTCAGTTAACCCAAGAACTACAGTCCAGTGACCATGAAAGTTGCCGCCAATACAATCATGCAATATTGCATGTTAATAACTAATAATATGGAGCAAAACTTTCTGGCTCCTTATATCCAACAATTTAACCTGCCAAACATGTGGTTCCAGCAGCGTTTAATTTCTCGATTTGGTGATGTCAACTGGCCACCAAGGTCAGCGGACCTAACGGCTCCTGACTTTTTTATGGGGATTCTTGAAAAATAGGGTTTAGGCCAACAACCCAAACACCGTAGAGCAGCTGAAGAACAATATTAGGGAAGCAATTGAAAATGTTCCTCCCGAAACCTACCAAAAACTGATGGACAATAAAATCACGAAGGCTCAGGTTTGCGCGGCTTTTACAGGCCTAAATTGTCTGATATTATTTTTCATACAAAATTTCTAAGTTCCAATAAAGATTAAGATTTATAAATTGTACGTATTTTATTTCATTTCACAAATATTCAAGATACAAACCAGTCAGTTACATATCGGCCACCCTGTATAAATACTCCGTTATCGCAAGCTTGGGACACCCTGTATATCATGGAAACGCTACATCATGGGATTGTTAAGAGCCTCCCCATCTGTAGAGCCTATTCCCCAAGTTTGAGAAAGAGTCTGTAAGGTTTGAGCCCTTACCCACCCCCCCCTTCCAAGGCGTTCGCTTTTGCCCGGGTTTCCCCTATATACCTAAAAAATATTAAAACATGCAAAATTAACACATGTGTCATGTTATAGTGAGTCAGTATTCAAGTTTAACTTTGAATAAGCAGTAAACATATCATTTATATGATTTTTTTGCTTAAGTTAACCCAACTTCCGGCAAAAACAACTTATTTAATTTCGGCCTTGAAAACTCAAATACTACATTAGGGGACCGCGCCAGCGATTCCCCTTCGGTGCGAGACTGCTAACGCCATCTGTTGGGAATCGCGCCAGGGACTTTTATTAGAGATCGACGCGAAGTGACCTCGAATATTCTGGACTGCCGCTATGTGGCTCACCGGAACCTTCTCGAATCAACGAGTACCTGCGATGCGGACTATATAAGTCGACGGCCGGGAGAGGGAAGCAGGGTAGATTAGAGTAGAATGAATGGCGCGACACAATAATTCGTAAATGGGTAGTCAGACATAAATAGTGATATACATAAATGTTCTATCTAGTCAAGTTAAAGTTGTGTTGTGTTTTAAATAAATTAGTGCATTTCTTTTTGTGGAATCGAGTATTTTTAATCCGCACCCAAAAGAACCCAGAAAAAACGCTAAAGTACGTTGAAAAATTGAAATTGTGAGACTCCATTTGACGGAAGTAGTAAAAATATTCACAGGTCGCACACCTTACCTTTCTGTTATTTCTTTAAACACTGTGTCATCATCAGATATGCCTCTGAAACTCAGCGGAGTATCTAAAAATCTCTTCAATTGCTGCTCATAGATATTTTTCAATTGTTCTTCAGGGGGTGAGTACTCCAAGTTCAAATTCCTGTATGTCAAATCAACGTAGATTTCCGGCAAATACAAATGCAAACTGTCCAAAGAATTTATGTACTGCTTTTCAAGAACCAAGGCAAGTTCTTTGTCTAGATATATTTTCCATTTTTGTAAGTTTTTGAAGCCTTTCCCTTCAACTTGGTTCAAAATATTGCGGATTTGTTTTGCTACGTCTTTCCATTTGCTATATTCTTTTATGAGATCTACTTCTCTTAAGCTGAAGATCTGAAACGGCATTGTATTAAAATTAATTTTCCAAATTAGTACTTTTCCCCCTGTATAATAAATAACTATTCTTCATACGTATTATAAATTGCGAATAAACTGATAAACACAAAAGGAAAATATTCTTGTGCGAGGATAACAATCTGTAGTCGAAATCACGACAGATGACGATTACGTCATCATTTTAGGTTGTAGTAAAGACAAACGACAGCGATTTGTGAATATTTTCAATGAAGTTTCAGATATGTTAGACAGAGACAAACAGAATTTTATCGTCTAAACAAACTGTATTGCTAATTTGCATGTATCCAACAGCGATAGACGATGTTTTCATGTTGCATGATCGATCACATTTGAAAGATGAATAGTTAGGTTATGTTAAAGCAGGTAAGGTTGTTTTCGAATAATACTTTGGTCTTTGGTGTTCCTGCCTACTCACAACTGTTTTTTTTCAAAACAAAAACTCCTTACTGAAATTATTATTAAAGTATCACTCAAAACCATGAAATAAAATGAAAATAAAAATAATCAGTGAAATAACCTAACTTCGCAAAATCATAATATAAATTTGTTGCCATTATGTTCCTGACATCGTGATTTTATCATCGACGTACGTTCATTGATTACTTCAGTACAATGTATGGTATGACGTAATAGTCATCTTTCGTGATTTTGACTACAATACATAACACAGTAGTTACAATAAATTGATTTATAAGGATTAGACCTAGCTGACATTTGTGAAAAATGAGGAATGTGCAAACTAAACTGGACATACTGGCAAACCTAATGAAGATACGTCACTCGACTATCCCGATTTTGGAGGTGAACATTGAGAATCCACTTTCTTAATGACTTTCTTATTATTTTCGGACTGAACCGTATCAGTGCAAAATATGTGTCCAACATTTGTAATAAATAATAGTTTAAAAAACTTTGTTCGATCATCTACTACTAATATAAACTCTTTGTAATTAAAAATTATTTTCCACTTTTGGATCGGTTAGCTATAAAAGCGTGTTTTTTTAGTTTTTTTAACTATTATTTATTTTTCATTTTTTAGTCCGATTCATCAGTTAGTTTTTTGTGCGCATGTGGTATTGAAATGTCTTACGAATCATTTCGTAATCTATCCATTTTATTCAAAGCTTCACTGTTGCATACGGTTGTTCCCGTTAACTTAGAGCAATCAAGTGTTTCAATCCGAATACCGTCTAAAGATCTTACACGATTAAGTGCTACAAAAGCTTGTCCAGCAGTAAACAGTCGCGAGCCTAGATAAATGACTGCATGATTGACTGTACAACCTCGCATCTTGTTGACGGTCGAAGACCAACTCAGAATTAATGACAACATTCGCATGAACTAGGTGAGAATGCAAAACCTTGAAAAAGTATCTGCCTCCGTTCTGCTGTGCCGAGTGTCCAAACCGACATAGAGTAAGTCCGAACTGCACGCATGCGCAGGTCGCGGTCCTAATAAGGATAATGGAAAACTATTATCAAATTACTGCATTGTTATCGGTACTTGATACGTGTGCGAAGCTTCGGGTTAATCAAACT